ATGCTTTGGTGTTGTTAGTGTATTTAAGTAACACTGAAGGTGAACTCGCAAGGAGTGAAGCCTAGCCCTCTTTAAGGATGAGCATCAGCAAGCAAGAAAGATTGTGCAGAATGATACGTTAATTATTCCGTACAACAAACCAATCAGAGGTGTAAACATGACGGTCTCAGCAGGTGTCTTGTCACTACAGGACTTTTAGTGACTGATGGCAATCTGACTGCACAGCACTACAATGATCAGATCTTCATGAAAGAGCAACATTCCAATGGGACAGCGTACCCTCATGCTGCTCCAGACTTTGGCCCAACTGAATATTTGTGGGATAAGCTGGGACAATATGTGTGTATGTAGGGTTCAAGTGACTAATAACCAGGCACATATGTTATGGTTTTACAAGAAGAATGGAACAGTATCCCATAAAACAGGATTTGCAACCTGGTGCAAAACAGATGTTGGGGATATACAGCTTGAATGGTTTCCAACAGCAGGGACATACTATTAGACTTGTACTTGCCCTGAACGGTACATTCCGGTAGATCAATCATCTTGATGATAATTATGGATCAAAATGATAAATGTACTGAGTTCATGTCCGCTCAACAAAATGTCAGTGCACCTGTTACAAAAAACGTTATCAGGAATTGGACAGCATTTGGAAGTTTGTTGCAGGTAAAAGTGACAATTTGTTAAATGCTTGGTGTGACTGACATGTTATTCTCACCAGAAACCCCAGACTGTGGCACATATGATCATCTCTTCCATTCCTTGTTGTGAATGTTAACAATTAAAAAACGGGATTCTCTTTCCTCAGTCATTTACTGTTGAATTTATTGACAGAACACACTTGTAATATTATACAGAAAACATTGAAACAGCCTTGACTTATCATGCTTTGCTAAGTCGCAACCTACAGCTTCACTTTAAAAGGAAACCATAAGAATACCATAGGTTTCTTTTCAAAGATTAAAGTTGGGTTTTTGCCATCAATATTAACACAGGCAGAAAACTTGAGACCTACAGTGATACACCCATAAAAGTTTTCTTCTTTTATTTTATCTATCCTTTATTCCCAGATGGGAAATTTGCTTTGCATGCAGGTAAAAGGCATACCACAATGCATATTTAACCAATAAGAAACATGCAGGCCTGATGATAAAATAAGTAAAAATATACAATCAATTGTTAAAATGATTCTTTATTCCTACAGATGTTAACCTGCTTAATGTAGTACTATTGCAATCTGAGTACCCCAAGTCAACACCCTGATGGAAGGAGTTCAGATTCACTGTGCAAGGGGTGGTCATGACAGCCGATGATTATATTGGCCTCACTCACTATTGTTTGATGTGGATATCCGACAGCTGTAACTCTTGTGTACCAATAAATTTGCCATTTACAGTACCTTCACTATCCAGCTCAGTCTGTTTTTATTGCGTGTATTAAAGTTACCGCATTGAATGTCAGAACAGATTCAATAAAAGTCATCCTTGTACTACACTCACTAAAAGAGCAGTTTTCTGAGAAAAAACCGCCGTTGGCCTTTCTTACATATTACATCTGTATTTTCCTCAAAGGTTAACTCGTAATCCACAACAGTGCCAAGATATTCGTAACTGTTGACACACACAGACCTAGGTCCTTCTCACCAACCAATTCTCCCAGAAGCCGATTCACCCACCAGTATTTTCCAACCGTGGGAGGAAACTGGAACACGTGAAGAAAACCCACATGATCCTAGGGGAAAATATACAGACTCCAGATAGACAGCTCCCCAGGTCCCGAACTTAAGCCAGGTCTCCAGCAGGGCCGCAACAATCGCTACTGTGCCACTCAGTCTAAAATCCAAACTACAATATTAAGGTGTAGATTAAAATTTTAGAGTGATCTCTCCACTAACAAGTGTGTTTGCGTGGTGTTGAAGGCCGATGAGAAACCTAGAAACAGAAGTCTGACATGCATCTTATATGTATACAAGAGATTCAATAAATGTGATTGTAGAATCATCGACTCCTGTTTTAGTCCTGTAGCCAGTGTAGTTAGGATTCAGTAGGTGCTCTACCAGGTAGAACATGTGCCTTTTAACAATTTTCTCAGATTTCTTCATTACTACACAGGTCAATACCACTGGTTTGAAATCACTTAATATATTTTAGGGGATCTGCATTTTGCCACTGGTACGGCTGTTTCCCCGTTTCTGCACTTTCTGCCGATTCAGAGAGTGCGTTTGAGAATTCAATTAAATTTGAGCTGCTCAGCACAAGACCTCAGTACCTGCGCACTGATGTTATCAGGTCCAAGACTTCTTCTGATTTTCACATGGGGGCACAATCATGAGTTACATAATGAATTCCTGCAAAGTCCTGAAACATGAAAATGTTCAGAACTCATATCAGAAGAAAACGCATCAGGTTTCACAGGTACAGGTTTAACCTGATGTGTTAGGAATTTTACCCCGTGTACTGCCAAGAAAGCGTTGCCCCTCATAAGGCATCTGCTGCCCCTCTCCCAGAAGACTCAACACAGTTCTTTTAAAAAGTGTGACCGACCTAAGAGCCATAAGCAAAAAAATGTTATTGCACAAAGGCTTGGCAAACGCTTTGGGGCTCCTTGGAAGAGAGCCAGAACAATGGCCAAGGAGGAAGACCAGCCAGATGGTGTCAATTTCAACGCCACTTCTAAATTGTGGAGAGACAACTTTCCGAGGAGCTGTAACGAGAGAAGAAGTATCATCTCCAACGCCTTGTGTTCAGAGAATGAACCTGCCAAGAAAAATGGGCACTACTTGGAATACTCAAAAGACGGGTCCAAACTCCAACAGAGAAGCTGGCGAGCTCTTGACAAAACATTTGAATTTCATTGCTACAGCAAACAGCAAGGGGGGAGGGGACTAAATGCAAAGGATGCTGAGGAAATGCTCACCATAAAAAGCAGAGGCAATAACTCAGACGCTTAATGATGGGTTTTCCGGCAGAAAAACAGAACACCGTGACTACATTATGAATCTATACTGCTGAAGCCAATACCCTGGCCGGCAATCCTCAAAAGAATTAGCTACCAGCAGCCAAACAAGCTAGATCAACCACTCCTAACCCCAGTCCTGAGGGAAGGCATGCGTCCTGGTTTTCATTCCAACTGCGCTGTTAATCACAGATGCGACCTAATGCCTTTAATTGATCTGCTTTTTACTTGAGACTCATTTGCCCATTTCTGTATTAAATTCCTGGTTTCAAAAATATATAATGCAAATGTATTCAGCAGATATTATTGCAGCCTCTCTCCTGAACATATTAGGGGATTACTCCTTTATGTCTATCAAAACAGCTCTTAACAAGTGAACAATCACAACTGGCTACTTCAGCAAATTCTGAAACGCAGACACTGGTACAAGTTTGATACCAATCAATGTTTTTAAAAGCTCCATTCTTCAAAGTCTAGCAACATCCTCAGGGAGGGGAGTTGTGGGTGCAAGGTTTGTTTTTCCAAGTGCAAAAAAACTATTTAGAGCAACTGGCTAAGGAAACCACCCTGTTGATCTGACTTATCACATCTTAACTAGGCTGGAACGTTCTATAAAGAGGTGAAGAGTAAGGACTGAAGCCTGTCAAAAATATGCTTTGGGGACAGTAAGAATAACTCACTTGGGAAAAACTGATGCACTACAAAAGGTGTGTGCCAGATTGTAAAGCTGTAATGACCTAACATAGGGATATTTAATTTGGTGCCATAAAACGACAAAATCCTTTGCTGCATTATGTAGAAAAGGGGTGTTAGTCGTCATAATCGTTTCTACAGTTCTTAAATTATTTCAGTAACGTTTCTAGGCGTCCTTGTCATTTTCAAATACCAGTCTCCTTGTTTTTACCGGTATTTGTCCATTAAAGAATATCAATTCTACCGGCGATACCATAAATATGTAAATATGCCAGGTTGTACGTCTCAAACGATAAAGGGGGTGTTTTAAACTCGTAAACGCTTTCGAAAGGGTGTAGGAGTTTTGACAGTGTAAGGGGGCTACGTTTTCCCCACTCTATCGTGTGTGTATTTACCACTGTAATTTCCATAGACTCTGAATCCTGTAAAAAGAAAACCTTTCAAACATTAATCTCAAGGCTTGGGCTTCTCCATTCTAATTGAAGCTGAGTTTTACATAACGATTGACAATGAGCAAGCCACAGGATAGTAAAATGTAGCGACATCAAAGCCAGAGCAACTTCCTTCGTGCCAAGATCAACCAATGGAATAGATGGACAACCATCTCCATTTCCCCTCCGGTATTTTGAACTGTGAAAGGTGTTTTATTAGCGGTCACTGTGGGGCTCACATACTGTACGCTTTGCCGTTATATAACTCGCACTCAGGAAGTTCTCTCAGTCCGCATACCTCGCTCTTTAATTTACAGTTTGGCGCTGCTTATGCAAAGCGGTTGGCACACAATTTGTAGTTATAAACTCGATACCTTCCCTTCCTCGCCGCCAGCGCGCATCTAAAACGTTTGTGTTTTTTCCAGCTATTCGGCACACACAACGCGATACACAATCGGTGCTCACTTTCTCAGTAGGGCAACATTTCTGCATTTCCTGTACTAAAGCACAACAGGCAAGAAGAGACTACTGTGGATATTAGTTATTTTAACAGGGTCTTGATTTGCTGAATATTTACTCCGAACCCACGCATTCTGAACATCTTTTGCGAGAGTGGCCCGTCGAAAACAGATACTGCTATCTTACAAATGAGGGTGTTTTCATTTTGATCAGTAAGTTCTCAGTTATAGCTGGGAATTTTTGCTTAACGCCTGCACACTCACATGCGTTAAACAAAGCAGGTAAAAAAAAAAACCACCCACATCACCCCTTTATGTTACCCAAATGTCCACTGGCTTTGCATTAGGACCATCTGGACACTAAAAAACATGCATCGATACAAGTACTGCATTTACAAAAATGGCAGGGGGAAAAGGCACGGTACAAACCAAGAAAGCGATACAAAAAAAGATGCCTTACCATCACCCGGAGATATTGTTTCAATTTCCACACCCATTATTTATTTACTCGGTAGCTGACTGGAAACAGGATGTCTAGCAATCTTATAGCCGGACTACACCTCGCACAGACAGCGTCTCACTTGGTCTGCCCGAACCCCAAAGACTTGCCAATAAAGGAATTCTGATTAATTGTGATTGACGACTGCCGCCAACCACTCAGGGATGGGCTTTGTCTGCATTAAGCGCGGCAATTGGTGCGTACGGCCCAATAAAATCGCAGGAACAGAGTGTAGGCGGGACTGACTGCCCCAGGAGGCTCTGGGTTGTACTTCAGCCGGAGACTGGCAACTGTGTAATTGACGTAGGAAAACGGCTGTGAGGCGGTGCAGAGCGCTGATTCGGAATCATCCTTACTGGTGAAAGTTTTAAGCTCCATAGGAATTGTTGTTGATTTGCCTCTTCTAGTGATGTCTTGTGAACACTTACCGGATAGCTAAACACCAAACTATTGTCCTTTGCCTAAACAAAGTCAAACATGAAGGATGGTTAAAATTGTGTTACTGTGCCTTGCTTGCTAAACGTTTTTACCAGCACGTGTTTTATTCAACTGAGAACGAATTCCCATTTACAATGATGACCTGGCTAAGACATCTGTCACCACTGCAGCGCAGATGACATAACATAGTATTAATAAGTTGAAATACCAAACAGAAGTCGTTTTCCACTGCAGCTGAGATCACTTCAAATGCGAATGTGGATTGTTTTGTCTTAAGTTTGCCTAACATTAGTAGCAACCAATTGTGCCCAAAGTCAGGTGGTTGCAATTTTTTTAAGTTCAATCTAGCAAAAGTACAGAATTGGAGGAAGGCTTGAAGAACTGCAATAAATTGACATCCCCAACTAACATTCTGTAAAATAGCTTAAACTAGTGAAGCACCCGTTGAATATCAAATATCAAAGAATATCAAGGAGCAAATACAGTAATAAATCCTGTGGCTGAATGGTCTGAGACATCGCATTTCCCAAGTTTAGCTGTAGCCTAAACTGTAAGGTTGGCTGTAACCAACCAACATCACAGTTGTCCCAGATGAGAAGTACAGACACCTGATGGTGGATAGAAGGAAGAACATGCAAAACAAGACGCGCTGCTTGTAGACATGAGTCTACCCCTGACTTTGGCTTGTAATTGCTTAATATGAGTTTTGAAAGCGAGGCAGCGCAGGCTGTCTCACAGCTTTTGGGTTGTTGTTTTCCCAGTGTTTGCATGGTTTTCTCTAGCTCATCCAGTTTCCTCCTCCCTTCTAAAGACTGGCTGCAGTAGGTTGAGTGCTATCTCTAACTGCCCCTATGTTCTTGCACGTGTGAGCGTGCCTTACGAGGCACTGATGTTCAGTCTATGACTTAGTCCTGCTTTTTATCCTCTGTTTCCAGAGTAGGCTTCTGCTTTCTGTGACTCTTACCAGGGATAAGCAGCTTTCTGATAAAGGATACCTGGATAGAATTTTGAAAATGAAGGCACTGTCCAGCTAATGACCTACATATTTATAAACTTTTACTGGCTCCGCCTTTATTGTATTTAAAGAAAAAGATTTGTAATAAGTTTGAGTTATTTTTGTTGCAAGCAGACATTTAGTGTTATCCTAAAGAAAGATTCCTATTTTTTATAAACGCAATCCAATTTATACAGGATATCTTTATAAGACTGGTTAAATTCAACTCATTTGGAACACAAATGTGTGTCTTTCCTAGAAAAAGAAGAGAAAAACAGAATTTCTCCTAAAAAATGTGGTCAACTACTATTTATTAAAAAAATACAGTTTTGCCACATTAAAATGAGTGTATTAGACATTTCAGAAGTGTCTACTGTCCCCCCACAACACTTCAACACTTTAATGGTAAAAATATCAGTCTTCATAATGCACAATTCCAGGGTGCTGCTCCATATCCATGTGCTCTATTTTGTGCTTGGTGTTTTATCTTATGTGTATCAGCTCAAATAACTGGTCATTTGTGAGACACGCATGAAATGAGAACAAAGTAGAATTCTGTATAGGAACAAGTAATAGGTTTATTTCATGCTGAAAAGATAAGAAAGAAAACACAACGTTTCGGCTGTGGAGTCTTCTTCTCAGGTGTAGGAGGCTCCACAGCCGAAACGTGTTTTCTTTCTTCTCTTTTCAGCATGGAATAAACCTATGACTTGTTTCTATACAGAATTCTACTTTTCCAGCTACCCACCTGAACCAGTATTCTATAGACTTAAATATAGACTTAAAGGAACAAGTAATAGGGTTATTCCATGCTGGAAAAAAGAAGAAAGAGAACACAACGTTTCGGCCGTGGAGCCTTCTTCAGCTACCCACCTGAACTTCTATAGACTTATTCAATTTCCTTTTCGCAATGCTGTCTCCTAACAGTGAAAGTTTTGGATATTGATCCATTACCTTTTATCAGTACTTCCATCACATCCATCATGCCTACAAAACCATCTATGAGCTTGGCAGTTGCCCAGAGACAAGCTATTTACTAGCCTTCTCTTACAATTTCATGGACTACATGGTACCCTTGAGGCTGAAGAGCTGCCACTTCTCTGCCACACGGAAGACAAGCAGAACATATAGCTGCAACAGATTCACAAAGTTATTAGAAAAAAATCTGTTTTTAAGCAGATTGACTAAGAATTAATCAAACCGAGATGACATCAATAAAATTCATTTAGTTAATTAATATTTGTCATCCAGAGGATGGAGGCAGGGAATATGAAGTCTGCTGTGTAAGTCACAGGCTTGTATGGCCACTGTTGGAAGCAATACAAGCTGTATATCTGCGGTACATGCTTTGCTGCTTGCAGGATGAACGTTGCTCTGCTGGAAAGCCGTCACAGGTCAAACATTCAGGAGGAGCAGCCCGTGAGGCAGTGATCAAGTCCCAGTGCTTAACCAATGTATTGCCGTGTGGTCAGGTTACCATCAACCACTACAAATGGAGATCTCTAGCAATAAGCGACTTCTGCCCAGATCGTCACACTTTGTGTCAAACGTAGTGCAGTGTCATGACTCCTGCTCTTCCAGATTGTGGCCTATAACTGACACACTGTGTTTGGCTGTAACATCTTCCCAGGTTATAAACTGCTAGCTGTGAACACCCCAGACAACAGGTGACAGTCACACAGTACATACAGTATACTAAATCCATGTGCCAATATACAAAATGCATAAAGCCATAGCCCCCTTGAGAAGATGGGGATAATCTGTGATTGCCATTTTTTGCAAGATTGCAACAGGTTTAGTCTCAGCATCTGTGCCTATGAGCTCTCTCAATAGTGAAGAGGTGTAGTGCTTATGCAACAGTCAAAATCACGCCAGTATATTACACTCATGAATTTATTAATGAACTTATCGATCAAAATTATTTGACAAAAATACTATCCCACATGTTTATATTTAATTTGTCTAAAACCGTGCATGGATAAACAATGTTTAAAATTGCTGCCTGGCAGCACTGGGGCCCTTGGTTCAATTCCTGGGATGCTGTCTGCACCCTTTGCTCTTTGCGTGGAGTTTGTGTGTACTCCCCCTTTTTTCCAGGGGTTTGTCTGGGTTCTCCGGTTTCCACCCGCAGTCCAAAATCATACCCAGCGACCGACCGTGGATCAGGTGGTTAGAAAATGGACTGATACATTTTTTTAATAGAGTGATATTGCTTTTGAAGCTTAGCATTTAAAGCAATGATTCAGTCATACTGGTTTATAAAAGTGATGAGGTGTTTATTGTTTGTGTGGAATTCACAAACACACAGAATTGCACAGACAGCATAACAATATTAAGTGTTTAGACAACAGTGAAAATTGATGAGAAATGAGAGTTCATAGCACTATCTTTATCAGTCTGAAAGCTGATAGCTGCAGTCTGAAAATGCAAGGCAGGAGTGCCTTGAAACAGCTGCCATTTTAGATAGAAGGAGGATATTTTTACAGATTGCTCACTATGGTAGCATTTAGTCATTCTGTCTTTGATGGCTCAATGAATCGGGAAAGGCAGCTTGTTGTAGATGGTAGTATTTACTACAAACTGAACAAAACATCCTATGCCTGGAAGCAAAATATGATTTTAAAAAAGTTTTATTTTCTTCCAAAAGATTATTTTTTTAACATCTTTAGCTGCCTATTTAGAACAGTGTTCGGTAATCTTGTTTATAAGATTATAAAAGACACATATTGTGTATGCTTTAAAGGTTTAAGACAAACGTTATATTGACTAGATTTTGTCAATATAAAACATTTTTTAAAAGCATTATGAAAGGAAAAATGATAAATCATCACATTTAAATATTTTACAGTTCCCTCCAGATGTATTCAGAGTATTCTATTAAGAACACTGCATTTATTTTTTTAAGCAAGAAACATTATTCAATCTGTAAATCCTTCTGTTATTTGACATTTATTGTGGGAGGCATTGTGGCGCAGAGGTTAGCATTGCTCCCTTGCAGCGCTGGGAGCCTGGGTTCAGTTCCCGGGGTGCTATCTGCATGGGGTTTGTATGTTTTCTCCATGTTCACATAGGTTTCCTCCCACAGTTCAAAAACATAATGGAAGGGTAATTGGCTACTGGGAAAAATGTTCCTGGTGTGTGTATGTTTTGTTTCTGTGTGCGGCCTATGACTAGCTAGGATAGACTCTGCTTTCCTCATGACCCTTTACAAGATAAACATACAAAATTGATGGACATTTATTGTACTTATTTCAACAGAGTTATGAATGTAAGTGACATAAAAATAGAAAATGTTTCTTATTATCAGAAAGAAATGTGACAAAATATACTAATTTTGTTATGTACAGAAGATTCAATTAATGCAAGATTTTTTCCACAGGAAGTCTTCATTGAATCCTAGTACAGTATATTTACTTTCCTTCTTTAAAAATCACCACTGCACAATAACAATGATGTTAAAAATAAAAAAAAATGACAGGCCACTTCACTGATGCTGTAAGACAGGCATGTTCTATGAATGCACAGATTTAAAAATTGCTGTGTTTCCCAAACAATAAATCCACAATTTCAAGGACAAAATTTGACAAATTGTCTTTTTCAGTGTTGAAAATTGAATTTGATCAAATATTGCAAGTCATTAGGAAAAGGAAGTGAACACACATTGTGTAAAAGTATCATCTTTACAAACCAAAATCCATTAACAGACTAGTGGACTAGTGTCGTACTAAGATAAGAACTATAGCTACTGCCATTTTAGACTATTCAGGAAGCCAGCTTTTTAGAAACTCATTATGCCTGAATTCAAAACAGGAAATATTCCTTAATGAGGGGGTTCTTAAAGTAATGTACTGTACTTTATAAGTACATTTTAACTGCTACTTTTGAAATTAACATAAATATTTACATCTGATATCTTCAGTTATTTTCCATTAGACCTGAACAATTTTAGAAAGCTATATTTTAGTGAGATACAGGTCATTAATGACACCTGTTTTAATTATTTATAAGGAGAATTTTAAAAGAAATATAAATTTTCCTTTAAGTCTAAATTCTATAATTATTTCTAGAATAGCATAATCTTTAAGATTTTTACAAAAAGCTTGATCTCTGACTGCATGATTCAGAATGGCTTCTGAATGTGTAAGAGTTTTTTTTTTCAACAATACTGGAATGATAAATAATCTTTCAAATAAGACTTTAGGAATTTAAGCAGGAAACAAATACAGTACATATAAATAATGAACAGCTTTTGAACGTATTTTATTAAAATATAAGAAATACGTAAGGACGTTTTATCCTTTATTTTTAAAATCATCTTTTGCGTAAATATTAGATACGGCATCAATTCTAAAGACATTAAGGTCGTGTACACAGTCAAGTTCTGATTAAAATACTCACATTTTGCATGCGTATATACATCATTTGTAATTCAGCAAAATGAGACATTGGAAGGCAGTGAATACAGTACTTTTGCAAGGCACTGTAGACACAAATTGGGGAAACATTTAGACTGAAAAGCTACTTACAAAAGTTCACACATCATTTACATCCCTTTAGTTGTGAGGAAACAATGAAAACAGGATGTTATGATACATAGTTAAATCTGCAGATCATTACACCAATATGACACAAATATTAACTTCCTAGTTTTCAACAATGAAGACTAAAAGAGAAATGTGATTCAAGTATTAACAATTGTTAAAAGTACTGACAAAGGTAATGCAAAGGACTTCTGTAAAACAACCAAATAATCAAAATCCTCAAAGGTGCTGACCGACTCAACCCAACAGACTTCAGAAATCAACGAACATGAACCAGATGACACAATCAGAATAGGAACTCAGAATGAGAAGCACTTTTTACTTAAAGGGTTGTGGGAAATAAATTACATAAAACAGGCTACCCAGACATATTGTATAAGATTATACCTAAGATCATATCTTGATAATATGATTATTATTGATCAGTTGACTACTAGCAACCAAACAGACTGGGCTGAATCACCTCATTTTCAGATGGTTTCTAATAATTTACTACACTTGGGAAGATCTGTCCTTTACAGTGCCGCCTAAAATGGAGAAAGTCTTAAACTGGAGTACAGGAGCACCAATATGCAAACAAACTTCACAAATAGTCTTTCAAGTACTGGGATGAGGAAAAATGTTCAAAATCATCTTCTTATGAACTGTTGCATCGATTGATTCGAAACTCTCAAGATTACATCAAGAAAGAAAGAGTTTTCACATCTGACACAAGTTAAACTATAGTCATTTAGTCAAAGCACGAGAAACGGGTACAGGTTTAGGCTTCAAACCTGATTGCTATTTTGTACTCTTTACCTTTCGGTCAATTTGCCTTTTATTTTTTATTTAGGCACCCATCGCAGTCTCTCACGATTTTAGAGGCTAATTACCAGGAATAAGAGCTCCCAAAACAACAACAGTAAAGAGATGCAGTAAGCTCCTCTATAAACGTTTTTTTTGTTTAAGTTTCTGAACAGCGAAAGTGTCGCCACATTGTTTTACAGTACATGCCAGTTGAGTACGGCTCTCCTGTCTTGGCATAAACAACCCGGCACTACAATTCCCACAGTGCTTAGCACCTCGAATAGGATGTATCGTTTCTCTTCCGGCAATCAGTCACTGCTGAAATTTCACCCGGGAAGATGCACCTGAGTAGGCCATAAACAACGTTGAAAGTACGAGCGATTGTGATGTAAGATTAACAGAACAGGTACCTGAAATAGCAATCATGGTTTTCATTTGTTGACTAACCACTATTACCTTCTATTAAAATAAGTAACGATTTATCGTATGTTAAATTTCATGACAGCGTTTGATTTGAAAAAGTTATGTTATTATAGAATCACTTTCCTTTGTTCATCATCTTAAATTTCGATGTACAGTTTTTAATTATGCAATTCATACGTTGGCATGTTCCTTCCTATACGTACAATAATTGTTATAATTAATGATTAAATACTAAATGGTCATTTTGTAAGAGACGTGGTCTGATAATCCGTTGTTGCCATGACAGCCTTATTCCCTGCTGCTTGTCTGTTCTGGGGCATTAGCCCATTAGCACATCAGACCTGTCTGCTTTATAAACATAGGCATTGTTTGCACTTAAAAATAAACCATCGAATAAGTGAAGTGTGGTGCAAAGTCGGTAAACCTAAAAAAGAACTAAACTTTAAAAAGAGTAACCTTTCTAATTGATGAAAAAGCAAGAAACAGTACTCAGCTGAATTGAAATCATACTTTTTGTTGTATGTGTATGTATTGTTTTATGTATTTTCGGTGATATTTGTGTTTTAAGTCAAATCATTGAATAGCAGTTTTCAATAAATACTACCGTATGTTACTGTAGTAAATTTGCAAAATAAAAATATTTCGTTTATATCTTTCTATATGTACGATCTGAATCTTCTTTTAATCTGCCTTTGGATTTATTATTGTAGTTGGATTGGATTGTAAAGGTGCATTGCTATCTATAAGACTAAGTTGGCAGTACTTTTTTGGTTGATAAGTATGTTTTACTCTTGTCTAAAGCACACTAGTTTTCTAGTGAGGGGACGATATTTAGTGCTGAAATGTAGATTGTAGAAAAAGCCCGAGCTGTAAACCTGCTTCAGCAGCATGTTTGGCAATTTCATAACGAGCAGTGACACATCTTAAAATTTCACACCACTTATCTTTTTTGAAGTGTGAGTTTGAAAAGATTAGGGGAGGCTGACCTCTGTGTTTTCTAAAAATAGCGGGAAGGCAGATTTCTGAGAACCTGATCTGCATAGGGACACGTGAATATAATCAGCTCTGACGCTGGTGTGGTAATGTACATGTTATTAGGATTAAGTGCTTCACGTTGGAAGAGACGGAGGAAAGAGGCTTTTCGAGCACACTTATTCTTAGTCTCCTTGTAAACTGCATACAGCACACATGGTGTTCTTTTGTTTTTTCATTAAAAAAAGCCTCCACTTTTTAATTTCTGTGATGAGCTGCTTTTGAACTTTGCTCTCTTGTTGTGCCTGGTTTTCAGAAGGATGGATCTGGGCAAGGCAAAGCTGCTAAGGACTGGTCTTAATGCTCTTCATCAAGCTCTTCACCCTGTGCATGGAATAGCCTGGACAGATGGGAAGCAAGTAGCGCTAACGGCTCTATATTGGGCTAATGGAGAACCCAAGTTTGGCGACACCAACGTTATCGGGCAATTTGACCATGTTCTCGGACTTTTCTGGGGTCCTGTTTGCTGCACAGGGTCTCCTGCCCTTCTCGCTGTTCAGCACAAGAAGCATGTCAGCGTGTGGCAGCTCCAGCTCAGCACTCTGGAGCAGAACAAGCTCCTGTGCACTCAGACATGTGAAATGAGCGAGCCTTTCCCCGTGCTGTCTCAGGGATGTGTGTGGCACCCAAAGAAGGACGTGCTCGCTATACTAACCAAAAGGGACGCCTCTGTCTTATTTTCAGTCAGGGTTGACAACCGCAGGGTGAAGGCGGACATCAAAGGTAGTGGCTTGATACACTGTGCTTGCTGGACAAAAGACGGCACGCGATTAGTGGTTGCAATTGGGAGCGCTCTCCACTCCTACATTTGGAATGACATTCAGAAAAGCCTCAATGCCTGTTCGTTCTGCCCCATCTTTGATGTTGGGGGTTACATCTGTGCTATTGAATCTACCGAAGATGCTCAAGTCGCTGTTGCCACAGAGCTGCCTTTGGATAAAATATGTGGTCTCAATGCTGGCATGGCTTTTGATGTCTCCTCTGCATCAGAAACAGGTTCATTGCCTTCACAGTCTTCTGTGCTAGTTGTAGATGAAGACTGTTTTTTGGACTCCAGAAGGAGGTCTATTGACTCTGAAAGGTCTTTAGCTCTAAATTCCATTGCTTCTTCCACATCGGGTCCTCTGGACCTAACTCACATCCTTGCAAACCACAGGAAATCAGACCCCAGTCCTCTGATTCACTTGAAGCGTCGTGATCATATTACCGGATCTGGACAAGACTCTTCCCATTTGATCTTGGTGACTTATGAAAGGAAGGTGACAACAACCAGGAAAGTAAGTATTCCTGGTATTTTGGTCCCTGACGTTATTGCTTTTGATCCTCGTGGACGTACTGTAGCAGTGGCCTCAAACACGTGTAACATGATATTGGTGTACTGTGTAACGGCCTCAGCCATGCCTAATATCCAGCAGATTCAGCTGCAGAAAACCGAAAGGCCAAAGGGACTGTGCTTCTTGAATGAAAAAATGCTCTTGCTTTTAGTGGGCAAGCAGAAGTCAAATGACCCAGCTTTCCTTCCTTCTTCAAACACTGATAAATACATAATTAGGCTCATGACCAAAGAACTCATTTATAACGAAGAATCGTCTTCTATGACTGCTTTTAGTCAAAACTCATCTAACGCGGATTCCGGTGTCAGTATCCCTGGGATGAAGAAGTATTTTGAGAACCTGTCCAAGGAAGAACGTGTCCAAGGGGTGAAGGAACTGCTGCTCCCTGCAGGAACTGTGATCCAGTCTCCCAGTGGCAGGAGAAAGCTGATTGAAGAAGTGAAGAGTTGTGAGCAGAGCCCAGTGGCCAGTGTAACAGACTTTTCAGACAGAGCAACGTCCAGCGAGTCCTCAATAGCCATAGAGAATTTTGACAACGAGCCCATCAACCGATCGGCGGGCTTAACTGTGACAGGGCCAACCAGCAGGGAATCAAGTAGGCCCAGTTCTCCACGATCAGAGTCATTGGAAAGGATACACTCTGCTCCAGCTCTGCCAAAGAACAACAGCTTGCCGAAGGAGAAAACAGTGGATCAGCTCTCTCAAAATCTGGAAAGGCTGTTTGCCAGGTTTTCAGAGGTACAGCAGTGCCTGTCGGAAATTACAGACTTCACTCGAAATGGAAAGAAGTCGATGGGTGCTTATCCGTCTTCATCTGATCCCCCTTTTGTCAACATCAGTTGTCAGGTAAATGGAACCTTACGAATTACTATACAAAACGATTCCTTTTAATCTTCCATAGTTGTAGTTTGAGTTCTGTTTATTGATTCTTCATGAACTGGGTTGTTGTGCCTTGGTTTGTGGTGGGTTTTTGTTATTTTGTGTATGAATAACCCTTCTTCCCAGATTAATTAGATTTAACTGTCAGTTTGTGGAAGGTTGCTAGTAGACATAAGTTGTTTATTTCCATAAAAAAAAGAACATGAGATGAAGAACTCATCTGATAAAAAAAAGCCTTCAGACGCTGCTCTAGAAAATGTCTTAGCCCACTATAAGTGATTTAAAACCAATTATTATAGCCTTGCAATGTAAGGAACATTAGTAAATAGATGACAAATTTAGACAGACATTGTATTTTATCATTAAGTATAGCATGGCCCATCTGTTTGTATGCAGGCCGGGTCAGGAATATCCTCTACATTGCACTGGCCAGATACACGTGACTAACTGTCTTATGTTGTCTTTATAATGATTATTCTTGTTATCATTTGTGCTGTTACACAAAATATCAACAGTAATCCTACAGACATACAGGGGTCCAAATAACATATTTCATTCTTCTGTGTTTTTTTCATTACTTGTAGCACAGCTTACCCTTATTTCGTCACGGCACTAGATTTCTGGATAAAAAAACTAAACTGGTCATAATCAATTCTTTTTATTTTCAATCTGATTGCTATGGCAGTTTCTCTTCCTCCCCATATTCCCCCCCATATAAAGATCTCCCAAAATTTTTGGCAGATTCATAAAGCTTAGATAAGAAATAGACTAATAAACACTAAAGCATGTGTTTTCCTTTCATTATATCCTTCCTTCCTGAACAAAAGAGGATGAAGTCAGTCCTGTCGAGGGGATCTGCTACGTTTGTAATGCAAACTCTGCAGCTCAGCAAACTAAACAAAGAGATATTGGAACACAAATTCATTTTTTTAATTACATTTTCTTTTTCTTCTAATTTGCACTACTGAGAAATTACTAAAATAATGATGTTCTTTCACGTAACAGTTAAAATAATTACAATATTAGACTCAGTTCACAACCCTTTTAGGTGTACAGAAAATATAAGATCTTAACAGTGATTTTATTTTTTAAAAAGGGGATTAGGGAAAAGTTTGGGTTAAATCACCTACACATATAGAAAGGAGGAGGATAGTGTATGACTTCTTATGGATTATAGGATCTGCATAAGTAGTAAGGGAATTAGATGGCTGTCTGACATCAATCTAGTTGCCTTCTGCAAATGAATGCTTACAGACCTGTAGTAATTATTTGTATAACTGCAACAAGAAAAATGAGAGTATTCAGTTCAAAGTCTGTAATACACCTAGGCATACACATGGCCTATATGCTGAAATAATGGATGACTGCCTAAAACAGGCAGGAATCTCCAGTGAATATCTGAGTGGAGTGCCTTTGTTGTCTGTAGCATCATACTGTTTATTAGTTTTGAGCTGTGTCAGTGTTTGAGCAGCAAAGTCAGAATAGAGGTTAATTCCACACAGAAGAAAGAAAAGGTATCTTTTCCTTTCAGCTGTGGAGGGTTTTCTTGGAAATACACCCGACAAATATTTTTTTTCTCTTACCTTTTCAGGCCTTAAATTATAAATTACAGACAGGTTAAGAGTGATATAGAATGAATGCTAAAGCTTTTCATCAGTTGAATAAGTAATGTGCTGATATAATATTTTTGAAGAATCAAATGGCTCAATACCAAAATAAATACTAATACCACCAGTGACACCACTATGATTATGCAATACATAAAAGTAGAGCAATTTTAACACAAAGCACAAAGTGGAGCATGCACAAACATATTTATGCTTGTTGCCTTGTCTTTGTCAACTATGCATGACCTTTTGCATGTTGTCAAAGTGAACACTTGTATAGTACGTACTGTATTAATGTAACTGGCATTTGATGCTTCACACAGCAATTTCAAAACAAAATAATACTGCTTTAGATTCTGTAGAAAGTATGTTGCTAACAAACCTTTTTTTCAGAATGGAATGAACGTTTGTTAAGTCCCCTGTAACTTGCATTCTGACGCATGTCCCAGTTTAAAACGTCTGAGGTATATTCTGGCATACCCTTTTAATGTTGGAATTTCCAATACACTTAGCCTTAAAGTTTTTAACCCGTGTTTAACATAATTGTTATGATAAAGATTTGTCATATTTTTTTCCTTCCTATTTATGTTGTAGCAGGTTGTGACAATATTACTGTTACATAAGGAAAACTTATGAACCAGTGCTAAGGCTAATCAAGCATTTGTCAACAAGTTTTGTCAACTGCACACAGACCAAGTGACCAGAATAGTTTTTTCGAAGAAAGAAAGGAGGGTTGTTGTCCCCATTAATGTATGGGATGCAAAGTATAGGCTATTAATACTTTTAAAAAGGGAAATTGTCAAAATAAGAAGTACTTGTTGCTGTACTGTGTTGGAGGAGAGGAAGGTAAGACCCACTGTTTAGCCAGGGGACACTTTAGACTCCTAGGTTGGTAACTTCATAATTAATACTGGAAGTAAACTGCATTGTTTGTCTCAAATTAAATATAGATTTGAAATTAAGATGGTACTTCAATGTAAAATAATGACAAACCCACAAATGCTATTGCTTTAATTCCGCTTGATACGTCTTACTATATATTGTTGTCAAAGGTAATATAGTTACTATCTTTAAGAAGCTGTGAGTGCTTTCTTTTAAAGCACCTAGCACTATAAATTTATTCAACCAAATTGCATGCACTGCCATATTCTAGAGATAATAGCGTAGCATGTCTTCAGACTTTGGGAAGAAAACGGAGTACCTGGAGGAAGCCCATGTGAACATGGGACAACATACGAACTCCACGCAGGTAGCACCCAGGTGGTGAATTGAACCTTTTTGTGGTTAGGCCGCAATGGTAACCACGTCTCCAATGTGCCGCCCACTTTTTAAAACAAACAGTATTGTTTTTTCCAAAGGAACAGAAATAAAGGTAAAAGAAAAGAGGTCCAGTGTTCTTCAGGTGTCGATATTATCTTTCGTTGGCTCTGTTTGTCCAATTACTGTTTGATTGGCAGCGTGATTTTGAAGTTAAATGTTTGTTTTGATTAAAATGTAATCAATTCAAGCTCTGCTGACTCTGATAAACATGTATAGTTTAAACAGTTAGAGTGAGAAACATCTTATGTTAAGAATTTTCTGATTTTCTTCACTTGCCTGAAGGTACCAAAACTTTTTACATAGATGTCCTTCACTATCCATTAGATTAAAGACAATGTCTTGATGACCTTGACATGGGTTAGATTGGTTGTCTAGAGGTGAAATACATAAAATCCTTTTAGCAATCCACTGAGCTTCCCTGCCCTAATTCTGTGCATTCAGGTATTTACAGAAGGGATATTGAAATATAACTGTCAGTAATGTATACACATATTAAAAAAATAATGCACTGTTGGACAAGAAAAGAGTTCTGTAATATTTTCTATACATGAGAAAATGATAGCAACTGATCTAAATCTTGAAACTAAAAGCTGTTATTCTGCATTGAAGGACCAGCCAAATCTACTTTCAAGCCCTGCACAATGCCTTTATCTTTGTGGGTATCTGGTTTGCTTGTTGAAATCTGATGAGCACCAAACGGGATAATTGCATCTCCTGCTTTCGTTGTAGAGGTCTCTGCAGACTGTTTATTTACTGTTTCAGATGATCTCTGCCTTTCTTCTTCTGCAGAAGCAGCTTTCTGAGAATGTATTCATCGATGAGAGGAGGCCTGTACTGTTGTGTGAAGGCAAACTATGCTTACGGGTTATCCAAGAGCTGTTTAGTCTCTCGATTGTAGAAATGCTGCATGGTAAGTAAAGAATGTCTATCATTTGAACAAGTTGTAGTACTAAGTTTGCATTGTGCAGTGCATGTTTTATTAGCACTAGCATGTGTATAGGTATACACATGATTGACAGCACATTGTTGGACTCGGGTCTGTTACAATTAGTATTCAAAATCTGAAAATACTGACCTGCTTATTTAGGGTGTAGTTTGATTATTTTGTCAGGTGAGATAAAATAATCAAACTACACCCTATTGTTAATAAAGTCAAACTAGCAAGGTCAGATTAAATGTGGAAAATCACACATACGTCTGTTCATCAGAGTAATGAAGCCAGTTCATAGATGGGATCTTTCAAGATCCATGGGGTCTTTAATGACTAACTAGTCAGGACCTCAATTTAATGTGTCCTCCAAATGATGGCTTCTTTTGCTGTGCTACGTACCCTGTCACCATATTGGGAAATTGGATTAGAGAAATACTGGTTCAGAGGGAATAGTGTCACCTGTTGGTCCATCTGCACCTCTTAAAGTGGTAACTGGTTTTCCTTTGAGGTCTTCCATCCCAGTTCTGACCAGACCCATCTTTGCTTAACATATGAGATCTGACAAGATCAGGTGAAAAGGTGCTAATTTTAAGAGAAGGTTATATTTCTAAAATTGAACCTTAGTGAGATGAAATTTAAAAATAATTTTCAAATTCCATTTAGCGATTACAAATTTTAAAAAAACTTGACCCTCCAAGAACTCAGCAATCTGCTCAGCAGGGTTACGTGGGGTGGATGCAGTTGTAGTTTAGAGCAGTGTTTCTCTGGAAGACCTTCATGCTTCCACGTGAGAAAAAGAAAACTAGAGCTACAAGGCGATAACCCTGCTGCACAAGAGGTAGAAGAGATAACAGGTTTTGCCGACATAGGAAATCAGATCATTGTATTCAGAGTCCAGAGTGTTAACCATAACACCATGAAACATCGACAACAGCTTTCACGTGGTACCAAGATGTCTCTTCCAACATTTGCTCAAGACGGGGATAGTACCACGAACTGGTCTTGAGCAAGTGTTGGAAGAGACATCTCTGTAGCACTTGAAGGCTGTCGTTGATGTTCCATTTAGTTATGGTTAACACTCCACTGTCGGTGGAACCTGTTATCACTTCTACCTCTTGAGAAGCAGTGTTACCGCTTTGTAGTCTGATCTTGGAAGCTTAGCAAGGCTGTGCCTAGTCTGTACTGGGTTGAGAGAAGTCTACAGACATCCAGGGTGGTAAAGAAGTGTTCCAGTATGTGGAACTCTATCCCAGCTAAACCCAAGTTTCCAAACCAGTAGCCATAATTATGGTGATCAGAGACAGAGCACTGTAGGAGGTGCTGTCCTTGGCATGACATTAAACCAAGGTCTGGTTTATGTGGTCATTAAAGATCCTATGGCACTTTTCAAAAGAGTAAAGTTAGTTAACACTAGTGGCCAGTAGCCTTCTTAGCACTCCACTTTTATTAAATTAGTAAAGCAATTTCCCATTTTCAAATTCTCAACCTAATCTGCTGTGTAGTGTGACTTTTGCTAGATAATGGTTGCCACACATCACCCAGGTGGGCGTGGCAAGTGTGTTGCATCTTAGTCTCAAGGAGACAACAGATTCATAGCCTTTAATTAAAACTCTTTTGTTGATTTTTACTTTTTATAAAAAGTACAGTTTTCAAACTACAAAATGCTCTTTCACACATCAATTTCCCTACGGGATTAATAAAGTATTATCTATCTATCTATGTTTCCTTGGCAATTTATACCTCTTATGTTTATATTTGTCAAAGATGATACATTCAGCTTGCAGCAGGGTGCTACTGTGGTGCTTTTTGACTGTTAGTCTTGGTTTCGTCAATAACTGTGTAATGTTACCCTAGCACATGCTGAAAAGAAATAGTAGAGCTTAAAGGTCAGTAAAAAACTAAATACTGCTGCTGATGTTGGTAAGCATGTGATTTTATAGGTATGTTTTTAAAAGGCAAAAAGTAAAAATTGTGTTCATTATTGTGAATCACTCTAAGATTGAAGGTGTTTCACTTTCTGAAATGATGCAAGATGCATTGTATTTTCAGTTTAGCCATTTTCAATTGATAACCCCCAAACAGAAATTAATTGACTGGAGACAATTTACAGTGTTAAAAAAGCTAATTATCAATTAGTGAAAGTATGTAGTAATTAACAGTTTATGTAATAACATTTAAGTATTAAACTTAATATAAATAACCAATATGTATAGTGCAAATACAGTGCATTCTAAACGTATTACTATTTACATATCTACCTGGATTTCAGTTTTGCCACAGAAAATCATTTTAATCAGGACTTTTTTCACATGCGGCCTCCCTCACAAATTTTGCTGTTATCAATAGAAAGCTATTTTCTTTACTTCTACAAAAGCGAAAACTACCAATTTAGCGGTTCAATGCCTAGCTAAGTAAAAAATACTTAAAATTGTTAGGTGATGACATCTTACTTTTTATTTTTTAATTCACGAGTTTAATTATGAAGATAACATTTTTCACATGTTTTTGCTTTCATATGTCTGTATACATTAAAATGCGAAGTAATTCTTAAAAACTTCAGAAGCCTCATACAAATTTAAGTGTTATAAATGAAATTTTTACATTTAGAATTGGCAATTGATTTCTTCAAAGGGGAACTGCTGTCACAATTCCTCAGGGAATTCTACTAGGGTTTTTTCTCTTGTACTTCAAATCCAATCTCTGATTTAAACTATTATTGCTTGTTATATTAAAGGGTTGTTTTAAATATACATGTTAGGCATTTCTCTAAAGGTCTTTAGCTTTTTACAAATTATCATATTGACCATATATTAAATCTCCGTAACAAAATAAATTAATTGACGGTATAGAAAAACTGACAGATTTTGAATTAAGCACAAAATTGTTAACGTTGTGAAGCTAATGTAAGTCACCACTGTCTCAAATCCCTGGTCTCACCACAGGCGAGAAGGAAAGTTCCCAGGGGCTGTGCCATGATGCAGCCCTTCATGCTCACTAGTCACTTTAATGACTAATGTGATGTGTGAGCAAATTAAGTACATGCAGATATTTCACCACAGAAAGTGATCTGCATGCAAAGTTAACAAGTAAGTTCTATTTAACAGCAAAACCATCTCAAAGTTGAGAGTTATATTTCTATTGGATTAAAAGAGATGCATTAACGTGCCTGTTTATAATGTAAAAGGGCCACTTCATGTCAACGGAGGTTTTATTATCGTCTCGGAAATGTATCTGTTTCATGATGTAAGCTGGAGGTTTTACAAGTTACTGTGTACATTTTACTTTTATTGTGGTTTAAAATGCACTCATCAACGCTGGATTCTTTCTAACCCTGAAAAATAAAAATAGCGTTGCAGTTCCCCTTTAAGAATCACCTCAATCTCAACTTGCTCACAGCTACAAATCTACTAATCCTGTGACCCCACACAGTAGAGAATTGGAAGTGTATGCAGCCTCCACTGACTGTCATCTTTGAAGCATGTCTTAATACGTCACAGGCAACACTCCTCCTGCTGGAGGTTCAATGCCAGTTGGAATAAAGGCATGTTCCTCTTCTACAGCACTGCAAGCCTGAGAGCACCTGAGCACCTCATGGGTTCTGTTGAGAGCCTTGTCCTGTTAAGCCCTGACTCTACTCTCAGATGTGCTCAGCCAATTGTGTGCCGCCTCTTGGGGAATCTGACTCATAGTCAGCTAGTGACATGACCCAAGCTTAAAGCTACAGTGCTGGCATCATTGAACTTACGCTGTGCTCGGACCAGTGCCTTTACTTCTTGAGGCACTATGGGAGGGCTTTCTTTAAAGCTTGGCTCTATAAGGGATGGGTTCCATTTGTGCTGTTCACATGGAATCACTCAAAAGCTTGAATGTTAACTGTGCACCCAGAGTTTTTAGGAAGTCATACACCTGATCATACTGGATAACTGGGCATAATGGTCAATTTAACAGTTTCCAATAGATTTAATTTATTCTTAATACAGCATAAATATAACACTGTGTTTGGGTATACTTAAAATGAGCTGAAACATGTATAATAGACATACGTTTTCACTTGATTAAATGTCTGCAGTAATGGAAAGCGGGTATTGTTCTCTGTGCACAGCTGTAGTGAAGCTTTAGGAGATACGGCAGGCTTTGAGTAAGTTACATTATGTAATGTTAAAGATCCCAGCTACAAGGAACCATTTAAGAATGTGACAAGGGTACTTTTGTCATGAAAAATCCTATTTGTCTGTATTAATACAATGAAAATTTAATGGACAGAAAATTCTCTTGGATTTAATTTTGTATTTGTAGAAATGCAAAGGAAAAATCTCAAAACATGGCCTGAAAACTAAACAATATAACAAATATAGAATCTAGAAAAACATATAATCTATTTAAAAAACTTTGGGTGTTTTTCATTAAAGGTATTTAAAGTATTTTTTCACTTGCTCCAAAATAAGTGATTTTAAGATTTTAAGAAGTCTGCAGTTTAAGGAAAAGTCATGTTGTGGCTGGTTTCCTAAAAGGAGGTTTATTTTAAAAAATGTGACATTTATATATTACTTGGAACAGACATTAACTTGATTTGTCATTGTTTATGTTGCTTTCAATAGGATGAGTGGAGCTTAACATGGATCATTTTAATACTAAATCAAGTGCCAGCCAGGAGCAAATGGGGAGCATGTGGGTAGATAATAAAGACTACGGTTAAATAATAGATTGTATTATTACTGAAACATATGGTAGTTTAAAGGAAAATACAGTACAGTAGCAGTTCACAATAGTCATGTAGGCCAAGTTCTAAATTATGGGCAAAATATTTCAGTTTTCTCATTTTAATTATCAAGCCTTTGTCCATTCCTTGTTTTAAAATCACCCCTCATTCAGGTGTGTGAGCTGAAATGTAAACAACTGGACTTGACAGATGGAAAAATCAAACTAATTGTTCTTACAAGAAGTAAAAAATAAATATGTATATATAAATAAAATATTCGCATAATACCTCTATTACATCAACTTAAAAACTTGCTGCTCGGACAATTTCCAAGGTTTCTGTAGTGTTTTTTACTTTGTCATTACATTATTCCGCTACCCTTTCCTAGAAAATTTCTCTTTGATTATTTTTTTGTGATGCCCACCCAATTTTGGAATTGCCAGTTGTGTATTTTGGCTTACGGCTGCGAATCCCGTTCCTTAACACACGAGAGAATGAGGAAGCACAGGCCGACTGCTCTGACCTGCCCAAATTTGAGCCACTGGTTGCGTAGCCCTGCCCCCTATTGGAGGTTCAGTACCAATTGCAGAAAAGACACGTTTCAATGGCAGCACAAGAAGCCGACAGGTGTCTGGAAAGCTACAGGTGTTGCCGACAAAAAAGACTGCCAAAGCCGTGCAAAATTTTCAAAGCCTGAGGGAACAGAGTGCTTGAGATAAGAGAATCCCGAATGTGTTGATTAAGAATGTGTTGTTTTAACTTGGGTGAAACATACAAATAAGACTACAAAATATAAATGAAAATACCTCAAAGGCATAATTATATATTTTTAATCATTCAAATGTAATTTCTCATTTTTAATTTTTTTTCTTCTTTTTAGACTTTTTCATTGTCATATTTGTAATTTTCTAATTAAGTGATAAAGGCAGGTCTTGTCCTTTACCTTGCAAAAATGAAGGGAGACAGTGCTTTCTCTGAGACCTGCACTTGTTAGTCTACCCACCTCTTATTCACTCTGGACCTCCAGTGCCAGCAGAGGGAGATCAGATTCAGTTTTATTCTTTGATACTGCAAGCTCCTAGGCACCCGACGCTTCAGTGGTCACTGTTTTAGAGCATGCAGAAGACACCCTGGCTGTCTCCCATGCAGCTATGCAGTTCGACTCGAACCAGCATGGTCTGTGGAGTTCTATAAGCCACACTGCGGCCACAGTCAAAACACATTTGATGTTGATACAGGAAAATATCCAAAATTTAGTTTTAGACTGGGATTTTGTTTGTAAACCTCAGCTTTTAAAATTATCTGCGAAAGCCTAAGATCCTGAGCAGAAAATAGGAGGAGATTAAGAAGGAATTAAGGGTTTAAAACAAAATCAGCTTATGAACCCACTTGTCACATCTTACAATTTCACACAGATGGGCCTAATTAACATCAAGATGCTTCCCTGACTACTTTTCAAGCCCGCAGAAACAGGGAACTCTTTACAGCACAAGTGCCATTGCACATCACCCAGTCTGCTTAATTTCAGCTTCCATTCATGCCAGAGTTCAGTTTATTTGCTTTATTGAAAATGTGTTTGGATTTGTTCTCTAATTTGTTTAGAAATAATAAATTCCTTTTTTGTAAGCATTGTAAAATTCTAATATGTAGAACTATTTTTAAATCCTTTTCATGAGTTTTTTAACTTAGAACCATCTACCTTCAGAAATGAAGCCATGCTGACAGAACTTTCTTGTATCTCCTCTCCCATGTGTTCAAGTGAAATGTATGATTTGTGATTTGTGGTTCAATTTAAGGGCACATTATCATGCATATGTTTCATTAAAGCTTGAGTAAATATCCCGGAATTGCAGTGTATAGTGGCATTACAGTCTGATTAGGCACTGTCCATTTGAAGTTTATATAGGGTATTATACTATCTTTAGAAAAGGTGCTAGTACTATAGGAGATGTTAAGCTTTGTCAAAGCAAATTTGTTCTCAATTCTCACCTTTCTTCATAACCTTTAGCAAAGCAACATTTAAAAAAATTAAATGAGTTCTGAGATGAGAGGCACCATCAAATTGGGAAGACCTGAGATTGATCTGAACCGGAGTTCCAGATCAATAAAAATAGTGCCTTGCGCCATGTAATATTAATACAGTATTGCTATTAAAGCATTTAAAATAGCAGCATTCAGGGCTGGTAATATTAAATGAAAGGCTCTTAACATGGTTTTACCTTTAGAGGAAGAACAGAGTAATGTAATATATGAATATTAATTATATTAATATCATTTTGAGTTTGTAATGTCATACATTAATTAGTGCTTGAAATTAGGTTCTTTCAAATAATGAAGTTTCTGTCACCTCTGTTTGCACTTTAAATCAGTTTTTCTTACAATCTTAAATATTATGCTTATTGTTATATAGAATTTGATATTCAGAGCTTTCTGTTTTTAAAAAGATTTTAACTTTAAATTGGTATCTAAAGAGGTGATATCATTGTCACTGTTAAAAGTTTCACACTGATATTTTAAGATTTTTTATCATGTCTATTTTTGTCTTTTTTTTCCCAAGGTCCTCTCTGGATAGTTCTGGTTGCAGATGGGGAAGGATTTGTTCCGCTGACCTTTAAACACAGGGATGAAATCACTATTCGAAATGGAAAGTCAAAGGCTCTTCCACGGTCCCACTTTAGTGCTGATATTTCAGATGGCCCACATTCATCATGTGCAGAAAACTAGAAAAATGGCCAATGGCTTGAAAGGTGTTTTATCAGGATACTTTGTGGTGGATTCACAGTTTATTAATAGAGCTGAGATGTCTTATGTAATGTATTTTATTTTACAAATACAAAAACTTAGGAACATAGCACTGGTGTTCACCACTAATTATTAATTGTGCAAAGGTAACCAATGAACTTGTTTTATTTTGATGCCTTGAGGGTAGAGGACCGTATTTCCATGTGGTCACTGGGACACTTTGAGACAGTTGGGAATTTTAAACGGAAAGAGGTTAATGTATGCATTCAGCATTACTTCTGTGCACCTTAAATGTTCATTTTTTCAGCCATTACTCAAGACAGCTGCACAATTTTATTGATTTGTCAAAAGCACCATTGTAGCTGCAAACAGGTAAAGGTTGATTCCATGCTGAAAAGAAAGGAAAAGAAACACAACTTTTAACAGTTTCAGCTGTGGAGCCTTCTTCAGATGTGAAGAACACCCCACAGCCGAAAAGTTTTCTTTTTTGTTCTCTTTTCAGCATGGAATAAACCTTTACTTGTTCCTTTGCCTCCTATGCTTGCTGACCCAGCTACTCGCTTGAACTTCATCATTGTAGTTGTGTTTCTTAGTGAACAGCTGATCAGCATAATGTATTTAGAGTGTACAAGTAGGAAGTGTAGATATACCTTTGTTGAGATTAATATTACTGTAACTTGCTAATTAACATCTTTCTTTTTAAAGGGCAGTTTTAAAATCCCATTCTTCCTTGAAGTGTCCTGGTGAACACAGAGGCATGTGGTTGTTCTATTTTTAATAGGCATCACTCCTTGTTGTCTGCTAGGTACAGTACGAAAAGACAAGTATGAGCCACGTAGCAGCAAATATGGACTTATGAGGTTGCAGAGCTGAAAGACTCATGCTTTACACTATTTGATCAAATTGCACCAATGGTATTGTTGAATGAAGGAGAAGAAGCATGTTCAGGCAATGGCGTGCAACTATCCACTGTTACAATACTCAAGAAGCACTACCAGTTCACAGAGAGCACAAGTGATTGGCCCTGATACTGTTACCTGTGTATAAGAGCCAAGGAAGGACCACCTCAGGTATTGGCTCTCTGCAATAAAAGCTGTTGCTGCTAACACATTTGTGCACCAAGGAATATCCATACATTCATTTGCAAACTGCTTTATCCAATTCAGGGGGTGTGGTGGAGCTGGAGTCTATCCATGCAAGCAACAGGTACAAGGTCTGGTACAGACACACACACACCAGGCCATTTTTCCCCAAAAACCTACCAGTAGGTTTTTGGATGGTGGAGGGAAACCCACACAGACACAGCGAGAACATACAAATCCACACAGGTACTGTAGCACCACGAGTCTGGAATTGAATTCCGGGCCCATTTAGGGAATACCCATGAACCTGAATACAATTGTTATAGCACCTGTTAAATGGTACATGCATGTCAGGATACGCAACCATGAAATACCATTACTTATGAATCAGTTACTTCAGAGAGACATGGCTTAAATTTGTCATGTGGCCCATAGCTCAAGTCACTTTTGTCTTTGCTGTATCAGTACCTAAATTTATCTCACCTTATTTTTATAAGTGATTTTTGGGGGATTGCATTTTAAGTTTTTCAGTATATTATGAACCTGAATTTCTGTCTTTTTTTTCCACTGAGGACCTCCATAGCTTTTTCAGTGATTAATCTATAATAAATTCAGACATGTTTATAATGTTCTTAGTAACTTTGCTGTTCTATATCAATTGTAAGACTTCAAAATTTACACAAAACTGGAAAAATATACATTTTGTTGCTTTCTTGCAGCTGTAACTTAGCAATACTTTATTCATTTTGCATACCTCAACTCATTAGTATTTAATTTTAACACTTTTAGGAAGTATTACATCTGGTGTGTTTTACAATAAATTAAATATCTACCTCAACTCTGCTAGTGATAAAAACTATTTAGACAAAATTACCACAGTACATTTTAAAAATGTCCTTTACAATTTGTTCTTCATAAAAATGATTTTAGAAAGCTTTGTGAACCTTCATAGAATTTAAGATAAATATGCAAGATAAAGAATTACTGTATATAGTCTTTAAACTCCTTTGCCTGTTCTTTGTAGTCTGAACATGTTTTATACATTGAAAAAAATCCTTACGTCATGATTAGAAGTTTTAAATGCAAGGTATTTCATATTGCCAAATGAATGTGATATTAAACCTGAATGACGATTTGTGAGCAATCCTTTGGCTTCTAAAGAAGAAGCCATACATTTTCTACTTGTTACCCATACTGTGTACATCATTTTTTCCTTCAGTTCCATTTAGTCAAAAGGATCTGAGAAATGGTTGAAGAATTTTAAATACTGTAAATAAAGATTTAACATAGATGCATTTTGCTGTTATATTATTTTGATAGATGTCCTTTGTAGAATACACATTTCTTTTCCAGATGTTTCAGTAGTTCGTTTTTTTTAAACTGTTGTTTTAGCTGTTTGTCACATTCTAATGGGTTCTGGTTTTCCTGAATGAATAGTGCAAACTATACTGCTCATAGTTAGAAGAGGCACTTCATCTATTTTATATTTCTGATGGTACTCAAAGTTTGCGACACACTTCCCTCCTCCCATTATTCTTTACTCATGCACAAGCATATTGTAGTGTTCACTCTCCCAGTGATGGATATCCAGGACTGTGCTTTGACCTTTCCCCCTTTTCCACCTGTAATAATGCTCACTTTCTTGAATTTTCCAATAAAAGATGGGACCTATACCCTCTCTCTTCTAATTCATGGGTGGCTAGTAAATGCCATGACCTTTACCAATCTCGGTAGCATGCAATTGGTAATTATTAAGGGCAATAACCCCATGTGAACTTGCAGCCGCTCCTCACCTGCTCTTCCACTTCTTACACCTGCCATCTAAATGAACGTTTCTACAATGTTACCATTAATTTTAGAAACAGCTTACAGCATTTCAGTTTTTAACATGATTTTGCCGTGAAATGCAGAGTCAGATTATCCCGGCAGAAACTGTTGACCGTAAAATAAGGAGCTTTGCTCAACCACTCTCAAACGTTCTGAGTTTATATACAGTATGTCAAACTAGAAAAACTTAACTCACACCACATTAAGTTCCCAAGAGATACTCTTCTGTTTCATGTATACCCCCAAAGTGAAAAGTAGCACTTTGGATACACCAACTCCTAAAATATTGTATCACACCCGTTAATGTTTGAAAGGCACACCACTATGCCCTGGACCATCAGTTTATAAACACTGCTTAAGACATCACTGGGAAACAATGAAAAAAGATAACTTCCAGGGAACCATTATCATAAAGGCTCTTACACCTGGTAAGGGTCTTGGCTACCCAGAGAAGGGAGAAGAGCAGTCTCGGGCCTATTCTCTGCGATACACTCTGGGTATAAGACCTGCATGCCACACTCGGATTTAAAGCCACACTGCATGTTTCACTGAAGAAACAGATGGAATGAGCCAAAACATTTCTATATTCAAAACCTGATAAATGTCAGGTTAGTTAGGAATGGTGTTTCTTTTTAGTGTGCCAGGGCGCATTAGATGTGATTCCAGTGATCTCATGCTGGGAGTAGGGAGTGCAATTGAATGTTGAGATCATAGTTAACGAGAATGTTTCTGGGATGTGGAAGGACCTGGAGGAAAATTACTCGGCCACAGGGAGGGCATGCGAACCCCACACAGATCGCACCCCAATCTGAGGCAGGCCCACTAGTTCCCCAGACTTTCAGATGTTGCCAATACCGAAGCTTTAAGAAAATGCCCTTTTGCATGTGGAGGGATAATCTGGTTAAATTTAGCATTGACCACATCAACTGATTCTTGTGCTTAAATTAATCCGTATAGAGCTGTTCATTTTAATCCTATTATCCTTCTTGAACTGTGAAGAGCATTTACAGCTTTTCATATCTGTGTTTAAAGGACAAGAGGCAATTACATAAAGCAATTGTTAAGGGTTTTAAATGTGAATTTAGAATATGAAACAAAATTAAGTATGAAATCTAGCTGACAGGTGCATTCTCATTACTGTTTCTTGAGGAATTAGTGCTAAGGCTTCTGGATATCCCGAGGTTTAGCCTTTCTTGGTTATTCATGAGGTATGAAGAAGTTCAGCGTGCCAAACTCAACCATCCTTCATGTCTTTTCAGTTCCTCCCACACTGTGTTTTAATTCAACGTCCCTGTTTTGTCTGTGCCTGTTTCCTCAGTGTGGAATAAGGCATGTTCCAGTGTCAGTCTCTACTCTCCCATCTGCCTCTGCACACGATGACTCAGGACGGAAGGAGATGGATCGCTCAGAAGGCCTAATGTGTCTGGGCACTTTCTCAGTTGTTTCAAAGGTTACCATCTGCTGTCTTCTACACCTACATTAATTTGGCTTCATGCATTTTGCCACCAAAACAGATGGTTTTTTTACAGACAGGTGTAAGATTGTATTGTTATCTTTGCAGCACCACAGAGAGCTATATTACAGCCAGATGGAGTTTGAATTTTCACACGGTTTGAATTAGTAAATTTGGTTGAAACACGGAGCTGTGTCATATTGACGACGTCTATAGTACTGCATGGTCTGCCACATGTGTATGATGTATGACAACACCCTGTGTAGGAGGAAAATGTTTGTTTGCACCTAGATCTTAGACATAGCGTACTGGAAGTATTTGAGGGAGTGGGAAGTATGAATGAGTGAATAGCTATTTAAGAATGTGAATTCGCAGAATTACCAATAGAAAGTGCAGCCAAGGAAATTCTGACGAGTAAAAAAGAACAAAGACATTTTAGTTTTCTTTAGGCAAAACATTGTTCAGTAGTACATCAATATTAGCAATGTGATTATGATAGCAAATATTCAGTAGGGGAAGAAAGCTGTACTTATTTTAACAAACCAGCTTATACCAAACTGCAGCATCTGTTCTTTACAGATCTAACCATGGCCATTTGAAAACACCAGACAAACCCTTGCAATTGCCCATGTATGTTTTACTTTAAGAAAATAAATAGCAAAATACAATAATTTAAATTAAAATGTAAATCTTACATGGTTATACACACTTATTTCCTTCCAAAAATAGAGCTCTACTAATATATACCAAAGCATATTGAAATGCTTATTTATTCCAGTGTAATATACACTGCTGAAAGACATCCCATACAGCCTGGAATATGACCTGTCCCACATGAAGTCCATTCACTTAAGGAGCTCATGCTTTGCTTCCCTGTTCATGAATCTCGCTTCCTGAATTTAAGCCACTCTTTCTGCAAGGGAAAACACAAATGAAAGCCCATTAGATTGTAAAACATACATGAAAGTGTTCATATGACAATAAATAACACCCTAAACCAGTCTATAAATGTGAAAAGGGAAGACCAGACAGCAAGAGGATCACTGACAGGACATGAGCACCAAACTTTTGCTCTTTTTTCTTATTGAGAACCGTCGTTCTCAGAATCAAGGGGCAGAGGACAAAACTTGAGGCAAATGTCTCAATAGTAAAATACAAACTGAAGTAACAATCACCATCTCACACTCAAAAGAGTGAAATTTCATCTTATTTCGACCGAGTGCCCAATTTTGTAATTTGATGAGTTGAAAAGAAAAATAGATTGAAGCATTACTCCCTGCCTGACATCTCAATCAAATTTCTTACCAACTATTTCAGCTCAATCTGTAGTGTAATGTTTGTCTTTTAAGACTGAGGGTAAACGAATTGGGTAATCAGATCATTTGTGCATCTAAAACCATTTTTTATACATTGACTACCTTCATCTAAGAGTTTCTGTACATAACAGAAAATGTTCTTAACCTCTATTTGTGTGATCAGTGAAAAAGTACCTGAGCTCGTCAAGGTGACGCTTGTTCGTTGACCTGACTTTCTCTGTGATTGGATACAGGTACAGAATCAGCAACCCAGTTACAATGAGAGCTGCTGGCACTGCTCCGATCAGCAACTTCAAGGTAAAGGCCACTAGAGGGGGCTGTCTGCAAGCTCCTGTGTCGTAGCCAGCAAATCTGCAGCAACCAAAAGCAAGAGACACAAATTACACACAGCATATATTAGGGTCTTAAACTGCTGCATGCACTGCATTTAAATTCAGTGTTACACATTTTTATGTATAAGGGTGTTTCAATAAAAACAGAAGAGTTCAAATGACAATACATTTATTTGTGTACAGTGATAGGTATGAACAGATCAGGAGCTAGTGGACACCTTGTCTTCAAAACTAGACATATGTCCCATCATGACACCACCACATTGAGCCCAGCATAGGAGAGATGTGTGTCAAGAGCCAAGACTGTACTGTTGCAATATTGCTTGCAAATCGTCTGCTGGACAGGTGCTTCTTTAAAGGTCTAAAAAGACTGGAAGCCAGGTAAGGGCTGTTTAGGGGGTGATGAAGCACTTAGCACCTATAACTCCATGAGCAAGCACAGGCACTGCTGACAGCGCATGGTGTGGTGTTGTCATCCAGCAAGACAACCTGGCACAACAACCTGGGCTATGATCCCTGACAGTCCAGTGTCACGGGGAAAGGAAATCAATAATAAAAACTCCCCGACAGTCCTAAAACAGGATCTTGCTCACTCAGCGGGTAGTGTTGAGTGTTGTTGTAGGAGCAGGAGGCTGGAGGTACTGACATCCACTCTGATGTAACATCATGCACTATAATGAAGCCCTGAAGGAGCTGTGCTTCCTCTGGATGGGAAAAGTCAGGCACAGCAGAGAGCACTGTCTGAGTGTGAAATAATGTAAGTGTTTTTGCTACTCAGCAAGTGCAGACTTTGCCATATCCCTACTACATGCAGATGTCATTGTGCTTTCTACCCAAGAAAGAGACCATTTTCAAGCATTGGTCTTCCCTCTTTCCCTTCCTATAAACATTCTCACCTGTGGAGATATTCATCATGAAGTATGCTGCCATTAACAAAGGCCTTACTTAGGTCTTACGTATTGAAACACCCTTGTGTATTATATACATACTATTCACATGCACATACAGTATAAGAACATTTTAACTCAATAATAAGATAAACAGAGTTGACATTGCTGATATGTTTTTATTCTAAAAACTTTAAAGGATGAATGTTAAACAGATGGCAGAGACTCAGAAAGTGACCTATTTAAAGTTCCAAGACCAAATCAATAGCTATTTTTTAGATTATTGAAGGACCAATAATCATCCTATATTGTAAACAGAAGGTTAACTGCTATTTAATTTATCACCTGCTTTACCCTGTGTTTATTTCAGTGCTTATGTCTGTTTTGTGACTGTCCCGAGCACGTGTTTATACTCCAACATCAAGGGGACTCACTCAAGACAAAGTGTAGAAACCCCTAGAGAAACTCCTGCAGCAAACTTCGTGAAGAACACGTAAAAGGAGTAGAAGATGGCTTCATGTCCCTTCATTCCTGGGTTTTGCAATCTGAAGTCATCCAGCACATCAGGTAGCATTGACCTCAATTAAAAAAAATATATGTAACAATTCATTATTGTGTCACACTATAAAACCACGTATTGATGGAACTGATTTAATAAGAACTGTGTATCCTGTGATAACTACTGTACAGTAAGGTATGAGACTATTAATCAAAAACAAAGCATGAAGTATATTGTCCAGCTATTTCTTTGGTGTTTAGGCCAGAAAACTGACATACCACATGTAAAATTGTTTCAGAAAATTAAAAAAAAGCTTTCTACATCGTAACTTCTTAATAATTAATAAAAACTATATGGCTGTCCCTGAATTTAAATTTCCAAAATGAAAATGAGGTAAAGAAGGGAACGGACCAAGTACAGGTATGAGCAAATGAGTGGTAAAAGTTTTTTTAAAAAACATTTAAAATTAAGAATTAAGAAAGAAGTTAATTTAAATCAATGAAGCCTTTTGGAACTCATGACCACTTTGCACTGATGTGTAGTAATATCCTTTATTAATCACAGGGATCCTAAAACAAAGCTCTCTCAACCCACGGTCTCATCAAGCTGACATGTCTCACAGGCAAACTGCAGCGCAAATCATCCTTTCCACCTGGGGCTGCGGTATTTATCTGCTCTTACCATGGCAACAGAATAGAAGCAGCCACACTCAGACCAGACATGACTGCCACCACGTAGGCCACGATCGGCCTGGGAATGCACACCAGCGTGACGATGAACGGAATCATCCACTGCAAAGGAGACCGGACAAGCAGGAGTCACACGTCACGCCGGTACAGAACACAGCCACTACTGCTCGAACTTCAGGAATTATTATTGTTTAAATCAAAGATGATTAGGGTATACAGTAAACAGAAAAGCAAAATCTGTTACTGGCCTCAAAAACGGAACTAATACTGAGCACTTTGAGCAAGCATTAAACAAACTGTTGCAAAAAGTTTCTCTTTAACAGAGAAAGCACAACAGCTTCAAGTTTCAGACAACATGGAATATCGCTTGTAAATAGGTACGCAGCATAACACGTGATGGAACTGTTCTTCACTGCCTCCCTCAAGTTCTAAATACATCTAGGCAGTACCAAACCCTTCACATACATGTATAATCAGAAATTAAACTTCTGGATTTGTGGAGCCAATAAAGAAATCGATAGAAATAACGGCACAAGTGTGATTTTTATCAAGAACCATTGGAATATCATGGTTATCATTTGTTTAAGGCTGCTGTGACACATTGATGGCCAGGACTAAAACCAGAAAACAAATCAGACTGAATTGTGGTTTAAAAAAGCTTAATTACTAATAAATTTCTTTCCCATAACCTTAACCCATTAAAGCCATTAGGGTCTGACTTATCACCTCTTTTGAAAGACAAAACAAGAGCAGATTTCCAGCATTCTATGATTTCAGCTGTTTTGAAAGAGAGTTAAAATAAGTTTGTCAGTGGAGCAAATATTAAATAAGATGCAAGTTTTAAATGACATTTTTTCAAGACTATTTTAACCAGCAAATAACTAACATACCGTCAATTTTACAAGCCCAGCTAGCTCTAAAGCTGAAGGAATTGTGGAACATAAGTGCATCAAAGTCAATTGGATAAACATAAAATACTGACCTGTCAAGCATAACTCTGGCATTAATTAAATGTTCACTAAATAAATTAACTGTTTTTTCTTCTCACACAACATTATGTTTTATGTAATTGAATTAGCAAATGAGAGGCTAATAACTTGTTCAACATTGATTTAACTTACTTAAACATTTCTTAGGATTGGTTATGAGGTTAGAGAATTGATGGTTATAACAGCTAATTTAAGAGGTTCTAATGGCTTGTATGCATATGTATGAAGGAAGGATTGCAGAAACCCTAGTAATTTGCCTAGCTACACTCTTCTGTTTTATTGAAGTTGACATCTCAGGACTAAAGCTCATAATTGGTGCCTGCTTGTTGACAATATTTCTAAATCATTAAAAAATATTGTATGTTCCAATTAATTAAAGGCAGATCATGCTGAAAAGGCTCAACTACAATTCTTAATGTTTATTTTAAATAAAATCAGAGGGGCTGTTCCTCATGTGTTCGTTCTTACATGGTATGAAACAGTGATTACTAATATCCTTAATATCCTTACGTATACAGTACCAGTACTTGGCAGGAGTCTTTCTGATTATGATGTCAAGAAAGGCTAACTTGGTAATTCTGAGTCAATTCTAGTAGGTTTGTTTATAATCTGAAATCTGAACGGTTTAAAGAATTAAATTGGCTTTTGACCGTTATTTGGTTTTAACATATCTCAGTTTAAATCTCACAATAAAATAAAGTGAAGAGATCAGATAAGGAGCAATAAATTCAGTAAATAGTGTTTGCAGGATCAAAGGGTGGTCTATACCATACTGTGGCTGTTTGTTATTTTTAGAGATGTGGATTTTTATGAGCAAATCTAATTGTTTTGGACTGATTTAGAAAATAACAGAGAGAGAACTCTATTAAACTGTATTAAGTGTCTTGAATTTAAATGGCAACTCTGCTTCCCTAATGAGATCTGTCATAGAAAAAGGCTTCATCACACCTACTGTATGCACTGCAAACCACAGTCTCTTAAGACAGTCAAGAAATATGCAAGAGGGGCAGTCTTCTGAATACAGGTGCAGATTGCACATGTCTCAACTCAGGTCTCATTGAAAACAAATGAAAACAAAACAAATGCAGTTTAATACTGGCATATTAAGCACTCATTTTAAATGCATTCGTCCTATTAATAAAATGTTTTTTAAGGATGGCCAAACGTGCATTGCAGGAGTCATTCAATGACATCTTAAGTGTGTTAGTTTAAACTGGAATCAGTTGTGGCCATGAAAGATTTTCATTGCCACTGTCCAGGAGCTGTTCTCTCTCTCAGTGAGAAGAAGCACTGTAATTCTAAACAACATGAACTTCTTTTCCTCAGAACTGCAGTGTATGAAAGCTAAATAAAACTAACACATCAGGTCCCAGTCTTCCAGTCTTTTTTGTAACACTGCTTATGAAATAAAAATGCATCCTTGCTGGCTTGCCCAACATGTCTATAGTAACCCTCAAATCCCAAACAGTCAGAAAAACACCAAGAAAGCAGCGCCTAAACCTTGATGCCTTCTTGGCATCACCTGATTACACATTATTTTATTTACAATATTGCCACCACAAACCCAGCATTCTGCTGTTCTCCCCAGACCAAATGCTGTAATAAAAGGCTCCTGCCTAGCCAGCTGATTCTACATTTGGTATCTGAGATGCCAGTGGAGTGGAAAGCCTCGCGCATGAGGGTGGAGTGCAGATCAGAATGGAAAGAACCGGGAGAAAAATGCTTACTGAAATGCCACAGAACGCTGCTGTCTTTTTGCCAAACCTCTGCAGGAACCACTGCCATAAGGGAATACTTACAGCTGCAGCAATCTGGATAGGAAAGGAAAACACAACTCACAGCACTGTCCTGACAGCACTAATTCACTCTTCCTACTGCGAGCGATGATTCACATACAAATGTGCACATTTACCTGCAATTATGACAAAGTCATTTTTTTGTTTTTAATCTGAAATGAAAGTAAAAGTGAAGACACGCAGCACAGCTTGCACGTGGCTTAAGGCAGCAGCACTATCAGAATATAGTATAAGAATATCGGAAGGAAACTGATGCTCACTTCAGGATGTTCTAAGAGTTCATGGTTACTGATCCTAATGTACAGTATGTGTGAAAGAGAAGTGGTATAGATTACTTTTAATACTTTTAATTGTTAAATATGAATAGGGTACACAAATTAAGCAATTGCAAAACCATCGTACTTACAAGAATTGTCAAAACAATGTTCTGAAAGTGATCTTGGAGATCCACGGCATATGTACAAAACAGGACAAAGTTGCTCTGCACCAGCTGGTAAAAGAAATGCAAACCCCTGAGGATTTTTTTATGTGGATGTAGAGTTAGCCCACTGTGGCTAACTCAAGACCTTTATTACCAAATTGACTCACTTTAGAGAAAAACAAGTCAGTTTTCGTCGTGTAGTTAGCACATGTGACTTAGACGTGCCTCCAAGTCTGTATACAAGCCCAGTTAGTCCAGTAGGTGTGTTGGGAGATGAATGAGAGCTTTTGACATCACTTTTAAGCCTCTGGCCAAGAGGAAGCTCAGTCTTCAGCTAAGGTGATGAACTCTGAAAGGGAGGCGTGCCTTTAGGGAACATGGCCAGACCTCACAGGAAGGCTGGGGAGGAAAGGTGGCCGGGGAATGGATGAAGGAGGAGTACAAAGCACACCACACAATGAAAACCTGCGCCACCTTTTTCCAAGCCATTTTCACCATCTTTGCAATCAAGCCAAGACTGACAACAAAGAAGCCTGCCAGCGGCAGTGGGAAATGGCAGAATTCTACCTGCCCCTTCATTACTTCTGAAAGGGTACTGTATGTACTGTGTAGAAACCTCCAGCGGTTGAAGGCAGCGTCTTGAAAATATGAATGTCTGGAGCCTGAAGAAGGTTGAGATGCTGGGCAAAGTACATTGACCTGCTGGGAGGCCTGGCACCAGGGCCGAATGACTGGTTCCCATGTGGTACTGTGAGCTGTGACAGCCCTCCTTCCTTTATCTTTAATTGGCTTTTTGTTCCGAGTATGTTTTGCAACAAAATTTGAAAACAAAACTGTAAAAGTGTATCAAACGGAAAATGGAAACTCACCTGGAAAGCCACGGAAATAAAGAGGAATGCTCCTGTTAGTTTGATGTATGGTCCATGTTGCATCACCAGTTTGAAGCCTTTAAAAAATTGAATAGACTTGTCTGTCTTCAATGCATAGGGATCTATATGATAAAAAGCAGCATAGCATAGAGTTAACATTTTAACAGTATCACATCATGTTGTTTGCGATAGCATGTCTTCTGCTTGATAGGTTGTACAAGAGACTTATTTACAGGTACGGTACTTCACAGATACTTCTGCTTTATGGATCATGCAGCACCATTGATCTGAAGATCTCATCCAGTTATTTCTTGAAATAAGCTATCAGCTACAGTATAAGAGCATCACTGGGTAGCGTGGTCCACAGTCCTACGCCTCTTTGTCTAAAGAAGTGCCTCTAGTTTTCTGAGAACTGTTGACTGTGAACAAGTCCATTAGGTTGACTTTTTCAGTGCCTTTGAGAATTTCGAATACATAAATTGGGTAACTTTGTATTCCTCTCTATTGAAGAATAAAACTTTAAGTTATTTTAGCATGTCGATCTAGAAAATGCCTTTAAGCCTGAGAACACACTGTATATGGTCACTCTTTTCAGGACTAATTCCAGAGCTGCAATGTCTTTTAATAATGTTGACCAAATTTCTTCACAAAATTCAAAATGAAGTCATTGTACATTTTAAACAAAGATTCCCTGTAAAAATCTGTATTTTTATATATTTATGGTGTTGTCTTTTGATTGCTTTTCCACATTGTCAGGAAGATGAAAATGATGAGTCTGCCAGATTAACATACAGAACCCTTAAGAATTCAAATTGGAGAGAAATTCAAACATATTAAAAAGACCAATTGAAGTCTCCTGGTAGGGTTTATTGATTTTGTTTTTAAATTAAAGCACTTAATATTCAGTGTCACGCTTAGTTTTACTTCTTGTCCTGTTATTAAGGCCGTTGTTCTAAGTACCCATTATTAGACTTCATAGCACTTGTTGGACGGTGCTCAATTTGATTTCCCACTGGGGCCAAAAGATGTCAGCACTGCTCCCCAAGGAAGCTTCACTGTGAAGGGAAAGCTCAGCAGCAAGACACTGGTTCAGTAAGCTGCTGTGTGTGGCAGCTTCATGCTTTTACTTCTGATTGGCTTGCTCACCTCCTCGGGACATGCAGGGATTACCAACAGTTACATTGCTCATCAAATCATGACAGCAGGCACTGCAAGGAATGAACACAGCAGCGCATGCAGACAGCGCAGGTTAGAGCCTTTATCGGAGACACACAAAGCCGTCACACTTCTTACCATCCTTCTCCTTCACGCCGTAGAACAGCACCCCCGTGCAAAGCAGGAAGAGGGCTCCAATAACACCTGCAGCTATCATATACACCGCTTTCTGGAAAGAACAGGGAGAGCCCTTTTGTGCTTTCATAAAAAGTACATTGTCTCTGAGGAATATAACTTAAAAAACTTACTTCACAAAGGCAATCTGGTGGTTTTGCTGTATCTCTTTGCAACAGAGATAGACTACCAGTATCTTTCTATGTTTGGGATAAAAATAATAGCTATACTTATATACGGTATACTGTATATATATGACTGTATGTAGCATCACTCTTTGAAAAAAATGTATTGTCACTGTGTGGATTTACATTCACAATTCCGCAAAGTGTCTTTTAAAAACAGCATTGCAAGAGAAAGGTGCAATTGAAGACTTCCGACATAGCACCTTTTATTCCCTTTTTGCATACAAGTCAGGTCATTTGCAGGAATTCATTAACGGGCCTAATGCGCATCAGTCACAATAAAGTAGTGACTCCACACTCCAGGGGTGAAACAGAAACTTTTTCTGGTTTCAGGAGACATCTGAAAATCACAGTAAAAAAATCTCAAAATAATTCCTAAAATTTATACAGCGTTTTTCATCCCTAAAGATCCCACAACACTTCCCATATACTGTACAGGGTTTCCCGCAGTTGTATACAGGCCAAGCGGACCAGCTGTCCAAACAAACCCGTAAACACAGACAAAATGTATTCAAGACTCCATATTGAAATACTGTTTCGGAGTGAAACACCACAAGATTATTTCCCAGCCAGCAGCCTCGATGGTACAGTGCGTAATCGCATAGCTCTGAAGTCTCAAGGCTTGATCTGAAGATCAATATTTGCTTCGAGTCTGCATTGACTAAAATAATGAAGTATTGAATGTAAAATTGTTGCAGGGACTTAATTCCATTAATTAACCTATTTGATTTTTGTAAGTGAATAACAGAAGCCATCAATACTAGTAGTACAGAATGCCATCACAATTGTCGAAGAACTATGTTAGTAAGATGTAGAAAAAAAAAGGCAGAGTACAGTATATTGGAAACTAAATCATTACCCTTCCTCACTTGCCACTTAATTTTCAAAATAAAAATAGACATTGCCTCAATAAGAGCAAAATAATTAAAAATAAGTGCCTCAATAGCAAAAAAAACACATAGATGGCTTGATGCAGACAGAAAACATCAAACATAAATGCATTTGAAGCGCAATGCTCATTCTTGGGCAGCATCATGGGTAGCCTATGCTTTTGATGAATCCTATATAATCAAACTAGTTGTTGTGGTCTCATAATGTATTGTTCAGGATAATATTGTTTATTTACAATAATAAGATAAATAGTTTGTTCACAAGCTAATACAGTAATCTAGCTGTTAGATACTGTAGCTAGGTGTGTGGTGTAGGTTCCCACTTGTCTTAACTTTTTTCCTGCAGGAATTGAATACTAATGGTAATAGCTGGTGATAATGGCAGCCGTCATTCTGCACCAGTAATTCCATTTCACAGCACATCATTGAAGAGACTTGAGACATTTTACGGAGAACTCTGTGTAGGACTGATATTCAAGCCCAGAGTGGAAATTAGCCAGGGCGTCAGAGTTAACAACCCTACTGTTATGAATAATATCATGGGATGTCTAATGAACAAGGAGTCAGGACCTCAGTATAATGCCAAATTACCATTGGTTTACAGTGATACAAAGGTCCAGAGGAAAGAGCTCCACATAGTTATCCACAAACACTACTCACAGTACTGACCAGACCCATCCTTGCTTAACGTCTACAATATGACAAGATCAGGCTACAAGGTGGTATTGCATTGCTACAAATTTCAGTCCTTCTAGTTGTCCATTTTATCTGTACAGCAGTAATGCCTTTTTCTTTAATGCTTTAACATTACTTACAGTAACAATATTTGCATCATACTAATAATAATAATAATAATAATTATTATTATTATTATTATATTGTGAAAGCTAAGAATTACCTGAGATTTTAGAATAAAAAAGAAACTCAAAACAGAAGATTATTGTGACACCAAGTTGCCCATTACCAAAGCTACATGTAGTTTTAACAAAGTAATGAGGAACAGAGTTGGAACCGCACTTTCATAGCAATCTATACCTTTTTTGCATGAATTCAAGATTATGCTCAGCTCTTGAAGAACCACATATCTAATAGCTTCTCATTGTTATCTTGACATAGGTATGATAGCATAGAATGTTATTCTTGTCATCTTATTTTAAAACACTTTGACATTAAACACAGCTAAGCGATTGTTCCCTGTATAAATCTATGAGATTAATGTAATGCTATATGGGCAGAGTGAGACGTGTAAGTGTATATGTCTTTTTGTATGGCTAAGAGTGATTGATTGTGTATTTATTTTATGTTAACTATTATTTGTTTTTTGTACTTTTTATGGCGATACCAAAGACAAATTTCCTTTTATTTCCCTTTTGGATGGACAGTTAAGTTAAACAAACAAATAATGAATGAAGATCACAAAGTACAGCAAAAGTACAAAGCTAGCCATCAAAAATCATTTTTCCTTTCCACATATTACAAATAAAACCATCAGACACAAAATGTCAGAGATTTGAAGTGGAAACACTGGCTGGTCAGTAATGGCCAAAGACGCTGGCACAAAAATAAAAAATGTGTTTGTTATTATTTTTTACACCACACTAAAGTGGTTTATAAAGGTCCTGATGCAAGGCTGTGATTTTCTAACCATTGGTGAATCAATTTCAAGCCAGCAACAACCTTCCTTTGGGCTTCAAGAAGCTCAAAGGAATGCAGTGCTTGTGGAAAGAGCATAGAGCAACTTCTGTTGTCTGGTCTGGTCAACGTTCCTCCTGGGTTTCACCACCCTTGGAGACACCCCAGCTGAATCTGTAAATAGCCTTAACTAAACACACAGCTTTTACTGTTGTTACTTCTACCATCAAGAACCTGAGACATACAGTATCTATCTGAATCCTGAAGTTAGTCTAAATCTTCGTCATGTTCCTAGTCAGCTGTGCTCTCGAGCTGCACAGCAATGGGCAGTGCCCAGGGTTATCTGAGTTGAAGTCCACTGAGGAATTGTTAACTCCTCTCCTGTCTACATACCAAGCCAAGGCAAGGCTAATCATTATCAGAGAGGACTTGCTATCCTCCATCTGCCTGTCTGAGTGGGGAGCTGCAAGAGTGTGTGCTGTCTGCAAAGTCAGAAGCACTGGTTAATTCCACACAACAGTGAATAACGAAAGAAAAAAAGAAAAAAAACATAATTCACCTCCTTCGGGTGTGTCAAGGATAATAAATATTGCATTTACACAAGATATAAAAAAATACATAAATGGTTTGCCGTCAGTGAACATTTTAACTAAACTTATGTTCTCTGCTATCTTTCCTCTGTCCTTTCGCTGAAGCACATATTTTAATAAGGTTTAAAAACACTGATCCCATTCACTCTCTTAGTATTTTGAGGTCATCCTCCATCCAGCTTCTTTGAAAATGTCTCAATAACTGTGGGATGAAGCTCCCTGAGGCAGCGGAAAATATTTGAGGCTATTTCCTCTTATAGTATCTGCAACTGTCTGTCTGTAGTGGCTACAATAAGAGGCACTGTCTTTCTTACATACATCACCTTACTTTTTGTAGCCGAAATATGCCTAGGAAGAAGATTTGATCCTCTTTCCAGATGGGAAATATCGGTCACTGTTTTTGGATGGACCCGATTCAGGATGTAACATTCTGCAGTGTCTCATTGGTATGATGATTTCATTACTTCATAGTCTAAAACTGTCTTAAATATGCCATCATAACAGAATAAAATCCCCACTGTTTGCACCAATGTAACAACTTTAGCTGTACGATTTCTTGAACAGACAAGCTACTTGATAAAGACCCTGTGCATTGGTTGCAAAGAGCCTGCTTTTACTAGTTTGCCTCCCAGAACAGGAATGAGATTACTGGTAATCATCTCATGGAATACAAGAACAGGACAGGATTTAAGAGTAGTTGGCCCATTTATTGCTGTGGGTTCAGGGGAATGTTACTGTTTGTGTATTTGGGTAGGGCACCTTGCCTCACTCTCACCAGTCTAACCAGCATTGTTGTATGGTATCCCTGTGGTAGGAGTGGCTTTCCATCTTGGAGGAAAGTAGGGAGGCACCTCATGGGTACTGTGATACGTATGGTCAGATAAGCTGTGCCCTGTAGATGCACCTCTGCTTTTTGACAGAACAGATAATTCTTGACATACTCGCCTGGCCACTGACAGGTGGCTGACATGCACATCATTATCTTGACAGTACAGTGTGGACTCCACATGAAACCTGAACCTACAGGGTAATTGGGCCATAGTTGTGTTTGAAAAAGCTGCCTTAAAGTGAAAATGGCGGAAGCCCACAATGAGCTACAGAGAAAATGGGAAAAAAACCCAGCCTACCGTTAGTTGTCAGACCCACTGTGCCATAATTTAAGCTTCTACTTCTATATTTAGTAGGGGTGGATTCCTTAAATAAAAGCTCTGGAAGGCTATTATTGTATCCTCCTTTTCCCCAGTAATTTTCTGGATCGCCAGCCAAACAGAATTAGAAAGGTGACAGGGCACAATGCCCGTTGTCATGATTGCCTCTGTAATGAGGGGAGCTAATGTAAAAAAACATATTGAAAGCCCAGCATTCATGAATGCCCTTCAGTGCCCAGACAACAGAACACTGCAAAAAGAGTAAGACAGACAAAATGTAATTCAAAATTAAATAAACACTCCAAAGGAGAAACAGACGTTGCAGTCGAAATGTTCCAGACAATTTAAAATGTCACCTGGTTCTCTAATGAATTCCTGCTTCTTCTTTTTTTAACCAGACACTATTCCTGATCGATTATTGCTGTTGGTTGCACAAAATTCCTACGATCCCTAAGATGTGTATAATAGCCTTTTCACGGAGAAAGGTTCTTGTCAGGGCACTTACTGCATGTGCAAAGAAGTCATGAGTGAGGGCGGGGCGGCTGGTGTGTCCTTCTCTCTGTGCAGGGTTACTGATGTTGCCCAGGCCTTCTGTGGATACATTGTGCTGTGGGCAGCGCTTGGAAGTGTGGGCGCTCGCAACAATCTGGCCCTGGATGGCGGCTCCAAGTAACGTGCCCAGCACTTCCATTGTCATTCCTGCACGTGAATGAAAACCACCAACTGGAGGGTGAACTTCATAAGAATTAAGAGCGCAGTTCGGACAAACTTCAGTTTGACACCAAGGAATCAGAATCACAGGTTTATATCAAAAGAGTCAATATTAAATAAGTGTCCTTACTCGTGGGAGTATGCAATAAGCTACCCAACCATATTGTTAAAGCCAGCAGATCAGCCGGAAGAGACACTCAGATTAATTAACTGCTAGCAACACAATGAGGTAGACAAGCTCAATTGTCTCCTCAGTTTTGTAAACTTTCTCATGTTGTTATACGTAGTGTAACAGAGTGGGATTGGGTGGAGCAGCGGCGAACACCAGTAAAGTCAATGCCCCTAACTGGGGGACGGAAACACTGGTGTGAGGTTAGCAAGAACAGAAAACAATACAAAAAAGGGTGAAAAACCAAAACAAAAGCAAAAAGAAAGTGTGCCGCTGTGCATCGCAACATCCAGGCTGGGGTTACCCTATTTAACTGGGTCCAGCCTGGGAAAAAGAAACTGCTTAGCACAGTGGTGACGAGACTGGACTGACCCTATTTAGTGGGGTCCAGTCTGGAAGAGGAGGGAGCGCACGGCCAAAACAAAACAAAACCTCAGTGTGGGTCAGCCTGCCCCAGTGAGGATACGTGACGGGACAGGCAAAAAGAAAAAGAAAAGTAAAAGAAAAATAACAACAGCCTTACGCAGGTATAAACCCCCTCCGGGACTGCCGGTGAAATGATCCTCCCCTTCCGGGGGTGGCCCTGCTCGCCCCTTAGGGGGGTGTCCAGTGTACTTTTATAGAGCCTTCAGAGCTGTGGCTCATCCTCAAGCAGCCAGGACAGCTGTGACTAAGGCAATGCGTCGCCCTTCATCCAGGGCTCTGCCTCCACACTGAACACGCCCCCGCGTACTGCCACAGTAGTGAAAAGTGCTAATTGCTGTCTGCTAAGAACTGATACATCCATTAGGAATTCTTATTAGTACAACTGTGTGATGCATCTCAATAATGGCTTCTCGTATCTGGATAGCACTTTTCCTCAAAATAGCTTTTATTTTCATTGGGATTTTATGTGACTATTAATCTTGCGTAAAAATGCCGTACGACTTTGCAGAATGCAAGTGCTACTCAGTGGTTATGACAAGAGACTAATAAAACACAGTTTTTAAACACAGTTAAAATCTGTTGATTACAAACACAGTAGTTCTTACATAGATATGGATGTTAATATGGGACAGGGCAGGTGCACTGATCAGGGCGGACCATTGATCTTAGGTGTAGTCAAGGAATAACAGACATACTGTAGGCGGTGGCGGAGTCCCGTTCCTTCTGTTCTGTGCTGAGAAACATGGTGAGGGCTGAGTAAGGCACATGGAAACACTGCAAGAGATGGAGAGGCATTAGCTCTGGTCAGCGAGGCTGGAGACTTATTAAAGGGGAACTGCAGTACCAATATGTCAGACCGGTTATTAAATATCAGTGATAAAATTAATTCATTGAGGGTGTAGAAAAAATGTACAAATTTCAAATTAAGCTTAAAATTGTGAACTTTGTGAAAGTACCGTGTAGGCTCTTTGTCGTAAATCCCTGGTCATGCCACGAATAATGACATAACCCTTCCTGCTCGCTAGCCTATATTTCTATTGGACTAAAAGAAATGTCTTCACAAGCCTACTTACAATGTAATAGGGCCACATCACATCACCAGAAGTTTTGTTTCTGTCACGGATGTCCAAAGGGACAAACCGTGGGGAGCAGGAGAGCAGAAAAAGACCCATATGCGTATCGGCGAGACGGGAAAAAGGCCCGGGCTCATAGTGCAAAGAGTTCAGGATTGCCGTATAGAAACCTATGCCCTCAGGGAGCGGACGTGGGGCGCCCTGGTGCTAGGCGGGTCTCAGGACATCCGAACGTCAATGCTGAGCGAGGACAGAGTGCAAGACCCGGAAATACATAGCCCAAGGGAAAGAGAGGGACAGGAAGGACAGCAGACCGGAAACTAGGGACAGGACAGAGAAGGAGCGCCCTCTGGCTGCAGAGGGCGTGACAGTTTCCTTGTTCTGAATATTGAATATTGAATATTGAATATTGCACTGCACATACCTGGAAATTTTGGCTACTTTGGGATGTAAATTGAAAGTTTTACAAGTTACTGTGTACATTTTACTTTTATTGTGGCTTGAAATCCACTCATCAGCGCTGATTCTTTCTAACCCCGATATTTAAAAATAGCTCACCCTAGTGTTCTTTTTTTTCTGATCAGCAGTTTAGTGTTTTTGGAAAAAAATGAAAACCACAGACACACTCAGAACTACTGTACAGTATATATATATAAGAAGCTCATACACATAGTGAACAAAGAAAGAAAAATGAAAATTACTGTTAGCTGATAACTCACTCAGACACTTGACCTGGAAAGCAGAGACCAGTTCCGAGGCCTTTAATGTATGCTACTCCGCACCATTCATTCTGGCAACTGATTGCATGAGATTAACTATGTCCCTAAACATAATAAACCTGCAAAGTAATGTGCCCATAAAGGGTTCATTCCAGGGTTTAAGAATAAGAATAATTTTCTTTACAGATGTTAATCCCACCTGTAACACTTTCCATTGCATTACCTTAATGCAATTTACTGCAATTTCCCTCACGGGATCAATAAAGTATCTATCTAAAACCATTCAGTGCATCATCAGATAGAAATAGTCTTGACCCACACACTTATAAACCAGATAGTGGATTAGCCACTTGGCTCCAAAATGTTGCAATGACAGAACAGTCCCAAAACATATGGACAAAAGTACTGGGCGCATCCATAATACAGATATGACAGGAAAAATGTGAGATGATTTTTAGGCAAAGCCAATATAAGTGGCTTCATAAGCTCTCTGAATAGCAATATAGTATATCAGCTGATAAGGCCTCAAAGGTGTTCAATCATACCACTTCCCACATACATCATAGGAAAAACACCAAACTCTCCAGTTCTCAATCCCAGACTTATGGGACGTACTTTTCTACAAACCATGAAAATGAGTATTTGAACTTTCAAAGGTTTCTACACAGATCTCTTGCAATTTCACTGCTTTCTTTACAGGAGAAGGTATGAGAACCCTTCATATCTAGAAATGATATCATTCCCTTCTATCCATTTATTTTCTAACTGCTTTATCCAATACCTGATAGGGACATGGGGGATCCGGAGCCCATTGTGGGAAGCAACAGGCAGGATACATCCTAGATGGGATGCCAGTCCACTGCATGGCACACACAGACACAAACACACACTCACAACAGGACCAAGTAACTGACCAGTATGTCTTTGGACTGTGAAAGGTGTTTCCTAACCTCTGTGCCAGTGTGCTGACTGATATGACTATAACATCCATTGAAATGTTCTTGGCCAACATTTTCAGCAAGAATACAAAAATGTATTTCTGATCAATTTAATTTATAGTTGGATGTGCTAGGCATTTTAATCAGATATAAATGAATGATACCTTTGATGATGATATCAGTTTACTTTAAGTATTTACATTTAAATCTAGCTCTCATTTACGTACTACATTGGTTTTCCCAAAATCCTGTTTTTTCAGTAGTGTTTTCTAGGTTTTCATCTTTGCCACTGTCAACTTCTGAATTAGCGGATAATCCCAACCGTTGTTTCGAGCTTTATAATTTACATGACATTAATGTCAGCACTGTAATTTCAAAAGCACACAAAATAAATCACTGGATAAGCGCTACTTATTCATTAAAGGCTTACTTAATCCTTTCATCTTCCCATAATGATGTGGCATGTCACTAGCAAAACCCTGTTCCATGACTGTTTATAGAATTGTAAATTTAAATCTTCTTCATATATATGCTATATTAATCAATAGTACTTAGTAAATCAATATGGAAAACACAGTCATAAAACACAATATGATCTGTTGATTATATTTTTTATGGAAAAAGTGTTTTTCAAGCCTTTTTTCCCCTCTTTGTATTTATTTTTTCTGAATATAATAAAGCAGCACAGCGATTTCTGAAGTAGTCATTAAGCCTTCCACAGACAATGAACGATTCTAAAAGTGGTAACTGTGTAACTGCCAGTTACACAGGCCTGAGGTTCTGCCATGGAATCTTCACGGTCAGTGGGCAGTAAGCATGGTGTGTCATTATCCTGCACCACAATGTGCGGCTCCTGTTTCCACTTTACAGCACATGTCGAGGAGCAAGAAACGGGAGGACTTGCCCAACTCCCGAATCCTGAGCATAAATACAAATCAATGAACACACTTTTCAATCAAGGACTGAAAGATTGCAGACTTGAAAAACTGCTCTTGATTGTCAAAGTTATTTGTCAAGTAGCAATAGCTGGAAATCTCTATTTCTATTTCTGGTTAAATAGTGGGTTTATATATATTTTAAAAATGTCTTACTTTTGTTAAGAATTTTGTATCTATACTGATGCATGGCTGGATCTAGTCTAATGGATTTAGTCCAATATTTTAAACAGATACCAATCTAAATCACAGAAAAAACACCAAACCATGATAGGTTTTCAGTATTAAACTTTACACTGTCAAAATGAAAACATCACAGTTTGTGTCAGGTATGACATCCCTGATCATTATGTTAATCATAAGGGCATTTATATATAGTATAAGTGCTGATCAGCCTCTGTATAGGCTGCTGTGGGATATTTCACCGTTCTCCCTGTGCTGCTACAGACGCCACTCCACCAGCTTACTTGAACAGTGCAATGGTCCATGTAGCGCACACCACAACATCTCCACACACACTGTGGGGATGTCCATCTTCCATCAGTCAATTGCAAAAACAGCATTGATTAGTGAACAAGATACTCCACCTCTCTCTCCACCACAAGCTCAGACATTCTGTGCCCACAGAAGGCTGTGATTTATCTGTACATCTCACTGTCTGCATGTTACCCCTGAACATCCTGAGCATTTTCTTACAACTGACAAGCTATTCTAGAACAGGTCATTTTCTTCTGGAATTTCTCATGCTGTAGCCACTGGAGTCTGAAATTGATTACAAGGTTGGACAGATGACCGCCTGCTTTGCAAGATGTGGCCTGTCCATCTCCTGGTTTCTCTCTATTGTTGTTGCAGAACATCTCAATTTTTTTATAAACAGTATGCCTTCAATCATACTGGTGACAACTAGATGATCTGCTTCCCTTGTGGTAATGAAAATCATATTATTATGATCTACTATTTATACAGACTGTTAAACAATTAATTTGATTATCAGGCAATTTTTAACTGTTGTACTTCAATAGGTACTCAGTAAAGGATCCATTACTGAGAATTACTGCAGGCATGTAAACAGAAGAAAATGAAGGATAATGACAGATTATTTAGCAAATATACACTTCAGGAGGATATTCCACATTCACAGATTCTCAGGATTCACGGAGTGCAATGCCTTATTCAATTTCATCACAATCTCCCTGCTGGAGTGCAGCTACTACTGAGCAGACAGACAACAAATTATTTAAATTCCATAACCAAAACTACCCCAACTTTAGTCATCAACTTCAAGTACACAGGTAATGCTGTAGTACTGTATGTACTCTGACAGAAATGGATCTGCACACAGTTGTCAATACATTGGCTGAGACGATGGGACTTAAACGTACTGTAACACGCAGAAGACCAAACTTCTCCATTAACAAGCTCCAAATGTACGTCTCAACTCAGATTTATGATGATGGTACGGAGAACATTAAGCATTTCCCATACCTTTGGTGTTATCTTTTAGAGATGGCTGACATCTGAAGACAATTATGGAGGTGTGTGACACTAACACTACTGTCTTGTGTTGGCATTGTTACATGTGGATGTCAGATTGTTGGGACATGGCTGGGAAGGCTTTCTTCTCCAGGACCTCAGCTTATCCAAGGCAATTAAATCAGAGCTAAGAAGAAGCATCAAAGATATAGTAAAAGCAAACAAAAGGAACTTTGTAAACAACTCATAACTCCTGTCCGAAAAGGATAGAGGAAGAAGTTCTGGAAAGGAACTCAGCACTTTAAGACTGAAAGCTATCAGAATAGTCACAAAGTGAGAGTGTCGAAGGGAGCTCGCCATGATCAGATTTAACAATACACAGTCGAATGTGTTCCCAGACCAAAGCTTCTCCACCCGACAGAGACTGCGCAGCTCCCTTATTGATCTAATTGGTCATCTTCAGGTTAATTAAAGTGAAACATCCTTAATCATCAGGATAGCTGTGCAGTGGCTAAGGAGCTGCGCCTTTGGCTGGAAGGTTGCCGGTTCAAATCCTGCTGCTGGCAGAGGAATCCTACTCCAGTGAATTAGTAACTGAAGTAGCCAGTCAGTTGTGAATTCATTAAACATCATAGTTCACCTGCCATACAGTATATTGACCCCAGGCCATTTGTAATCATATAATAACATACAGACAGTAACTTCCCAGGAAGAAGAAGAAGGCCCAGAGAATGAGGGCTAAACACCAGAATGGGACCCAGCTATGCCAATATCTTTGTTGGCTGGGTAGAAGAACGCTTCTTTGCTTCCTACACTGGCTATATCCCTGACCTCTACAAGCGATATATTGATGACTGCGTCGGTGCCGCCACATGCTTCAACGAACAGCTTGAGTGCTTCCTGCATCATTTCACCAACTTCCACCCGTCCCTCGAGTACACGGTTAACATATCGTCCTCTACTCGTCAGTTTCTAGACATCAACTACCCCCGACTCTCCACTTCACACAGCTATCTCTTGTATAGCTCATTTCACCCCAAACACACTAAAAACGCTCTCCCTTTTTCACAGTTCCTTCGGCTACGACGACTATGCAGCGACAACATCGACTTCGAGAACCAAACCCTCAAAATGTACTCCTTTTTCATCAACGGAGGATACCCCAGCAGTGTTATTGACAGGGCCCTTGCACGAGCCAAAAACACCCCTCGGACCATCAACCCAATCAGGAACTCCCGCCGTAACAACCGCATTCCTTTGGTACTTCCCTACCACCCTAACACACTTCCTATCCCTAGGACCATTAACGACAACTTTTCCATCAGGATGATCCCTCCATTGGGGCCCTCTTTTCTGACCGCACCATCATCTCATATCGCCGATCACCTAATCTGCGTAACCTCCTTGTTCACAGCTCCCTTGACCACCCTCAACAACCATCCACACCAGGCACTTTCCCTTGCAACAGAGCTCGCTGTATCACCTGCAAGTACACATCCAACAACACACTCATTCAAGGCCCCTCAGGACAATTCCGGATCACCCAGATGGCATCTTGTCCCTCCAGCAACCTTATTTACTGTATCTCTTGCAGTAAATGCCCAGTTTCTCTCTACATTGGAGAAACAGGAAGGAGACTTGGAGACCACTTTGGAGAACACGTCAGGGCTGTGAAGATTAAAGATCTCTCCAAGCCCATTGTTTCTCATTTCACCTCTGACGGCCACGACGACTCTAATCTCTCCATCTGTGTTCTCAAAGATGGTTTTCCGAACTCATACTGTACATCAGGAAGACTACTGAAACCAAATTTATCCTGCAGCTAGGATCACACCTTCCCCCTTCTCCTAATGACAGACTACTATTCTGCTAAATTTTCTCAATTCATTGGAAGTTTCATTTCACAACTTTCTACACCTATCCTGACTTCACACCTCTTGATTGGCCTCTCTTTCTGTCCCCTGCTCCCGTCTCTAACCCCTCCTCCCTCCCAGCTTTTGTTCTCCCACTACATTACCTTTGCCTACTGCCTTGTCTCTCACACCTGAAGAAGGCTCCACGGTCGAAACGTTGTGTTTTTTCTCTCTTCTTTTTTTCAGCATGGAATAAACCTATTACTTGTTCCTTTGCATCCTATGCATGCTGACACAGCTACCCACCTGAACTAAACATATACCTGGTTATTTCATTGGTTAATTCACAAAAGATTGAAGGCTGTCATCCACTAGGAACAGAGGACTCAAGGTGTAACCCCATAAAATGCTAAAAAAGATAATTAACACAGAACTCATTCCATTTTTTTCAAAATGGTCATATATTTTGGTCAAGATGTCAGGCACTTGTTGAGATCTTTTGTGAGTGAAGTAAAGAGTTTGGATTTGGAGAGAGTGTTATGTGGGATCATGCAGTGAAATTAGTGGGAACAGGCTGTAAAATTAAAAAAGTCTGCCAAATTTTCATTTAGAACTTTTAGACAGAAACACTGTGTTAGAAAATGTTTTTAACACAAACATGGTAGCAGGTCCTGTCACTGATTCTCATCATCTGGGACTTTGCTGAAACAGCAAAAGTAAATGCTTGAAAGGGACCACGCAGATTATTGAACTTCTTGTGCCATTGATATCTAATGGATAGTTCTGATACTATGTTGTTCACAATTTGTCATGTATGATATGTATTTATGTAACTATGGCTTTGGGTCTTTTCCTCTCATCTAAAAGGTGCTTCTGGAATGTTACATGACCATCCTTTACTCTGGATAATGGTTGTTGTGAGGATATCCGATCACTCCCGGAGCTCAGCTACAGAAATACATAAATATCACTCTTCTCTTATGTGCCTGTCACCTGTGACTGGATGAACTGAGGACAGTCATTCACTTATACTCAGTTCTGCTTGGTTACGGCTGTACTGTACTGATGAGCCAAAACACCAAAATAACCGTTTAAGCATGGGGAAAAAGGAAGCAGAGAAATTTGAACTACATAAACTTAGATTTGAACTACATTCCTTAGATATTCCTGCATGAATAATTCATCATAAATTTCCAGCCATTATTTTCCAGAATTACCAAAACAAACTATATGAATATATGAAAAGATATCAAGTAAGATAAATTAAACATATTCTTCTTGTGATTGGTTATTTATTTAAGGACCTTAAACAAGGAGATTCAATGCACTTACCGTGATCAAGGTTTGGTAAAGACAGTAAAATCCCAGGTACCACGTGAACCTTCCAGCAGAGAATGGCGGAACGTACCACAGGAAGACGTAGGTCATGGTCACAAAGGGCGTGCAGCCTACCATCCTGCATACACAAGGGAAATAGATGTACATAAAGTCAGAACACCCTGCCTATTGAGCCTCTCCATATTGTCTGTGATTGCGTGATTTCAGAAGTAGAGAAAGAATGCAGGAAAGACACTTGGAATTGAGAGGTTTCTACAAATCAAAAATGACTGAAAATAATTGAAAGCTGCAGTTACTGTATGACAATAGGTGTAAGACCTGCTTGCTAAGTGTTAAACTGTGCCACAGTCTAAAAGCTTGATGAGAGGTCAGTACACTGCAAGACCTACAATTCTGAAAAAAACAAAAAACCCACATATTTCTTCAGCATCCAAATCCATGCAGCTCAAAGCCAATAAAAATTATATTGGACCACAATTGTCAGATCATGAACTCTTTTTTCAAATGTTTTTTTGTGTTTTTTTGCAAGTTCTGACCATCATTATGTGGATAATGTGGTCCAGTGTAGTTCGCACAAAGATAGCAAAGGATGACAAAAATGTGCAGGATGGAAAGCAGCCCTGGCCCACATAACCATAAAAACACTTTATTGGCAGAGTTTTCAAGACAAAAGCTTTAAAGTTTTGAAGACGAAAGGCTCAAGTGTGTCCAAGTTTTCATGATTGTGGAGATACATGTCCCTTAGGAATTTATAGACGCAAGCCTTTTTTTCATCACAACCACCGTAAGGTCTGCAGAAAAGTGTCGGTGCACTTTTAGTGTGTAATGTGTTTGCTGACCATGGTTGCTGTACATCTTCAAATCCTGAAAATGTCAAGACGTTCAATTGAAAACAGCACTCTTCTCCTCACTGTGACCTCCTGACCTAATCCTTTATATTGAACTGAATATAGACCAATGAGCACTGCCAGTTCTGGCACTGTCCAGGATCTGAGTACAGGCACATAGCCCTCTGTTCTACACAGCAATTGTTTGCAAGACAAAAGTTCATATCACTCACGAGGTTGTATATAGTTAGGGAGGTCATGCATTGTAAAAGGATCAACTCAATGGTGCAGTGGAATATTCTGTAAGATGTTTACAGGCCCTCTGTTTAAACAAATAAACAACACTCTCATAAAGCCTTTCTAGAATTTAATTAGGTCTCTCATAATCAGTCCATTCCAGGCCAAAGTCTAGCCAGTTCATCAGCATTTATCTGTTACTTTTCAGAGGCTGCTACTGAACTGTCATTTTAAAAATGTGTTCACCTCACTCTGTGCCACCACCAATCAATATCTCGAGGTTGAGTGAATTACATTAATTTCCCTTCAGGGAATTATCAAATCACCCAGATGACCAAACCCACCAACTAAAACACCATTCTTATTCACCAGGAAGAGTCAAAAATATTTTTTATTCTTGTGTGATTCAGAATAATTCCCAACTTAAATGTCTATGCATTTTTCAAACAACTACAATAAATACAATTTATAAATACAAGAGTTTTAAATGACTTTGATTTTTACTCTGTGTTGTTGTGGGTATAAAAAATCATTGGATCATATTTTTTGTTTCCACTACGGTGTGTCATTCCATATTAAATCATACTAATGAATCAGTACCAGTCGTTACGTAGTATAGAGCTGTTGTTTATATCTCACTGTTTGCACTGTAGTTACCATGTGTTCAAAACATTTTTAAAAGATCAAAAGTGGGTTAAACATTTGTAAAGGCTGAAGAAAAAATCTACTTTTCTGTTCATGTTCATGTATGTTTTCCATGTATTTTTTCACCATGTTTTGGATACTACCTGCATACTAATGAATTAAAAATGAATCAATCATTCATAAGATTTCAACACATTTTGAGTCATGGAGAAACCTTTCACAGAAAGCAAAAAATAATAAGTGTTGTTAAAGCATATATTCTGAATAATTATTAATCTGTATATAACCAATCCTTGAATAATATTTATTCATTTCCATATAACAGATCCTTCATTTGCACTTTTGCACTTGAAGTTTCCCCAAAACATAACTAATAATAAAAAGAAAATAATGTTGAAATGCCCTTTATTAGTTTTGACTGCAAACAAAATTCATACTTATGCTCCATTTTCAAACATATTTAAAGCCTTACCCAGATTAACACAAATATTTTTTTCTGATTTTGTTATTTGTTTTCATTTATAGCACTGGTGATCTGGAACAAGCTAGTCAGCCATGTGCTTGAATCTCTCAAGAAATGGCTGGAAGACACCTCTGTATCTATTAACTACTAACAATCAAGTGAGCCAGACAGCCCCTCCCATTTGTAACTTGTCTTAAAGTCTTGTTTATATTAAAAAGACATTTTTAAGGGAACTCCAAGACATTCTGAGAATAGTCCCTCATATACCATGCTGGGGATGTAGAAGATAATAAGGAGTCAGAACTATGCCCAGGCTGAACATGTTTTACTGAAGCTCAAGGCCCAAGATAACTCTGCTGACCTCATGCAAGAGCTGTAATTACATCCTGTCTGTGGTCATGAAGTTACACTTCAGTTGTGTGCAGTTAGTGATATCTTACAGCTTCCTTGAAGCAGTTATCTAGCCACAATGCAAAACGCATTTAATGAGTTATGCTGCCCAGATTGTGTTTATTTGGAATGTAGCAATTAAGTAATAATTTTAATTTCTCAGAGATCAGAAAAGTGTACAATTAGCTTTCCTAACCTTAAGGCTATTACTCCCACAGATGAATTTGGTTTTTGATACTAAATTTGTACGGCAGCTGTAGAAATCCAGTGACTTTAATTCTTCTGTTTTTCACCACACTATTGTGCTGTTATATAAACAGCTTAAGCAACAGGCACAAACAACTTAAAAATGAAAAATTCTTCATACATGCTCAGGAACTATGAATATTGTTTCCAAAATTAAATATGCTATTTTTTACTTATGTGTTTATTTCTGGTGTCATTAGCTCTATATTACATATGTGGGTTACCAGGTTGAAGATAATCATCTAGCTAGTGGTGAATGCTACTTCCCCTCAGAGAATATGAGGTATAGAAGTCAGAGGTTTGTGAATTGCTGGCAGTTTCATTCCCAGTGCTTTAAAATGAAAAACAATACTTTCATACTTTTCTGATACATAAAAAAGTAATGATGGGTAAAAGTAAGATACAAATTTGCAAGCATGGTGAAAATGTCCTTACCATGGCATGAGTCTGCCAATCCTGGTCCATTTACTTATATTGATGAAGAAGCCAACAACAGGGTCTGTTACTGCTCCCCACGCCTTTCCAATGAAGAGCACAAGGGAAGCCTGGAAAGCATTGATCTGAAGAGAAAACACACATTCGCTACCTTTAAAATATTTAGTGGTTTTCTCTTTCTTATTGAAAGACTTTGTGTCTTAATTATAGTATCTTTGATCTGCTTCTTTCAGTTTTACTTTTATTCTAATGCCTTTCTTCCTCCAAAAGCACATATCTTTTACCTTATATCTCAGTAAAACACATAAAAAAACCTAAACTATCTTTGGCATCCCAAGCCACACGCTAAACCATATTTGTGCCACGGCAAATTAAAATTTCAAGAGTTAGCATGGAAGTAGGGTATGAAAATATGGCATCAACATGGTCTTTAACCCATTAAAATGACCGATCAAAAATGCATGGAAAATAGTTGTTGATTTTAACTCTCTGATGCGGCGCTTAAATACTCCACTTTGCTCCACTGGCCAGGTCAGGAAGCAGTTTATTCAATTGTCTCAAACATATGACTGATCCCTTGTCAGAATTGTATGGCACCACACTACTGCCAGTGTTTACAGTGACTCTGCATTGGAGATCATAAAGCAATATACAGTACATTTAACACAAAATGAACCAATTTACAAATAAGAAACAAGTAAGTTAGCAGCTTAAGTCACCTTTATAATACAGAGAAAAAAAAACCTGACCTGACAACGAGACGATTTAGACAGTGATAAGAATTTAACTTAATTTAACTTAACCATAATTAAACAACTTTCTGTTCAGCTCCTCCCTCACTGCACTTATTTCTTTGCACTGACAGTGAAGTTAAAGAGCTCTGTGTGTGCATTTCTCCCTCCCTCCAACACCCAGATGCCCTGCAATATCAAAACTGCACAGGACACCCACACAGCTCCAGGGCCTTCAACAAAGCCCACAACTGGTGCTTATGCTGTAGGTGACACAATACCACACACCTTCTCACGAAAAGGAGATAGAAATATCTTGGTTTATTATTTTTTATGTTTTTTATGTTTTATGTTATGAAAAGTGTTGTAGTGTTATATATGCTTTAAATTTACTTAAAAATTCCCACCATACTAATATTTTTTTAAATGAACATTAAAATAAAAAGTAGTGAGAATCTAGCAGTTCTAGATCTACCTTATCTTTTGTTTTTTAAAAACACTATCACATAGGACAGACACGATTACAGTTATTACCAAATGAGCTGTGTCCTTCCTCTGTCCACTTAACCTTGTGTACTGTATATTGGGGGAGACTGCAAATATTTTGGCCCCTAAAGTTTAGGATTGTAAGCTCAGAGTGCCAAAGAGGAATAAAATTCAGACTTGAATATAATTCAAAACGGTAAATATCTAGCAGATTACCTTTAATGTAGACAAGTGCAAGGTTTTGCATTGTAACAATTGTAAACAATTGTGGTCACCATGTTACAGAAAAGATATTGCTGTTCTGGAATCTGTCCAGAGAAGAGAAACCAGATACATTCTGCAATGTCCCACACTGACAGGCTGAAGGAACTGAGCTTACTTTAGGTTTGAACAGAGAACAGTATGAGGGGACAGGTATTCAAACTCCTCAAAGGAATTAAAAAGGCCTTAAAAAGGCCTGCTCAGTCCTTTCATATGCCACACCACCCAGCTAACTGTATCAACTTAAGCAAACCCACTGCAGCTTTCATGGTTAAGGATCTGAGGGTACTGTATATGGTCAGTAAGGCCTCAATGGTTGCCGCTGTGGAAACAAGCACTCCCTTAAGAAGAATTCTTGAGTTCAGACAGCTTGGATATGGAATTTAATGTCAGAACTGTGCTAAAAAAGGAAAGCAAAGCCTGCCTAAGCAATATGTCTCTAAAGAAACAAAAAGCACTATCTTAAGTCAAGACATCTTCAAAAGGAGCAGTGAAACACAATCTAGAGGACACAAGTGGAACTATGTGGCTGTGCATTTAAAACCAAGAATAAGAGGCACATAAGCTGCTTTCAAATAGGTCAGATGGGCCAAATTAAGTTCTCTCAATTATAATCTCCCTTCCATTCCGAAAATACTCACCTGGGCAATGTCAAGGAGAAAGATCTGCAGGAAGAATGCTGAGGCACTTCCAGCCACCTGGATAGGGGCTCCTCCAATGGCAAAGGAGAGCTTATGACACACAGAGAGCCTGCTGTCCTGGGGAGTCTGTGAATAATATAGAAAAAAAGAAAAGAAATGCTGAAGCCTGTGAATAACACAGTGTTTATTTCTGAGCTCCACTGAAGCTTGGTTCAAATGTTCGGGAATGGAATCTTGGCCAAAACACGGCAAAGAATCGGATTCCAAATTCAAGATTAGAAAGACACGCTTTAGAGAGGAACGCAGACAAGGAGACAGTCTGTGAAAATATTTTGTTTTTACAAAGTGATGGTGTATTAATAGTAGCAAAGAAAGGTAACCTGAATATGTTTCTCCTCTGTGTGCATTTCCAGTGAATGAGAATAGTGAAAACCAGTTGAAATGATGAGCCACCACATGCATGCCTATATGGTATGAAACATATAGACCATTAAAAAAAGGGGAAATATATGAGAAGCTACTTTAAAACGTTTATTGAACTGTACCAAAAGGGCACAGCTGATGAACCAGAAATAGATTTGAAGATAAAAGATGAAGCAGGAAGACACTTTTTTAGAATCCAGACATATCTTATCCTGAAGAAAATTCCCAGAAGTCCCAGAAGAAAAAAACATAAGATACCGAGCATACAGGGAGCTCCTGAATGGAGGATCCTACTACTTTGGAGACTGCTGCCAGGCACAATAATTCCAGACAAGAGCATGACATCTTCCCCTGGCAAACCAGAAACTCTCCACCTGTTGCTGAGTTCTCATCTTATTCCATCTGCTAAGCAAATACTAAGCATTATAATACACCAAATCAGAATATAAAGCTGTAAGATGGCGTTGTAAACTGGTTCTTATCCTCTTGCTGGCTTCATTCAACCTTTTACATGTTGTCGCCTGTGATGTGAGTTGGATTTCCTCCCAGACCACAGGAGGCAAATGGCTTAAAAAGGCCTAGTTAGTCCATTCATTTGCTACACCACCCAACTAACTGTATTAACTTAAGCAAACCAACTGCAGCTTTCATGGTCAATGATCTGAGGGTATTTGGTCAGTAAGGCCTCAATGGTTTCCACTGTGGAAACAAAAAGCACTGTATCTTTACTGGTGTCTGCAACAAAACAAGAAGCACTCCCTTAAGAAGACTTTGTGGTTCAGACAGTTTGGGTATGGGGTTTTAATGTCAGAACTGTGCTAAAAAAGGAAAGCAAAGCAAAGCAGATCTATGCAATAATGGGGGCATACAAAATGTGCCTCACTCAGTAAAGCAAGTTCAGACTGGGACTAAAAAAAAAACATTTGTGTCAATAGAGGAACAGAAAAGAAACTGAGAGGATATCTGCAACCGACAGGCTGAAAAAACAAAACAAAAACAAGATCATTGTCAGTCAATTTATTTCATTGGCTTTTTAAAAGCCCTGCATTGTATGTCCAATGATCTAGAAAACCCTCAGTCTGCAAAAGGAAATGCTGCTGGTTTTGTTTTATGAAAGGATATCCCTTAACCACACAGCAAACCAGACACTCCTTCAAAGGCACTATAAATATATTGATGACTTTTTTTTGCTCATGCAACATTATGGTTTCCAGAATTATAATTACCAGACGCCCTGTGTAACTATTAAAATGAAAACATATAAATGAGTCAACTATCATCTTCACTTCACAGATTAACAAAACACGAAGGAACCCCTTGCCCTGTTGCTAAAAGTAGACTAAAACTGCAGAAATGTAAAAGAAAATCTGCCTGCAAAAAACCTAAACATACATCTTTGTACATGACAAATAAAAGATGGTATGTGTTCGGGCTTAGCTGTCTCAGATAAGACAGCGCACTTTCGGACACGCAGTAGGAAGCGTTACTTGTTAGAAAAAAATCAGTCTCATTCAAAACAGATTCGCAAAGTAATGCTTTTTGTGTTGGTATGCTTTATCCTCTGTGATACGAATCGAATGATCATCGATAATTAAATTAACATTTTTTTACATCAGAAGTGGTAGGATTGAGTTGTATCATAATTATAGTTTGTGGTTGAAGTAAATGCATTACTTTATTTAGAGCGATCATTTCTAAATTGCTATCGAACTGCTAGTACAGCTGCAAAGAAGCTTAGACCACGCCTTGATCTACAGTACAAACCTCTGACTGCAGGTAGGATGCCGGAGCCCCTTCCGACAAGATCTGGCACATGTACTGTATCTGTGATTGCAGGTGAAAATATTCACAAAAACTCAGTTTCTGCATACAATGGTCGAGAACTGCAAGAATTCGTGTTAACTCCAAAGCTACACCACACATATTGCAACAAACAATAACATGTCTATATTATAGTGAATTTCGCTTTCGTAATGACATTTTATTCAGGCCGTGACGAAGTGCATCTCCATCAGCGTCACAATGACGGTTCGATGCGATTTCAGTGTTGCATATGAACCATGTTGTTCAATGAAATCATCATTTTCGTTGTGTTTATACAGTACTGCATCATTCAGACGAAAACATAATTAATTGTTGTAAGGTACAGAATAATTATAAGGCGAATAATGCTTCAAACTTAGTTGCATTTTAAAAAACAAATCTCTTATAAAACCGATCTATTGATTAAAAATAAACATGAAGAGATGTGTAGTAGATAAGTTAAGTTGGTTAGAAACAATAAAAAATAATGGCTTAGATTGCACTAGTTAAATCAGAACAGAAACTAAAACATTTGTAGGTAGATACCACAGGTAAAGTCTAGAATATAGTTTCTGAATTGTATTCACAGTGACGTATTATAATCATAATAACTTCCACAGTGATGACAATCTGATAGGTTCCAAGAAATGCTCCACATACGGTATAAGAGAGGACCCACTTCACCCACCACTGAAGTCCTGCACCCCTGGGTGACACATAACAGCCATTACACTCCAGCAATCCCACTACACAGCATCCACACAGGTGGGGAAGAGAGAAATTACATGACCAACTACTGTACATCCAACATGACCTGCTCATCTACAAAGGATGTAAGAGAATATTGGAGAATAAATACTGTAGTTTCAAATGCATTTTTAACAGGTTATGTGTCAATACTGGACATGCTTTATGCTTTCATTGCTGTTCCTTCACAGAAATGTCAGATACTATTACTAAGTGAGAATTCTGAATTATTTTGTTAAATTGTCATTATTAATGAACAAAGCATACCAGATAGGAAAGCAAGATGCCAAAACACTTTTTTGTGTCAGATGGGTCAGAAAAAATAGACAAGCCTTCCTTGGATAATATATTTACTTGAGTCTTATCACATCAAACTCAAACAGGAAATACTATATCTTGTGGTCTGTGAACTAAAGTTATCTCTCGCCCATATTTACAGAGAAAGATTAATCATGGTACTGGACTAGACAGCATTCTTAAAGCAGAGTCTGCACAAAAACTGGGACAATGACTCACATTCAGAAACTCCACAAGATACGTTTCAAAGTTAGTTGGTCCACTGCTTTTGGAAGCATAAGAAAGTTGTTCAGCTATTGAAACCAGAAACTGACAACCACAGTAAAAAAATGAACTGGTCAGAAGATTAAACCTTTTCATTGATGACAGTGTTTAATTGTAGTTTGGTGAATTAGACAGCGATGTGGGTAAGAAAGATATTTTGAATTCTGAGGCAATGTTTGACCAACTACTATAGAAAGAGACCAGATCTAAGTCTGCGCATGGCCACATTCTTAACTCTGCTGTTTTGGGGGTGCTGCCCATTGGGTAGGATATCAAATTAGTGTTTTGATTCTTCTCAAAAATGATACCACAACACTGAATTTTTTAATTGTAATATTAGACTATCTGTGGCTTCCACAAAGGCATTCAAAACCTCCCACAAGAGATCTTCTGTCTAAATTATTTTTTTTCTGAAAGTAAAAGAAGTAATCTACAGATTAAAACAGTGCAAATCAGTTAAATTTTGGAACTGGGCAAAAAAGGAATTTCTTAAATAAGTCTTTGCCTCTATGGACACTTATAAGAGTCAGCAATGTACAAAGATCAAACTGCAGAAGGGTAGACAGTGAAAAAAAATCATGTAAATTAATAGAATTTGTAAGATGCAGTTGTTTTAAGTTGAATATGTAACATTGCAGTTTAATTTAATTGTCTTAAAACCAGCCACACCCAGACCCTAGTTTTCGATGTATTATACAATGTATGCATTATTACAGCTTAATATGAGCTGGGGTGAGTGGCACTGTGGTGCAGTGGTTAGCAGTGCTGCCTAACTGCGCTGGGGCCCTGGGATTAATTCCTGCGGTAATCTGCGCGTGGGTTTTTCCTGGGTGCTCCAGTTTCCTCCCACAGTCCGAGGACATACTGGTAAGTTAATTGGCTTCTTCTATTGGCAGTTTAACTGGCTCAACTGGGAAAAAAGTGACCCTTGTTTGAGTATGTGCATGTTTGTGTGTGCCCTCATATGGACTGGCATCTCACCCAGGCTGTATCCTGCCTTGTGCCTGTTGTTTGCCAGGACACTTTCTGGCCGCCCGTGACTCTGTGAGGAAATTGAATGGATGGATCAGCTGAGGCTTTGGTGAGTGGGTAAGGCTTTGGTGAGTGGGTAACATGCTGTAGTTTTAAGTTGCAAAGGTCTGTGTCACATTTATTAAACACAGTGCAGTTTTCAACACTTGCTCGTAGCAAATCAGAACAATGAATTGCAGTTTTCTGTAATTTTTATCTTAAAACATAAAGTATCTATCAGCATAGAATCACATAATGATGAGAAAACGTATAACAGAATTGGGTACACCTTAACTGAAATAAATATACTGTACAGTATATTCTTATGAATATACGTGCTGCAAATAAAGACTGTAAATCAGTGAAAATGGAAGTCTGAGTTCCAGATTTATGTGTGTTTAAAAAGGTTATATTGTACTAGAGCTTTAAATATTCTCAACACTTATACTTCGTGTTTAACTTGATGATAGATGCAATTGTTATGTTGAATCTTGTGCTAGAAATTATAGTGTATGCTGCATTCCAGAGATGTCTGAAATAACAGTGACATTCCGAAGTGGATTAAATTCATATTATACTATAGGCTGGTAGTAGACTGTTCAGCTTTGATAATAGCTAAGAAAATTGTTGTGAAGCCCTGCACATAAATATGTATAGCTGTGGGACAAGCGGACAGCTTCCAGAGGGGAAGCAATATAAATCTAGGAAAACTGAAAGCTTGAAATACAGGCAGATATTGGTATTTGAAACAGAAAACATGCTTTGAAAATACGGGAATGGAAAACAAAATGAAGTTTTATACTGATTCTCTATCTCCACTAGGTGGTGTTATTAATATGCGAAGCATCACCTCATGATTTTTAAGGCTTCTCTTTCTAACGTGTTATATTTCATATTCGTTTGATATAGTTTAGTTCAACCAGTGATTAAAATCAGCAGTTATTTCTGATGTCGGCAAGGTGCTGTTTATAAAAACAGTGCATCTTACAGTTGGAGGAGCTCATCTGTTTGAAGTCCTTCTGGGCTTGATGTTGTAAGTGAAGGACTAAAGAAAATGCTACTGTTTTATCTGCTTAGTGCAAGCATTAACAAAACTGTACTGTCAAGTCTTCAGTGTTGTTTTGCAAGTTTCCAACAGTTATTGACCAAGGAGTGCACCTCAGTGAGATTTGAATCCTGGCAACTTCAACAAGCAATGTACTGTAAGTAAAACTGAAGTCAAATACTAAGTAAAAGCGATTATAATATTTATGCTTTTTGTCCACTAGTTCTTAATTGTACATAATACTTAAAATCATGAAAACATCAGACCCTCTTATGAACTCCTGCAGAGCTCCAGAGTGTTTTGGTTTCTGTCCCAACTGAACTCTGAATGATCAATCCGTGGCTTAATTTGGGGTACTTAACGTACTCTTTTATAATTTAAGACTGCCTAAAAATGTGCTGGAAAGTAGACCTGGGACAGGGAGTACCCATGCTTTTTTACTTGCAGGGATCATTCACACTGCTGAATCACAGCCTTGACAAATTAGCTCTACAAGGTCGTCGTCATCATCATCATCCACATGATCATGTCACTCTTTACATTAATATTCATATAGCTTATCTAGCACATCATTATTTACATTATAAAGCTCCTTTCATCCCAAGGGATACCACAGAGCCCTTTTTCATAGCATACCAGCACTACAGTGTAAATTATTTGCCTTCTTCTGTAACATCCAGCATCACATGGAAAGACCTGCAGAGCAATTGAAACCCAATTCCAGGAACATGATCTTTCCTATTTGAACTTCTGGAATTGTAATACCCTTTAACCCCAGTTTTCCCAGAAACACAAAGTTTTAATAGTAAACTGGGACTCTAATCCTCTCCTTATCACCTGTCCTGTAAGATGCCTTTTCCAGGCTTGAATGGAACAATCATTTTAACTTAAGAAAAAAAAAACACATTAAGCAGGACACACTGAAAACAGAGGAAAAGACATCCCAGGAATAGGTACAACCTGCAAAAGCGTCCTTATTAAAGGCTCTGTAATTAAAACCACCTTTTAAAGACCATATTTTAACTGTGACTAAACCTGAGCTGCCTACTACAGTATGCATTCATTTCAGCACTTTTATACACTCTGTATATATATCTAATTTGTTAAATGGTACTGTAATGTATCCAGACTCCAACCCACACAAACACACAAGTGGGCAACTTCAGTAGTTTCCACCAGCAAGAAAAAGAAACACAGCTAACTCATCTCTATAACCTCAGATTTTTTTAGCAAGCTTATTTTAGACTTGTGCTAACATATATTATATTTTTATATTATACATTATTATAAAACCAAGTATTATAAAAAAACATTATAAAATTCTACTTACAAAAATGCAACACTGCTGTGTAATGAAGACTAATAGTATAATAGTATATACTATCAGTATACTGAGGTAAGAATATATCATATAATTTCTACATTTTTCTCAATAACCCAATAAAATACAGCTTAATGCATTTACTATAAAAATATCACATTCTTTGTCTAAGAACAAGCCTTTCTTTTTTGACTTATATTCACATATTTTCTCAGTCAAATGATATTGTACACTCAAGTGTTAGATGTTAAAATACTTTGGTGAAATATTTTGCACTTTTCCTTCCATACTGATCTGTCAAACCAACAAGGCTTTCACGAAAATAAAATTTGCATTATTCACATTTGCTTCTGTCACAGCTATTAAAAATGATAAATTTGCCACTAAATCTTCAATATGTTTTTAAGCAACAAACACATATGCCACACATTAATAAGCAGGTTAATGAATTAAATAATTAATCCCTGTTCTTTTGCTCCCTTTTTCAATCAAATATTTTTGGGCTTCAATTAAGACAGGAAATCTAGTACACTTCCTCAGGTTCAGGCAGCAGCGCATAAACAAAGCCAAGAAGAGTTACGATACCTGGGCTTCTTTGCTGAACTGCCGAGTGTCCGAGTGTTTAATCAGCTGGTCAGATGAGCACTCTGTTGCTCCCTCACCCTTGGCCATCGCTCTGCCTGAATGGGCATTCACCACTTTATTCTACACTCATTCACAAGCTCAATCTGCTTTGACCACCTGCCAAAAAGGGAGGAGAGCAGAGTTAAACACAGCCCCACCCCACGGCAGCCCAGTGGCTGCTTAGCGCTCTGCCAAACGGGGAGGAGGACTTAAGTTCTTATGTTCACTGTCACATCAAGTTTTCGTACTGACCTCCCCACTGGATTGTTATTAATGAATGAAAGCTTCTGTTCAGTTTTGTCATTAGAGTATATATAAGGTTTAGTGCACCGATATAAATAATTGTTAATAGCTTCTGGGCTGTATATATAATTTCAAAAGTAAATTGTGCAGTTCTCTCAGAAGGAAATGTTTCTTTAGAAATAGTTTCTTCTCCTTAATTTAAAATGATAAATTACTGTTATTTTATACATTTTGTTACCTTTCTGGAAATGTTCGTTAATGTTGATCATGCAGGATAAAAATCTAAAACTGTTGTTTCTGGGGATTAAAAATATGGTAAATTAACAACTGGTAATTTCAGGTAGTGAATGTGAACATTATTAAGCCTATTATGCTTTTAATTTAAACCTTTTTTTTACTGTTTAGTTCAGTTGTAGATAATGTTTGCTGGTCAAAGAATTCTTCTCTTTTCACAAAGGCAAATACAGTAACATCGCCTGTGCTTATATATATTATATAAGTCTGGGCTTCCTAATTACCTCTGTATATTAGTTCTCTGTTTCCTGCAATTAAAAGCTGCACTTCTCCTGGGAGAACCATTAAATTACTTCAAATAAAGTATAACTGGGACACTTTATCCTTTCACTGTAGCCTTGTGAATTAAAGAGACATAGAAAACCTAGATCTCTGTGATTTTGGAAGCTGAAGTCTGGAGTTTGGGAAAGCCTTGCTATACAGCACACAACATATTCTCATATTGTCAAATGGGAAATCATCAGCTGTTAAGGAGAGCCTACATTCTAAACGTATTCCCAGTAAGTAAAAGATGGAAAAAAATGGAGGGGAGGTACCAACCATTATGCATTCTGCTAAACTGTAATCCTTAGGTTTACCAATGCCTTGGCAGACCTGAACAGAATTGTCTCTTCTTTTATTAAATACTTTCAATGAAGCCCAATGTGTTCTCTGTCATAGCTGTTTTCTCTGGAGACTCAGCAATCACACCAGAATCGCCACCAACAGCACTTACCCACTTAATCAATTAGTTACCACGACAACACAATGGGAGACGATTAGTGCCACTTGTTAGACTATAAGTCCCTCTGCTATTTCAGACCCATCTCTGCCTTCACTTAGTCCTAGCATTCAGTTACTAGTCCTGACATTCACATATTACTCACCTCTTGTATCTTGACCATGCTTTGTTTGACTTTGCTCCTCTGGACTGCATCTCTGTGTTTGTTTCTGGCTTGTTTTTTTGGCTTTCATTCTGAGTTTCCCTTTGGTACCATATACTTGAGTCTTTCCAGATTTGACCTCAGCCTGTTCCTGATTTTTGACATTGGATTGCATGTGTGCCTGCCTGCTTGCCTGCCATACCTGCACTTGAATCCAGTCTTCAGCCCTAGACTGTTTCTCTGTTACTGTGAGAACAGTGGTATTACAGTACATCCTACTATCACTAACAAAACTGATCAGCCAGCAAAGGTTATACTCATACTTGATTTGTTAACAGAGGGTCTTTCTATGTTGTATATGTTTGTAATCTATAATAAGGGTTTTAAAGTGCACTTTCCCAAACACTTGTGCTCTACCCTGTGCTCAAATATTTACCCTAACAAGATTTGTGTTGAGACCCATGCAAACTGCCCAGTTACACATTCTTCCTAATAAAAACTGGAGAATCTTTACCGCTATCACATTTATGAGATAACCTCTTCATCGGTCTTTTCACTTTATTTCTAAAGAGGAGAACATTATTAGCACAGGAGAACAAAGATAATATTTTAATTTGATTAATCTCAATCATTTTGCACACATTATTTCTACATATTATGCCTAAATCTTTACAATGTAATACACATTGAAATAAGTCACTTCACTTGTCTTTTTCTACAGCTTTCCATACCCGTACATAGCTCGTGGTTATATAAAGGGTGCTTTATTTCCAGCTCTATGCTCCTAATTCCCATACTGAATACTACAAAAATAACATTGTATAACAATAACGAGAATTACATTTATAAAGCACCTTTCATCTAAAAACGTCCCCAACACATACCTGGGTGTCTCAAAACAGTCCCACTAAACAGCTCTGGATTTTTAATGAGCACGTTAGGCTGGGCCTCAATTTAATGGTATATCTGAAGGTCGGCAGTACAGTCCTACAGCACAGTGTCCCCTTTCACCACATTGGAACATTTGTTTTGGAAATTCTGGTTCAGAGGGAAGCGCACTCATTCTGTTTTCGCACTGTACTTCTATACTTCTGCAGTGCTCCAGCTTCTGTATCCCTTTAATTTGCATAGTTGCAGGCTTTTGTGCAAAAAAACAAATGTCTATAAGTTGTGAAAGTGTGGTAGATTCAGGCAAAACCAAGGTTAGTTTTGAACTACATTTCACAGAGGACTGTGGGAAAAGACTTGCCAACCTCAGTCACCTGACCAGTTGGTTGTTATGACAACTGGTAATATGACAATTTAATTGGAGGCTTCCAAGATCAGTCTTTTTATCTGCTGTTTGAGAAAAAAAGATCAGATCTTCTGTTATACAAACTGCACCAGAGTGAGAGAAGAAGACATCTGACCAAGCGACAGGCAAAACTGTTGCAAGGTTTGAATGTTTACAAGAGACTGAAGATGTCTAATGAGAAGCTCAAAGAGGAGTTTAGGCTTTTGTTTTGAGGAATTCCTTAATTTGCCTTGCACTGTCAATAAAAGAGCACTTTCCTCTCTACCTAAAGACTTCTTTATGTGTCTGTTTTACCTTGACCTGTCTTATCAACATTCCTATTTACAAAACCCAGCCATAGTACAATGTCTGAAGAAGAGCAGTGTGACACTTTTTTATGCTCCCTTCTGTTGAAATTCTACTGCATTCTACTGCCCTGTGCTGAAAAGGGTGGTGGTGACACAGTGCATTCCATCTCTATTATTTCTGTGCAGCCAATGAGAGCATCGTTCCAGGTATTCTTCTGCTTGCCAAATACATATTCATTATGGCCTTTAAGCAACAGGTTAGCTACACATTTTTGTGTGACAAAGGTGAAACATTGAATCAATATTTATTAATAAAGATCCAAAGAATAGTGGGTCAAATGCTGTTGTTCCAAAATGTATACAGTATATATGTTACTATATAACTGTATATCCTTCACACTGAAAGGTTCAAAATTATTAGCCAGTGCCTTTGGTCTGTAACAGACCACAAGCCACTTTTCTTATTAGACATGGAATAGAAAAAGAAAGAGAAACAAATAAAAAATAACCTTTTCTGTTTTAAACTTGTCAATGTTGGGAGAGACTTTTGCACTAAATTACATTACAAGAAAACAATCTGTAAATGATATAAATTATCAATGGCACTGATAAAACAGTGTCTGCAAGATAATAATGTACAATTCACACTTCTTGCAAATGAATTTCTACAGGTTGTGAAAGTACTTTACTAAGCATTACATAATGAGAATACATTACTACTCCTTATTTAATTGATAATATCTGTTCCACTCACCTGTTGTGATAATTATTAAATTTTACCACCAAAATCTTGTGAAAACTATTTTACTTTTTAAAGGTACTTAAAAAACTAAACATCTAAAATATCAAGTCATCACAATTGATAGTCAGACCATGTTTGCCAGAAACCTCTTATCTCTCTCTGGTGAATGACTGGAGGCGGATTGTCTTGTCAAAAAACAGGCTGTGTTGAACCTGTAGACTTACTGTTAATGTTTTTAAAAAGTCTTTGTAAGAATTAACCAATGACAAGCTGTAATTATTGCATTTTCTACAGAAAGCAAACCTCATGCTTCCTTAACACTCCATAATGCACATAATGAAAAGGACAATTTTCATGTTCCTCTGACAGAACCACTGAGAAACGTAGACTTGAATCAAGCTTACTGGGAATGAAGAGGCTGTTAAAAATGTATGATAATTACCAAGAAAAGAATGGTTGCATGAAAAGCTGGATGTCAGAGAAGATCATCTGCAGATTATCACAGGCAGTATCACCGGTAGCTGTTTTTCAGCTTTGGAGTCTAGGGGTTGATTCAGGCTTTGGGTATCTGCTCGAGCGTGCATGTTCTCCCTGTGTTCCTGAGGGCTTTCACTGCATGCTCTGAATTAAGCAATCATGTTGGAGATGCCTCTTGCTCCATTTCAGCAGAAAGCCGCCTGTGAGCTGTCTGTTCCACATGGTTTTCTGAAGATCAGTAAGCAGCACCAACTTTCATCCCAGCTTGCTTTCAGCTGTCATGTTTCTTCTTCCCGTGTTTAACTATTGATAAGTGAAATGGGTTGTTTCCAAATCATGGCACAATTAATCTTTATAGTTCCCCTTCAATGTTAAGTAAAACTGCAACTATATATTATCTTTTGGTGAGTTTGGTTTGTTCTGAATTTGTCATTTACCACTAGCTCTCCAAGACTGATCAGTACAATATATACAGTTCATCACATTATGTATTAAAATGTCCTGTTTACTGATAACAGTTTACATTACAAGAAGTCACACTTTTTTGGAAAAGTGAAAACAAACTCTTAATAACTTACAAGGTTCAAAAGACACTAAAGGACATCAAGTGATTTAAAGTGGTTACAGTAACCTAAATTCAGAGAATAAGAGAACCTGTACACATTAGATTAAGTGGGTACTGCTGAATCTGGAGACAAATTACTCAGAGAAGTACATAGAAACAAGGTTCCTTGGGCCCCCTTTGCACCCATTGACAAAGAATAGACCACTTTAATTTTGTACGTAATTGAAATGCTGACAGACTCCTCCCACCTGCCGACTTTTGAACCACATACCTTTTTGTGCCAACTGGGAGAGACGCACATCAATCACAGGCAGCTCACAGGAAGTCCCTGGAGAGAATGCTCAGCTGCTTGGGGATGCCCAGTCACAGCAGACTAGTCACATGACCCAAGCAAATAGACCTCAACCTGCACTTGGGCCACGCCTTTGAGCAAGTCAGGAGACCCGGGAGACATCTTTATTCTTAAAATATTATTCTTAAAATATTATTTTTAAAATAAATGAAGCAAATTGTCATCATTTCCATAAATGTAGAAAAGCTGTAACTGACAATCCTGCACTTGTATCAAATCACTTTTTATAGATGCAACAAAAATTACTTCACAAATTCAGTTTAGCCTACAAATATTCCAACCTCACTAACACACTTTTTTTCCCCACTTTAACCAGAATCTTTTTATTTCCATACTATTTACAACAAGCATTCTGTTAAATTAATTTACAGTCTGTTCAGAGAGTATTAAAGGTATTTACATACCACTTAATTTCCCAAGAACAAAACATAAGTGTACAAATTAATTTAACTAAGGTATTGTGTTTTGAGAAGGCATTCTGAATGTACAATATCCCTTCTGGGTTTGGAAGATCAAGTTTCATATTTTCTTTCCAAGACGTCCCTGGTCTCGCAGGGTTCTTGAAGAATGGTCTCTGCAGAAACAGGTTGCCGTCAGTCAGGAGTGTCCAAAAGGGGCTTCAGCTGTTAGAGGCCTCTGCACAATCACTGCGTTGGACAGATTCGCCTCCTGCAAACTGAGGTCCTTTTCTTTCAGCTCACGGAGTGGCAGGGATGTTGTGAGGATGAAAGGTGAGTTAGTTCCCTGAGCTCTTTCAATGAAGTCCTGGACATCACTTATCCTACCCGCAGAAGATAACAGAAACATTACAGATTTTTGTGTTTTCCTATGTTACATGTATTTAAAGAGGAATTTACATTGTCTTCCAAAGATACTGGAAAACTTTTTTGCTTTATAGTCATTTGGTATTACATTAAAATGAATTATAAATACCGTATGACATGTTCTATTTTTGGGTAACTGAAGCATACATTTTTTTTTACAACAAAAACATACTTTGCATTCAACCCGGTGTTTTAAAGTGACCATAGATATTGGGACACAAGTCATGCTTGCTTGCATACAGTATACAGTACTTTTAAGACAACTGGATGAAGCCTGCAATCCATTTAAGCTCACCAAATCCTTTTTGTTATCATTATCATAACTTTTTGTAAAAATGGCGTTACATCCAAGTGACTATTCGTATTGATTCATAATGAGACATATTCAACCAAAATGTAGACCAGAACTCCAGGCAGAAATCAGGAAAAAATTATGGAACACACCATTATGCACTCGAGAACTGCCATTGAGCTTCAACGTTCAGTAACAGTGGTTCTCAAATATTCATGTAAATTCTTCTTTTTCATAAATATATACAGTAGGTTTTATCATAAATAATTAGACACACTGTAATTATACCCATTATCACGTTGTTGTATCATGTTGTGTAATGTTTATAAAGGCTTTATCACAGTGTTTTGTAGTCCCATTCAATGAAAGCATTGCCAGAACATCTGTAAAGACTTATTGACTTGAGGTCCCCTCATTCCTTCCTGAACACCCTGGTAAGTTCTCTACCACATACCCACCTGTGAGCAAGGTTAAATTTCTGCACGAGTCTTCTTCCATCTGCCAACCAGATCTGAAGACTGGTGACAGGCTGCGTGTGGTTCACCTCCAGAGAAGGGACTGGAGGTCCTTCTGTGTCCTTCGTTACCACTGTGGGAGCAACGCTGGGAATGGAAGTAAAAATACATTTAATGCAAGAAAAAGAAGCTTAAAAGTTACGTAAATTATGTAAAGCAACAGTTCAAATTTAAATATGCATCTACAAATTGTCTTCCTAGAACTCTGAAAATATCTTTCTATTATGCTTGTACCAACAGCGTGTAATCTTGTATTGCCTTATGCACACTTGGCTCTAAAGGATTTTATTTTTAATATACATGGATTGGCAGTGATTGTTTTTTCTAAATACATGGTCATGTTTTCTAAATACAATCTTCTCATACCTCACTTAGCCTGGCAATCCTATAAGAGCCAAGCAGTAGATTGTCTGCAGCTATTTTTGCCACTTGACCAACAAACATGTTCTATTTTCTGTCCTGCTACATAATGATATTAAGACATTCTTAAGAACCTTATACTGTAGTTCCAAGCTTATATTGTAGCTTTGATTTTTACTGATTCTATGATAATTTTTTGCTATATTAAAAATAAACACATCTTGAATGAAAACAATTTTCTATATTGAGAGGTGCAGAGAAGTTGCTATAATAGAAGTCGATTTCTTTCAAACATCACTGTTATACAAACATGTTTTCAGCTAAATTGAGATCCAGAGGCTTTGAGTGGTTTTCCATGAAGGCACAGCTGTCCACACTCATCGGAAGAATCACATACAGCTGTGGATGATGCAAAACCTTTCGGCACAGTGAATCGAATCGAGGTTCATGATAGCCAGACCAAGTTCAGGTTCAGAACAATCAGGAATTATTAGTTTTCCTAAGGAGAGGCTCTGTGCTAGATGACAGCTTGTCCTGTTTAAAAGCAATCTGTAAAATGATGTTTGGTGAGAACACAACTCAATATGCCATTTTCAAACTCTTTTGAATCTGTCAACAATCACACCTGTCGAGAAGCGCCCTGACTTTGACACAAACTCCTGGTGTGCCTGAGGTCCAAAGGAAAATCTGAAGAGGAGCATCCAACTGTGTCCAGGTGTCAGAGGGTTCATAGAAGCGAAGTGATCGAAGGGCCCTGAAGTTCTCTTAAAGCCTACATTATTATCTGCAGGCACATCATTTCTACCTTGAAACAGTGTTCTGTGTTCTCTGTCTTTCTGAGCATTTGTTGTGAGAAGAATCTTTGGATTTGGAAGGTGTAAATACTGCATATATTATTTTTTGCGTGGTTTACCCTCTCCCTGCATCAAGGAGATTTTCCTCTGGCCTGATTTTAATTCTACTGTACAAATTCACTTTATTTGTGTTCTGTACATTGCAAATCGGTTCAGCCTTTTATTTTTATTTTACATGGACTGCTATCACATTACCAACCATTTTCCACTTACAGAGACACTTAGTTATTAGCAAAAACACTGCAGCAATCTGGGGCGGGATTCTATTTCATAATAGCAGAAGATCATGAGTACTATTTTAATGTTACCTGTCTAGAACGTCTTCTGTGTTGTAACAGTGGTAACATAAATTCTTTGAAAGAGTTTGCATAATATTTTGCACATCTGATCAAAAATGCAAAATAAAGCACACACATGAAACAAAGGTATTGAAAACAAAGCTTCTTAGTCAGTATTCAGAAGGGAAAAACGGGGATTAAGAGACATCTAGTGGCCTAATTATGTACTGAGAACACTGGCAAGCACCACTAATAATTACAAGGGCTCATACTGATGTTGTATAAATAAGGTTCAAAACGAGAGAAACCATTCAATCAGCATATCAGCTTTCACAACATGGATTCAATAGCTTGTTCAAGACTCCAGCAACACACTGCATAGAAACACCTCTCCTTTTTTCAGCTTTAAATGCATTTACCCATAGTTTCCACTTGTGTGCTTTGCTTTGTGTTTCACTATTGATTGTAAATTAGTCCACACCTTGTCAGTGCCTTTAAGAATTTTGCATCAAGTTCCCTTGTAGTCTTATCCAGTCAGTACAAAAACAGATTAAAATCTTTCATAGTCTTTTGGCTCAATCTGCAGTTTTGAAATAAACCTTAAAGAACTGTGTATAATGATCACTGTTCTCTAATGGCCCCCTCACCTGTTTTCACTCACATCTTGATCACCTGAAAAGACAGAACAGTCCTTCCCCTAGCAGGGGGGTCTGACAGAGTTAAAATGCATTTCTTATCCATATCAAAATTCAAAATAAACTTCAACTGTTTTTATATTCAACTGCTGACATTTCTGTTCTTTCTCACTATTTAGTAATAAACTTTGATTTCTGGTAGTGTGCAAATTTAATTTAAAATTATAATAATCATTTCTTACACTTACATAGTGCTTTTCTGGAAAATCCACTCAAAGCGCTTTAAAGGTAATGGGGACCCCCTCCACGACCGCCAGTGTGTAGCAGCCAGGACGCTAGGGGTAACACCTCTACTCTTTTCAAGATACACCATGGGATTTTTAATTACCACAGAGTCAGGACCTCATTTTTATGTTTCATCCGAAGGACAGCACCTTTTTACAGTATAGCCAACCCTTTGTGAGCAATACAGTAATACATACAATGTGTCACCAAACAGAATAAATAGCCCATAAACTCTTTAAAGAGGAGATGAAGAAAAGAGGAGTGTTTTAAAATCCTCCAGCCAGACCAAGAAACTATCATCTGCAGGTATTTTCATTGGCAGGCAAAAATACAAACAGCTTGTAGATAGAATGAGCACTTTGCATTTGGAACTGGATAGATGTCTTATAGTTTTGTGAATTGTAATTTCCTTTTGCTGGCATCCACCAGGTAAGAGAAATCCTGCATATACTCTGATGGGCTATTTTGTTTAGGTATAAAGATTGCTTTTTGGTTAGCATCACCTGAGGGTGTGAGTTCGTCCTGATAGGGCACTCATCGTTCTGGTAAATAATTGTTAAAAAATAGTAGCAAATATTGTGTGTTTCTGTTAATACTTGTAAATAAACTTTTTGTTCATCTTTTACGTCTGTTACTCTGTATCTTGTTCAATAGTTTGCTGGGAACAAATGACCACAAGCTTACACACATGTTTTTACTTGGTGTTCCCTCATTATAAGGATAATAATAGGGGATAAATAATTATTTAGCTTTTACAACATGCTTGCAGGACCTAGTTTCCTCTCTAAATGTTTTCCCATTTAATTCAATTTATGCCCAATGTTGGGTTCTTTCAACCAGTTTGTAACAAGGGATGTAGGAGTGACAGACTCAAAGCATGTAACGATGGGTATTGTGGTAGGATTAATACTTATGAGGATCACCAATTTGTAACAACACATACAGACATTAATAAACAAGTTTGTAAATTTTAAAAGTAAAATAATCTATACATATATATTTTAATATAGGAAAATGTGGGACAAACCAAGGATTCATTACCCTGGTACATCACACATCCAGCTCAATATTAGTCCTCCTAATATTACATATTTTAGAATAAAAAATGTTCCTCACCTTCCGAGTCTGTATCCTCGGCCAGTGAAGGGGTGAAATGTCTTCCTCTTGGGTTTGTACATTTCATCTTTCAAATCCTCCACTTTAACCTCCAGCTCCTCATCCACAAATGCTCTCTCGAGCTCCAAGGGCAGCTCCCTTTGTAAGAATAAAACAGGTCATAATTCTCTGGGGGGGTCGTTAATAACAGCAAGACAGGGCATGCACATCTATGTTCGTACTTGTGGACTGAAATATCAAACAACACATGAAGAAATCTAAAGGTTCCTGTAGAACACACTCAAAATGATGAGGATATCCACTGGGGTAGTTGGTCTATGTGGTGCATAATTACATTTTAAGAAGTGAAAAAGGTGTGCTTGTGCTTGTATCTCAAATTCATCTTGTTCCCTGCACATTAAGTTCATCACAGAACTTTGATTGTTATGGACAGTTGCCAGGTGCCTGGGCAGATGACAAAGTACCCAACTAATGTAGGAAGATACCAAAGCTCCCTCAGCTCTCTAATAATGGCAGTTGTCCAGACAGACTGCTGTGTGCCTGCAGCCATGTGAACAGCGGAACAAGAATGATCCATAACAAAGGAATGCAAGGGTCCTAAAAACGTTTTATTACTCACCTACTCTGATGGTGTTTATGGTGCAGTTCATATGTGTTGTGATTGCTGTCATTAAGTGAAGTATGCATGTATTCTGACAATTCATGCAGAACTGAATGTGTGCACTGTGGATGACAAATAATGTTCTGTTCTTTCCAGGGTCGATGGATGGTAACTGTTGTGCAAGAAAGGATGTACTGCAAAGTAAACTCATGGATCTATTGTTCCTATGCTAAGGGGACCTCTCTCTTTTTAACTGACAGTGAAGTATTGTGCCAAGGTGTTTAAACACGATAGAAAATCAAAGATGATCCAAGTCTAAACAACTTTAAGAGAGGACATTTCTAAAGAAACCATGAATATCTTGGAAGTTAAAAAGTTTCTGCCAGTCCAGTGCCCCAAAACCACAGTTTGTAAGATAATAAGAGCTTATCCAGCACAGGATAGTGGGGGGGAGCTTGAGCCTATCCCAGCAAGCAACAGATGCAAGGGAGGATACACCCTGGACAGGATGCCAGTCCATCACAGGGAAGACACATGGACACGGACATTCACACACTCACACCAGGGCAAATATTCCCGGGAGCCACTTAACCCACCAGTATGTGTTTGGACAGTGGGAGAAAATCAGAGCACCTGTAAGAAACCTATTGAAACTCAGCCCAGCAAGGAAGAAATACTAAACACTGCACATTGTGCCACCCTGGTTGGTATGCTCTCTATACATGAAAATGTATACATATGGTCAGTCCTCTTAAATCGATGTCTGCTGAAAGGGCTACCAGACAGATGATAAATAGTGATTGGTAGCGATTGCTAACAATTCACCAGCCAGACTGATGCCTCTGCAAAGTCACTAGCAACAGACATTAAAAGAATAAAGACGTCTATTAAATATATTACTTTTACTTAACAGAAGTAAAGTTTGTGCTCTCTGTAGACCGTTCTGCTTTTTAGTGTTAACGTTTCTAATGTTGAGATTAAAATTCATATCCCATAAGTCATAGATATTGCACCTTAAAAGCTGTCCCTGCTCAATAAACCAAACTAAACCAACCTGTTGGGTCACTGTCTAGCATTCGGTGAAAGATTTATTTATAACTTCTCGTAAGGAATACACTGCTTCCACAGCACCTGAAGAATATGTACAGACTCTCACATTAAGCTGTATTCCCAAGTGAATCTGTTGAAAGGTTAACCTTGAAGCATGTAACCCATGATATGGAACATGCATGTATCTTTATACCAAATCTATTCAATGCCTTTACATTCCTCACTACCTATACACCCATCCTAGGCTCTTGGTCCTCATATGGGCAACCACTGTAGAATAATATTTTTGTTTTACCAAATGCTTAATACTATATATTGTAAATTAAGTAATATAAACTAATTGAATAGCCTGAAAGTTGCAAAAAGCTTTATATTAATTATGTGTCCACTGACTAATAATAGGAAACAAGGAATATGTGAAGGTATTTCAGAAAAACTAAGTGATACAATATTTCTTTTGTTTCTTCTTTAGACTGAAAATCCAAATATAAAACCCAGACAATGAATATCAACAGTGATCCAACATGATACGAAATACATGTCCTGTTGAAAGTTTTCACAAATCTGTCCCAAGTGTCTTTCCTCCAATTGCACCCAATGCACTAACAACACAAAAATAAGAACAAGTAAAGTTTTATTCTATGGTGGAAAGAGAAGAAAAGAAACACAAAGTTTAGGCTCTGGAGCCTTCTTCAGGTAACAGAACAGGAAAAGAAACAACTTTTCAACTGTGGAGCCTTTTTCAGGTGTCCTGAAGTAGTGTCTTTTCTTCTCTTTTCAGCATGGAATAAACCTTTACTTGTTCCTTTGCAGCCTGCGCATGCTAAAGCAGCTACCTACTTGAACTACAAAAGTAAGAATACTTGGTAACTTGCCCTTTCTTAATTGAGTCCAGGAATTGCTGGTTTTCATCATCAGAATAGCTCCTGAGTCCCTCGTCATTCACTGTGAATCCATTCTTCCACAGTTTCACCACTACTTCTGCCTGCAGAAATGGGAAAACAGAGGATACAGTACAGCCTTACTGTTGAGTACTTACGGGAGCCCTCACATTGTGAATTCACGTTCACATTGTCGGGGGAAGTACATTCCACTGCAGATATTTGAAAAATGAGCGACATACGGTATATACTGTACATGTCAAGTATTCAAGTTGTAATTCTTAATATGTTGTTTGATGTGTACATGAGGATGCCAAGTTCAATTCATCTTCATTACATCACTTTCAATAACCGCTTATCCGGCTGAGAGTCACGTGGCCAGGGATAGGCTTCCCTGAAGGAAAAGGCATAGGCCAGGTGGTTACCCCCCAGAGATGACAAAGTGGCACGGCGCGCCTCAGTATGGCATGAAAACATAAACAGAGGTTTGCAGTACCGGTTCTTGGTTGTTGCAGAAAAAGAATGATTACAAAGTAACTATTTAAACAGTAAACACTACAGTGCACTACAATAAATAGCTTAGAATAATTTGATATACATAAAATTAGACATAACTTTAAATATACAATATATAAAGTGCTTAAACAACTTATTCCTCCTTCACAAAGCCAACAATTTCCCCTCAAAAAGCCAAATCTCCTGGGTTTTTGAAAGAACAATTCCAGGGCTCTTTGGAAGTTAAAATCTGACACTGATGGACCACTGATTGAGGTCCACATGCATAGATTGATCAAAGCTGCAGACTACCTATGATGCTGCCCAACGAAGAGCTTTGTGTTTGAAACACATTGCTTTTTGATGGAAGTATCAAGCCATCATTGTGTTATTTTTGTTATGGAGGGGCTGCTCATTAGTTTGCACTCATTCAGGCAGTAAGTATTTTTTCACTTTGAAAATTAAATGGTTTCCAATCCCTTTATTAACCTTTAGAAATGATATTTCTAAACAACTTCTACAAGCAATGAAGGGATGCAGTATTTGTCCAAGACCTGATGATTCAGCTGCGAGGAAACCCTGCGTTTTTTCTACATCAATTACTAACAGCTTTAAAGGGGATGCATGAGACTTTCTGTCAAAAACTGTGATGGCATACTATTTGTTTGGATGGTTTCTTTAATCATGTATAAATACACACATTTAATAGGAAAGCCTAACGATTCCTCTCACAGGGAGATTATGTCACCTGCTGCCAGAGCAGAATTCCACAGAAGTATCCCAGTCATGTCTTGTCATGTTATTGTGAATTTAGAATTTCCCACCGTGACTGCTGATTGTGCTCAAGATCATCCTCTGCGTTAAGTGTGACTGACACGGACTAAGTCTGGATGTCCAGCCCAAGTTTAACACTGCTGATGAGAGTGCTAGACTCATGTCTCCTGCTCCGGGTGGCCATGAGAGGCCTCTCCTAAAACACCCTTCTATTCAATGAAAACCTAGGTCTAGCGTGGAATATTCAGTCCTTAATTTCCCTCTTTTTTAATAAACTGCACAGACATCCATTTCCTGCACATTCTACTTCGTTGCTGTCTTTCCACACGTGTTTTTAAATTTTAACAAAGTATGACAGTTAACTACTGAGATGCTACGATTCCATATAGATCCTTTCCAGAGCAATCCTTACTGTATGTCTCCAAAGGTCAGAGCAAGTTCTATGCACCCTGAACTTTACCCCTGAAAACAATGAGCTTAATGTAAAAAAACACAGGTTCTCTCTAAAGCAGCACCAGGAATGACACAAACACCACCTCTGAGAAAAAAGTAGCATCAAATGACATCATACTTTGTTGTATGCAAGATAATGTGAATATTTTGTTCTAATTCAAGGAGCAAACACAGTACCTACCTTTTTATCTCCAGTGGTGACAGTGCCGATCTTTTCCACTTCATCAAGCAAGTCTTCCAGTGAGAAACCCCTGCTTATGGGTGCATCATTCTCACAGCTCTCTGCACCATTCGCCCTGAGGGATAATGAAACTCTTTTTTTTGTATGGAGAGGAGGATGGTGTACTCCCTAATTCCACTGGGCCAACATGATCTAAAAAGAACCTTTAATTACTAAGTCAGCTACACTCACTGCAGTCTCTTTCATTAATTAACAGAACACAACAAAAGATAGAAATAACAAAACATAAAAAAACAAAGCAGGGGAGAGATAAAAAGCATGACAGAGAAATCTGGATAGATATATAAACGTGTTTCTTTCATTGAAATGTTTTACCCGGTCAACAGCACACATATGTTGAAAGTTATTAACTGAAACCTTTTTGAAGTTGCCTGAAAACCATTTAATTTATACTGTATTGACACAAAAGACAGATAATAGCTTTTTATACTGTATGTTTACATCAAAGTTGCACTATTTTATTCATTTATAGTTTACTAAGTGGGCAATTGGATCCACTACCGAATTAAGACTTCTATCCTTGTCTTTTTCAAGAACAGTCTTCTGAATACATATGTGTACTTTTAGATATTTGTTTGATTGGATAACTGAACAAAATAACACAGTAAAGCGAATCCTGATGTGTAGATAAATTTTGCCTACCTGTAAATCTTATCAAGAGCTAGGTAAAGTGATAAAGAAGAAAGCTAGAAGAATTATACTATGAAGAAAATATTACCCTCAGCAAATATGTAACCAACCTTATGTATCCTAAATCTTAACAATTGTACAGCAGTACTATTAAGCATGTTTGGGATTGTAGAGCATGTAACTACTGATAAATTGGAAAAAAAAAAAACAATTGTGGAATCTGCTAGACTAATAATATTTGTCAATTTATTAAAACAAAAATACTGACTGGACCTACCACACTGTATCTTTGTCATTCTCTCTTGCATTATTCACGTCTTTCATAGTGCGACTTCTTTTCCATCTGCAAAGAAACGAAGAATGGCATCATCCATCACGTGCAGTAGGCAGAAATACACAGGCAGTGCCAAAACTGGAAATTAAGCAACTGGATTAAGCAAACTCAATTTATAACCTACACAGCTAAACAAGCATTGGCCATATCATGTATAATGTAAAATATACAGCTTAGACATCTGTGGGTGCAGAGGTGGTAGAGTGTATTGATAATGTTGTTAGATGTATTAAAATGTCCACTATTAGAAATACTGCTATTGAAAAAACATTATAATCCTCCTCTAATGTAAGACTTGACAAACTATAATTTTGACATTTCGTATCTTACAGTTTTTAGCAAGTTTTGTTTTTTGGTCCTTGAATTTCAGGTTGACTTCCTAACTGCAGAAAGGAATTTCATGGTAACATACAGAGTTTACTATACTGACAATTGTCAGTTTACAGCCAGAGAACGTGCTTTGTTGCCTGATTGGATATAATTCCTGGAATTCGCCCATCTGTTCTTTCAGTGATCCACGGAAGTTGACTTGTTTCTTGGCACCACAGATAGTAACAGAAGCTGTCCCAGTGGTAACTCAGAAACATTTGGAAGAGCCCAGCATTGCATCAGATCATTAATCCACATCAGGGCCCAAGAAACTCCATTCCTTGTTTTGGCTACGACATCACTTTCTCATTCTAATTTCCTTGAAATAGCTCCTGTCGATCCTAACTTTAGAATATGAAAAGATGTGATTTCCCCAGGAAAGCACTCTATCCAAGAGAGTTCCAGGGAAAGCAGAATAGTAGCCTGCAATTTATAACATAATTTATAACTGTAGATGCTGAATTATTTCTTAGGTACTTATGTACTTTATTTGTCATGGTTGAACCCAAGCCCCCACTCCATTGGAAAGGTTCATAAATCTGAGTTGTATTTTACAGTATATCAAGAAACTATATAATATATAATAAAAGGACTGACAAATGATTTGCAATAGTTTGTGTAGGCTATGCGATGTACACAAACCAGCCTATTCATTGGTTTAGAAGAAATTAATAAGATGGCGGACAGTATACATCCACCAACAGAAATTCTTACTCCATATACAATACCACCACGATGGACACATTCAGATTTCCTTCTCTCTTTTTTCTCATAAATGAGTGCAGTGTCAACGTAAAACAAAGAAACCTGTGTAAAAAGTGCTTAATGAACATACTGGCCTTCTCATTTGTTCAACTTTTTCACACATGTACTGTACTTGAAAGAAAACTGTACGTGTTCTTTGAAGAGTGTGATTATTTGAACCTCTTTCAGACTGTTGTTGCCAAAACGTGTCCTCTGGAGAACACTATCCCTGACATAGCCTACCATCTGCGGTAAAGGATTTGCAAACCAAGCTTTATTTTTAGATAATATATGCTCACAGATTTGGAGTTTCCAGCCACAATGGCATGCTAATCCGCCACTAATAGCGGAAATTAATCATTTCATTTTCAATGTTTTATAAAAGAACAACTACTGAAATTGCGCTGTAACCCTTGAGAATAACTAACAACATACCCAAAGGAAAGGACTTCCTTCTCAATATTTAGAGAGGCCACTTTATTACTCTGAATATTCATAATTTTCCTACTTTTGTAGACTTTTTCTTTCTATTAAACCCATTTCATCCTTTTGAATCCTGCATAACAGAACATATGGCAAATTTAAAGGTTGAAAGAGGCAACGCTTATGACTAACCTTGGGAAAACTTAACAAGGCATAAATGATTTGATTTTTCTCTGTAAATAAAGTGTGGATAAAATTTCCAATCTAATTCCTTTGTTATGCATCTAGTAGTAACTCTAAGCCTTTATCAGGATGGATAATAAAAAACAAAAAAGGTCTTTCAGACCATCAGAGTTTGCTCGAATCTTTTTAATCCTCATGTATCACATATCCTATTCTTCAGGGATCAGTGAAGTATATTCAATAACATTGGCTTATTAATCCAAGCAATAATTAACCTGTTTGACAAAGTCTGCTCATATCAACTCAGAATATGAAATTTCTTCAATGTTTCCATATCCTTGAAATTCTGCCTAAATGAACCATGGTTAAAATAACTGCTGGAGCAAACTTTTTCTGTAAACCAATTTTGAAATGTTCTGTTTTATTGTTTCGTATGCTCGACTGAATGGGTTAAAACTGATTCAAAACCATGCTCTGTGATTCATCATACAGACCTTATCTAACTAATTCTCAAGGCACTGCATTCGATATCTGCAAGGTTTTTTGCTAAATTTACTGTCAGGTTACAAAAGCCCCAAACAGCAAAAAGGCTATGCTTGTAAAGGAAATTGTTCTTACTAGATACGGGGAGGTACACTATACCATTAGCTCTGGTCTAAGTAAGATACCTAAAGTAATTAGCGTCTTTTAATGTTCTACAAATTAAGCAATACAACTACTGCAACTACAATAAAAAGGCCCAGGCTATGGTTAAACCTGCTCTTCAGATGATTAAATCTTATAAGAAATCTGAGCAGCCCTAAACCATTGTTAGTCGCATCTAAAATGTCATCCTTTCGTAGTCGTTGGACCAAGGCAGCATTTATATTCTTAAATGTTATATGCACTCAAAGGTAAAAAACACACTTTAGTTTGAACACAAACAGTGCATATTCATGTATGAACATACGTCTACATTTGAGGGTTTTGTCATCTCAAAGGCACAGAAGCCTGTTAAGGCAACATAAGGTAAGTACAGTAGGTCCATTTTCAGGCCATAAAGGCCCATGGGGAATTGGGGGCAAGGGCCACATTCTTCTTGACCATCCGACACTGGAGGTGGAGGTACTGTAATGTGGTGAGCATCCCACTTCAGCCAGCCTATTACCCCCAGAAGGACTCATTTTGAAAGCAGGTGGGGTGGTCCTGGGAGCCGTCTGGAAGGAATTAGAGCAAGCTACATCACTTGCCCCTACCTGGGATTGAACCCAGGAATTTCCAGGCAGGGGCTAGACACCCTTTCCATCTGAGCTACTGTACCATGGCTCCTTTAAGGAAACACACCCAGAGGAAATATATTTGCGTGTAATTCTATTACGTGCATAGAACAGTAAATAAGTGAAACTCTTAATACCTCTACACAGCTGTACACAGACGTTTATACGTGCTGCAAAATTTTAAGTCTACACCTATGAGGAACATGATCGCATGAAGGAACAGTAAGGGCACCTCGCTTAAGCAATTTAAAAGAGTACCAGCACTAGATATGCGGTACACCTACTGTACGATGGTCTAACGCCCCATCCAGGAGAATCTGTGTTCTCGATTAATTTAACTCCGATCTGCAATCCTGCTATTGGGGACTGAAACATAGACACGTGTAACTGCGTGATTTCATGCATATTTTGTCCTGAAGTTACAGAGGGAATGCAATTTTTACCCTGAAATGTGCACACATTTCATACCAAAAAAAACAGTAAATTCAACTCTTCAAATAACACCGACTCATTAAAAAGCATTTAAATATAACAATTACGGTATAACGTTTAAAATTATTTAACAATTCCGAGCAACAAACATGGGTCTAGTGCTAAGATATTATTAACGGACTGCCCGCTTCACCAATGCTGCATGCAGGGTGTGTACATCACCATAAAGCCAAGCTTCTGTTAACACCGTAGCTTAAATTATTAATATAATAATGTATTTTTTAGCATTCTCGGCATGAAAAGCTTGTTTTTTAATGTTGTTGTTACCAGTTGCCTTTTCCACACAGTCACGCAGCTATGTATATCTCCAGGAAGATTCTATCAGCAGCCTAGCCTGACAAATCCCTATTCCCAACCATCCCCACAGTGGCATGCTGACGTCAGAGCCGTCTGTCTGGAAACCACCGGCGTCACGTTTTAAAAATTGTGCCAGAACCCACTGGATAAATGTAATGTCACAGCAAGCTTCTGAAGGTTAAGGAAAAACATAGGTTTATTAGAAGATGCAGTTTTATGCATATTACTGATTGTAGTAGAAGTAGCGCGCTCTGTGATTGTGCATCTACAGTAGGTCTTATTAGTAAACCGACTGATTCTGAATTGTTTTTTTCTTGTGACGGTAGTGATAATAGTAACAAATGTAAGAATTGTAGTTTTGTGGGTGTGGAAAAGAAATACTCCAGCACTATTAGGAAATTAAACTTAAATGCATGTTTTATGGGAAAAATGATTTATTTTGTAGACCATTGAATGTTTAACCAGAGAATTAAATTAATACATAAAAATATTATGTTCAACTGTATTGAAATATATTATTCCATTGATTTTAAATGCACATTACATATATATATATAATTAAATAAATGCATTTTTATTAAGTTAGATTTTATCATTCCTTTTCCAGAGGAAAACAAAGTTCAAACTATCAAAAAACGTTCTACTAACAATTTATATCAATTTGCAAATTCCCAAGAAGGATAGAAATGTTTTAAGAAAAATGGATGCCACAAAATTGTGGATGGCAAAATTACTAAATACTGTTTTGTGGAAGAAAATATAACCTTTGTTATTGTATTTGCACTCTCATTAGAGGCACAGCTTTGTTGAAAAGAGTAATAATCCAGGCACACTTGGTTAAACAAATGTTAATTAAAAAGGACAAGACAAACAATACACTATAAACCCTATACACAATATAACATACAACACACAAGTTACTACTGTATGTCTACAGTAGGCCTAACGTTCTAATCACCCAGAAAATCCCCCAGACTTCTACTATAAAACTCTCAAATAATGCCTACAGAGGCCAAATAAGAGTTAACCTGCCTTCTAAATAAATGCAACGCAACCTGAAGTTAAATCTCTCTCTCTCTGCAAACTGGGGTTTCACAAAATTAATGGGAGCCTATCTCTCTATTTTAAAAATGCACCCCTAAGCAGGAAAGACGTTTCTAAAGGAGGTACTGTATCTTTTACCCAGGAAACCCAAATTCCCTAAAAATACAGACTAGCAAGCTCTTTGACCTAGCAAGGTTCAGATACCTAGCTCTAGTCAGGTTTTGTTTGGATGATCATGCAGTAGGCGCTCTCGCCTGGCGCAAGCCTCAGGTTCCAACTCCTCTCTCGTGGTCTGACCTTCTTTCTCTCCTTTCTTCTCTCTCGTATTTTCCTTTTCTTTCTCCCCTCTCTCCTCCGCTTCTTGTCATCTCTTGTGGTCTTAACGTGATCTTAAATGGTGTGTTTCTGGACTGCTCAATGACAATCATTAACTCACAGCTTAATTAATTAGGTAAAACAAGGTAAACTTTACAATTGTATTTGATCAGGGGACCCCCCACATCTCAGCAAATATCTCCTCTGTCAGGTGTCCCAGACTTTATCTAAACTCTTACAGACACTTCCTAGTCACCTAAAGCTGTGAGTATTTTATAGTGTTGCTCTGGTTATGTAGAATCCAGACATACAATACTAGACATACAATACCAGACATACAATATAGACTAGCAAGTGTCGCACCATGCTGTGAGTTATTTTAAAGCATCACTTATTATTAATAATACAGTGGTACTGCTGTGAAGACAGCATGCCAGGTTTCATCAAAAATCATAATGCGATAAAATCTATCACACGATTCTGAACACGTAATTTATTCAAAGTATGCTACATAATTTTGTCAAGGACTTTATTTAGGAGATGATGTTCTATAAGAAAACAACAACACTCAACAATTTTAGGAATCCTTTATTTTCTGAACCAATAGGAGTTCCCTTTAAACAGGTTTCAATCAGTTTGTTTTAAATTGACATTTTGGTCCTGGAAGAGCCACAATTACTCTTTATACAATCAAAAACGCATTTAAACTGATACAAATGCATCTGTATCCACGGTATTTGCTCACACACATTGTCTTCCATGGTGTATTGTATAAATGTATGTAAAGACACATGTAAAATGTGCAAAATTAGTCCAACAAGAAACTGAAAGACAACGATTTACTTACACATTTGGAAATGGTGTTGTCTTGACCCACTAAGTAAAATTAAAGCTCAGATGCTTTGATCAAAATAAAAACAGAGCAGATGGTCAGCTTAGCTTGCAGTCAGGTGACCAGGCGTCCTGGGAACATGATAGCCCTTTGAATGGCAGCATAATTCTTACATCACAAAAACAAGAGACAAGCCAAAGGTAAAGTACAGTGATTTCCTTGCTTACACAGTATTTAATTAATGGCACAGTTTCTCCAAAATGAGAACCTGTTCAGAAGAATTCTTCAGAGGTCTATGTTTTATCATAAATCAAGAACAGTCAAGCCTTACCTCTTTATAAAAAATAAATCTATTACCTGGAGTGCTGTAATATTTTTTAAAAGTGAGGGATAATGATGCCAAGTACAGTATAACCTCTGTACAGTATAAATCTATTTTATGTACAGTATAACCAAGTACAGTATAAATCTATTACCTGGATTGCTGTAATATTTTTTAAAAAAGGAACACTGCTGATTCTAGATGGTTTGTCCAAATGAAATAAGGCTGTAAAATGATAAAGGTTAATGCCTTGACAGAAAGGGGAATGCACTGTGTTGTTCAGGTGGATAGCTGTCAGCATGCGTAGGCTGCAAAGGAACAAGTAAAAGGTTTATTCCATGCTGAAAAGAGAAGAAAGGAAACACAATGTTTCGGCTGTGGAGTGTATTTACACTCTCACACCCGAAGAAGGCTCCACAGACGAAACGTTGTTTCCTTTCTTCTCTTTTCAGCAGGCAATAAACCTATTACTTGTTCCTGTACTGTATTGTGCTGTACAAACGGTGTATTTTATGGAGTCTAAATGACCCTGTCCACAAGGTAAATGTGTAGCCTAAGAGGGAGTCTAGGGAAAACAAATGAAGAAAAACCACATAATGTGCTTCTGTAGCAGATTTATATAAAACCCAGTGGTAAACAGATGGATGCCACAAGATCCTAATGTGCTCGAGACAACCCTAAAGGCCTCTCATGGCGTCTGGTGTCCAGACCTTTAGTGCAAGTGGACTGGGAGACTGTCCGTTTGCCTCTGATTTGTTCTTAATTTTAAGGATTTGTTTTAAAAACATTTTTTAAATTAAGTTTCAGAATCTGGTTTCAGGGGACCCGATTCATGTGTATTAAAAATCTTCACATTTAGTGGCAAAGGCACATCACATTAGTTGCTTGTTTTTTGCAGTACTAAATTAGCAAAATGCCTAATGTTAATCAACACAGCCTTGAAATAATAGAGACAAAGCACATATTTTCTATTCTAATGTAAATTATATTGAATAACAAAATCTCCTAAGCAAATAGATATGAAAACTGTATTAAATTAAACTAAAATATATAAAGCATACTGGCAATTAGCTGACTAAAACATGTTTATGTCACATTTTCATTTATCTTGTTGAAGTCTTTAGGATCTTTTTGGTATTGACAGTACTGCAGGGATTTTGCTCCCCGACTCAAATCTTTCTTTTTCATTTCTAAACATAAAAATCGGGTAGACATTTTATGGGACCTACATTTGTACTGATACAAATAGCTTTCAGATCTGCTCACTTTAGTAATAAACTATTTAATAGTAAAAAGTGAGCATTGATGTTTTAATACAGTAATAAAGAGACACGACTTCAGTCTCGAGACAGTATATTTTAATTCAATGTTCTTTCATACAGGTACATTCTTAATACTAGACAGATAAGGAGAGAAAATGATAAAAACGCTTATCACAAATAAAATGGAATCTTGGAATTTTGGCACTTAAAATGAAGTAGGGAGAAAAAAGCAAGTTATACTTAAAGAGTTAAGGCAAATACAGAAAACAGACTTGGAGTGTAAAACTAAAGCTAATTTATACTGTAAGTCACTAAACATTTTAGGCTTAAGTAAAACCGATGTCACAATGACGGACTGAGGGGACTGTAATGAATGCTTCTTTTGTAAAAGAAAGTGGAACACTGTATATTCCCTGATTCAAGTAAATTGTAATTAAGTACTGTACAAGTATGGATTTGATGGGAAATTAATTTTTCTATTAGTAGATTTTGTTTGAAGAAATCTTTAAAATGTTCTCAAATCCCCCAGGAGCTAATGCCCTTCAAACTGCTAAAAAAAAAATAATTAGCATAAAACCCTATTAAGTTTTGAGGCTAAATTAATAGGAAATTCAGATTGTAAATGTTGAAGTTGAGGGAGGGAGTACTGAATCACTCCAGCATTGTCCATGCTCACGATTTAATGCCCCTGCCTCACAGCTCTTGGGTCCTGGGTTTGATTCTGGACTGGGCTATCCACTGTGTTGAGCTGCACACTCTCCCCATGAATGAACAGGGGTTTTCTGTAGGTGCGCAGGTTTCTGAAAATGTTTTGTCGTAATTTAACGCAGGTGTCAGAATCATCCCTGTGTGTGTACTGTATGTTCCACTGCAATGAACTGGCATCCTGACCAGGGGGTAGCTCTGCCTTACACCATAGGTGTCCATATTTTCTGTTGTGCTGCCTCCTCCAGAATGTGTTTGATTGCAATTGAGTTAATGGGAGCCCATTGAGCACACACATTTCGCTTCGACAATCGCTCATGTACGTATGCATGTCTGAGAAAGGGGTAAAGTGGAGGAGGGAGAGTTACCAAAGTTATTATTTTAGATAAATAGTGTTGGGCAGCATGGTAGCATGCTGTTTAGCATTGCTGCCTTGCAATGATCTGGCCCTGGGTTCAATTCCAGACCTGGGCTGCTATCTATGTGGAGTTTGTATGTTTTCTCTGTTTCTGTGGGTTATCTGCCGGGTCCTCTGGTTTCCTTCCATAGTCCAAACATATGCTGGTAGGTTAATTAGCTCCTGGGAAAATTGGCCCTGGCGTGAGTGTGTGTGCCCTGTGATAGATTGGCTTCCCATCTAGTTTGTATCCTGCCTTACGCCTGTTGCTGGTCAGAATAGGCTCTGGCTCCCCTGTGAACCTGTATTGGATGAAGTGAATAGGAAAAGGATACATTGTGTTGTTCAGCAGTAATCTGCAGTATTAGCCATCAGACTCTTAAAAAAGTTTAAATACGTTGCATAGTATGAACATAGGTTTACTGTGTGAAAAGGCCTCCTCTATAGTAAGTAGCTAATCGATCCGGCTTCAAATGCTTCGGCTGAAATCTGTGAATGTTTTAAGCTGTCACGGCACTTTGAAATTCGTTAAATCGACGTCCTGACGTCTTGAACCTTAAAGGTCCCATGACCATGCCTTGGCTGAATTGCACTTTTGTCATGTACAGTCTCCCTTTTTTTAAATATATATTTCCCCTTTTATTCAAATGATTAAGCAAATTCAGAAGCTTCCTGATGCACTGGTGCATTAATATTAAGTCACCACCCGTAGACTGTACATGCAATTAAAAATAGCTATATTTCAATTAAATACAGATATTGTCCCCCGGTTTAAAATGCAGGAGACTGTCTCGAATTTGTGCTTTTAGTGACAAAAAAAAACTTACTTATGGTACCTATAGAGGTTTTTGTCACTAGTGCGTTTTCGAGTACCTTCTCCATGCCCTCTGCAAATATAACCACTCGCGGGACCAACCCTAATGTTTTTCACGTCTTTAACGAAGCACTGATCTTCCCCATAATTTTAAAACTCGGCTCCTGACAGTCGCTTAAAAGTGAGGGATAATGATGCCAAGTACAGTATGGCCTCTCCTGCAACAGCTATGGGTCTTCGGATAGGTCGAACGATGAACTGGCTCCACCCCGATCCATCTCTCTTTCCTGCCCAAACCAAAACAGAGAGTGTCCCGCACATGGCTCGGTGTTTAGAGGAGCGCTGTAGCAGGGGGAGACAAAATCCGAGTTAGTGACGGACGGCCTTGGGAACAAAACTTGCACAGCATTTCTAAAAAAGCAGTCCACCTTGATGTGAAAAACGTCTCGACACATTTTAAAACCGCACTAACAAGAGTTTTTTTCTTCAACATAGCCCCTTGCTGCGGCTTTTACTCCATTTTTATAAAAGAGAAATTCAAAGCCGGCTAAATTATTGCTTGCTAAGCACTATGCTGGCTTTCCACACGCACACATTCAGATAAAACTGACGTCTACCCACAGCGTTGGCTCTCGTTACTGATGGCATTTTCTGAACGTGTAGTCTTTCAAATACATAAATATATTTTAGGAATATTTAGGAAAAAAAATAATTGAGGATGATTTAACAGATTTTAATGAAACGAATCAACGACACAGAAAGCTGCTGCCGCTTGGCAACCGGCTCGCATTTTCTAAATAAAAATCTGTCTGGGTTAGTAGTTTGAAACATGATCCAGGGCAGGAAAAAAGGCAACAGAACGATCACTCTATGTCCCCGTTGATTTGAAAATAACATACGTGAAAACATTTTTAACACCTTTTTGAGGGCTGGCGTTGCAGCCCAGTCTTTGCGTGTAAGCAAACCTTGAGCCACTGCAAGCGGAAGTACTATGTAAGAGTTGGTCTGCTGACAGTAGAGGGAGAGAGAGAGAGAAAGAGAAATGGCGCCTTGGTACTCCAGTAACTGAGGCAGTGTAACAAACAGAAAGACAAAATCAGCCAGGGCCGAGAAGAGGCGGAATCATGGTGAACACCCGCAAGAGCTCCCAGCCTGAACTCCGCAGCCACTACATCTCATCCAGGACAAGATCATCGGTCAAGAACAACCCCAGCACGGAAGATCACCACCATGTAAGACCCGGGTCCCTTTCTCCGCTATTGCTTTACTGTTCGGCCTGCAGAAATCGCTTTCCCCCCTGCTCTCCTTTTGTTCGTAGACCTGCCGGTATTTGTTTTGCATGCAACTGTCTACCGGTTTTGCAGAGCGAAAGAGCCGACGGACTGAGATCGGGTGTCACCCCCCTCCCCTGCGGAGCTGTCTGCGATATTTGCGCAAGTCACCTGTGTTAATTTCACAGTAGCTCCCAAGTTCTCTTTGTGTGGGGAAAAAAATGTGTCTGGCCGGTTTACTTGGCAGCAAGTGTAAAGGTTTTTTTTTTAAAAAGAAAGCTGCGCTTTTTGTGGGTGTGTGAGAGAGACCCACTTACCAGCGATTGACAGTCTAATAGCGAGGTGAAAAGAGGCGCCCGGAGTTTGTGCAGGTTTAAGTTCTTGTTTTGCTGGCCGTGTATAAATAAACGGGACTGTTTTGTGGAGGTGGGGGAAGGGAAGCCGATTGGAAAGAACCCCTCTGGTGGACAGATGGAGACATTGTCGGTAATTTTTTTAAATAAAAAGTTTCTACAAACTTTTCTTTTTCAGCCACAGAAATTGGTAAAAGCGAGATGAGTCGCATTTAAACCTGAACCAGCTTTTATTTTGTTCGTTTGAATTAAAATAGAAACCGTCGAAAAAGATCAGGGTAGCTGTGCTCGGCTTAGTTCTACTCTGAAATAAGGAGTACAATTTGATCAAAAAAAGTCCCAAGTCCAGAGAAAAGGTATTGTTAGGCAACGGGAATATTTCGGTTCATTTTTTTTTCAATCAAAGCGACGATTTTAGGTAGAGGTGTTGTTATGTTTTTGTCCGAACGCATATCGTGAATTAACTTTTTAATTCCTGCAGGTTTTGAATGCAGACGTTTATTGTCACGGTGCCCATTGCGGTCTGGAAGTCATTTATTTGTATCATCAAAGTCATATTTTGAGAAGTACATTACTTTATCTGGATATGTTGTACCGAAGGGGAAGATTCATTAGTTTTTATTCTAGAATTGACTTGTTTCTAAATGAACCACAGGTAGAAAAAATAAAACGATTTATTACAATTGGAGATTTTTAGTTCACCTAGTCCTAGTCTGCACAACCGTACATCCCGTGGGTTTAATGTTTTAAGAGAGTTCACAAATGTAAAAAAAACCTCATTATTTGGTCAACATAGTCCCAACAGTTTGGGTGAAACCATGTCATTCCATCCATCCCTCCATTTTCTAACTGCTTTATCCAGTTCAGGGGAGTAAAGGGGGAGCTGGAGCCTTTCCTGACAAGTAATGAGCTCAATCCATCCCAGCACACAAACACGCATTCACACCAGGCCCAGTCATCCCAGAAGCCAGTAAACCTACCAGTATGTCTCTGGACTGTGCACGGAAACTGGAGCACCCAGAGGGAACCGACGCAAACATGGAGAGAACATACAAGCCCCCTGCGGATAGCACCCCAGGAACTGCACCCAGGGCCTCAGTGTTGGGAGGAAGCGATGCTAACCTCTGTGTCACTGTGCTGCCGTATGTTTCCAGGAGGTTTATGGTATTTTAACAACATATTGTACGATAAATATGATTAGACGATCTTACCAGCTGGGAATTGCAATATTCCCAATGGAATAAGCGGTGTAGAAACTCCATTACTTTCTGGGAGGCTGGCATCAAGATAGATGTCAGCTCAGAGCTCCGGTATGTCCTTCTGAGGGTTCATAGCACCTTCATCTCCAGATGGGCAGAATCCCAGATGACACATTTTTTTCTCTCTCTCTCTGTTCTCATGAGTTTCCGCTGAAAGTACAGGAGGTTGTCGGCAAGACTGAACTCCTTTGATGTTAACTCTTCTGGCATCGGGTATCTGGTTTGTAATGACCGCTTTCAGGTCAGTACTGTGTCAGCTTAGGGCAAGGTAAACGTGACAAGACAACCCACTGCTGCCCTGCAGTTCAGACACATTCCCCGGTTGTCTTGGCATTGTCCTGGCTGCGGTGGCAGAGCAGGCTGACCTTGGGCTGCTCATGCAAGAGAGGAATGAGAGGAGGTTACACTTCCTCTGCCATTATCATGCCCTTGGCTTGTGCCAACACCCTAGAGGCAATCGGGTCTCAGGGCAAATCTGTTGCATCAAAGAACATTTTTTACAGAATTTTCACAGTGTATTAGTTCTAGACCCATGTGCATTTGTCCTAAAGCTGGTTTAGCAGAGTCCTTCCGCAGTGGAACACAGGTCATGTTCATATGTACCTGTAGCTGGGCACAGAATGTGTTACACATGGGAAATGCCTGATTAGTTCATTTCTTGGTCCGGTATGTACTCAGATTTTTATTTGAACTTGTTTGTTTTATTCTTATTTTTACATTGCATGGTCATTTGTGTTCTCGCACAGCGATGGAGAACATCAGAATGTTTCAAACGAGGAGGTAATTTTGTTTGGTCTTGCTCAATTGTTTGCTGGTATTTTAACGATTCAAGCATTCCAGCAAGCAGTTTCTTTGAGTGATTTTCTCAAGAGAACCTGCGGACTTGGCTTCAAGAACATGGCTAGCTTGTTCTTGGCCCCAGTTATTCTTTGTGTAAAAAAATGTATAATGCTTTATAGTGCTTCTATGCTTAATTTTCACTGGTGACCCTGTGGTGTTGAGTCCTTCTTGACTGAACAAATGTGCTTTGGAAAGTGTTTCGGTGCATTTTCAGCATTTTGATTTTTTTGATCAAGTCTTCACATAATCATCACTGTTCTAGAGTGAATCTTATGTTGATATTAATATGAATTCTAAATCTTCCCTATATAACTAAGCATTATGTTGGATATCATTGCTTTCGCCATGCTGTTTAGGTCAGGGTCCTTTTGTTTTCATTCTTTCATTAAACCCATTTATATAAGAAGCCAAATAGCAGTTCTTGTGTCTTAATCAGTTGTCCCCAGTTTTAACCAGGTGTTGGAGGTATTTATATGAAGCACTCTGGTCCACTGGGGCTGCTTATTCCTAGATAATGAAAGCGATGACTGAAAACAAACTCCTACATCTTTATCATATCTTCTCTTCTACAGTATTTGCCTGCCACCCATTTAATATAAGAAAAAAATGTACGTTATATATCGTATGTGTCCACAGTAAGTATTATTACTTTTAAGTCTTTTGCATTTTTTTCTATTGCACTTAAGTTTGTCAGTCAGGTTAGTAACTTTTCCGGTGCACTTTCTGGCCAGCTGGTGGTGGGTGCGGGGATGAATTATACTAATAGTGCTAAAGCATATTAAGTAATGGCAATTAGTTTTGTTGTCCTATACTGACTTGGGGAAAGAAGACAACACAGTTCTTCTGTATTTTGTTTATCTAGAGAGAAAAAGGGGGTTGTTTCTTTTAGTGAGGTCAAAACAGTGTGCAGCACTCTGGAAGTGATGGGTAGAGGATTCACTAAATGCCTAGTGTGCCCCCCTTCAGGCATTTCCTAGATTTAAGAACTGGATTTGGGGGCACAGTGCCACAGTGGTTTGTATTGCTCACCACTCATCGCTTTCAATTTGTGCCCTGTAAAATATAGCTGCTTGAGTCACACCAAAGTTTCTGAACTGCCTGAGAAAATAGTCTGATGTACATTGTTGTGCTCAGAAACGTGAAGGTATCTACCCTCTCCACTATCTGCCCATCAGTCAGAAGAGATTCTAATTCTTTCTTGTCACATCTGAAATCAAGGATTACATCTTTGGTTTTACTTACATTGAGCTGGAGGTTGTTTTGACAGGACCAGCTCACCAAAGCAGTGACCTCCTTCCTGTACAGAGATTTGTCTGTTTTTTGTTATTAGTCCTTCCAGAGTCATATCATCTGCAAACTTGATTAATTTCACAGAGTCAGTCTTTATTAAACCTAGAAATCCTGCTGGTTTTGTTGTCATAGAGGAGAGGATTTGTGCATCTATACCTTGCTGGTTAGGAGTGGTACTGTTTTCAGTTTGAGCCAATAACTCCCTGGCCAGTATGTTGTCTTGATATAATCTTTGGGCCAGTGGTTGATAGGGGAACTTCATTTTCATGGCATAACGACTTCCAAATGATCAAATGTGGAGTAAGCTGTTGGCGTTAGGGCTCCTCACTAGTGACACACTTCTAGGAAAGAAAGGAGAAAGCTGGTAAAGGATTTCCCCTGTGTGTTTTATCTTAATTGAAAATGGGTTCACATCAGAGCTAACTATTTGACATGCTAGCTTCAGTACAGCAACTGGTACTCCCACAGTGTGGTGGTTGGTTTCAATTCTTAAATATTTATTTTCAGGGGAGGTCATACAGTGTTGTGGTTTCTGAAAAGAACAGAATTTGTTTTATTGTGTAGCTGCTGTGGTGGTGCCTTATAAGTGCTCAGTTCACTGTATTTTCTGCACTTTGTTGATAGCATCCTCCTTGTGAATTTCCTAAATTCCATTTAATTATGCAACAAAGTCTAATTTTGCATCTATATCTTACATTAAACTTTTTATGCAGGTAAAAGCTGGGTTTGGATATATAGAGGAGTGAATAGAGATACAACAGAGATACAGTGAGGTAAGATAAGATCACTTTATTGGCCGTATACAATTTCTTGTACTAGGAATGTGTCTTTTCACATACCCCAGCTTCATGACACACATAGACAGGGAGAGAAGCTTGGCGTCAGAGCGCAGGGTCAGCCATTTATACGGCGCCCCAGGAGCAGTTGGGGTTAAGGGCCTTGCTCAGGGGCCCAACAGAGTAGGATTCCTCTGCCGGCTGCGGGATATGAACCGGCAACCTTCCAGCCACAGGTGCAGATCCTTCGCCACAGAGCTGCTGCACCGTGAGATATATTGCTCAGTGATGGAGTGGCCAGTCTTTTAGCATCTGTGAAATGGGAGCCCAAATCCTCACTGTCTAATCCTGGTCTTGTAGGACTGGGGGTCACTGGACTGATTTAACAGCTTCTTGTAGAACTTCAGGTAGGAATACCTGTCCAGGACCAGTATTGCAGACCCCTGTGCTAAAGTGTTAGGATTACGAGTGTTATATAATCGAATGCCTAATTGAAAGAGCTAGCCTGTTCTTCCCAGTGGGAATCCTGACTGGCTCTGGCTGAGCTCAGCTCCAAGGCTCCAGTGGTACTAATGTGCAAGTTGGGCAGATTCCGGTGGTGTGTTGGGCAGAATAGTCTTTAGCAGGATTCTCATTACAGTTGTTCTGCTTTGACCAATGTGTTTTTATTGCTGAATGTCTCTCCAGAGATGCATTCACTCTGATAGAAAAATTGTGTAATTTTGACGAGAGGGGGTATTCTGGCATGTTTTTGTATGAACCCTGCTGCCTGTGTTTTATGATGACGGCAGTAATTTGGAAGATATTTCAGCACTTCCTGTGTTTCCTTTGTTTATACGGTTAATAGTTTTTGGATCTGTGTTATTTTTTAAAAGTAATAAATTGTAGGATGCTGGGTGCAATGGCTACCACATGTTTTCAACCCAATAGCTATGAGGCAGAGGCAATCTTATGCATTTCCTAACTCTAAAGTAAAAATAATTTTACTCCCAGATTTCCAAGCTTTCCATAAAACTGCATCCTGGTAATGGTATGATTGGGTCAGAGAATCTAATTTAGGGACACTCCTGTTTATGTCAGGACATGTCTTAGACAAGAATAAAAGCACCATCTGTGACATTTTGAGAGCTTGTTCATTTTTTTGTCATACACTGAAGGTCATCATCTGTTGTTCTCCTGCTGATTCAGTTTTCATAACGCATAGTTGTTTATCATTATAAAATCATTTTCTTCATTGCTATGACAAGACCCTTTATGGATCTTATTGTGATGCATTCGTTTTTCGCAAGGTGGGACTTTGAGTTAATCAAGCTTGTGTACTCTGTATCTAAAATGCGTTACAAGCATGAGCCATCCTTTATTGGCCACAGATGTGCTGAGAGCAGTTTGACACATGGAGAAGAGGAGGCAATGCTAACCACTGTGCCACTTGCCAACCTATTTTAGAATAGCAATCGGCAAATAGCAGCATTATTTTAAGGACTGTAACCTTTGAGTTCTTATTTATGTTGAGGGTACTAATTGAGTGGTTTGTTGAAAATATGTTGTTTCTGGGTGACCTCAGAAACCCTATTGTCTCAGTTATATGGTGTGATGAAACCTAAAGCAGTTGTACTTGCCTGCCTGTGCTTAATTTGTGTTTTTGATGATTTACCTTCTAAGAAAATCTGGCATGTCTTGCACCCCCAGGGCTAGCACCGGTTAAGTACCGCTGATCTACGGACTCTTACAATACACATTAATTTGCTCCATGTTGAAGTGGCTGGTTCAGTTCTGAATCCTGTGCAGCGGAGGTTTTGCTCCGAATCTCCAGGGGAGGCTCACGGGAAAGATAAGTGAAGTGGTTTTGTTTGTTTGCATGAATCTCTCCTGGAAACGCTTTAAAATGGGCCTTCAGGAGGGCAGAACAAAAAAAGGCACCTCTGTCATTTTGGCGTGATGGAAGAGCAGCTGAGCCTGCGCAGGGAGCCTGTTCTCACCTCGCAGAAGGCAGGTTGTTTCTGCTTGAAAGCAAGCAGGAAACCCGGGACTACAATAATGACAGGGTGTTTCTTGTGTTCCAGCCTAGAGATCCTTTGTTTCAGTCTGAAAGATGATATTTCTGCCCTTTCAAGAATTTTTTAATGGATTAAGTCAGTATTTCCTTCTAAAATTGTAACCTTGTCGAGGGGAAAAAAAATGTAGTAAGGTATTGCTCGAAGGCTGGCAGACAGGTGTGGAAGGAGCAGGTGTCATCACCTGCTGTCCCATCATTGTGGTGATCTTACAGCACCGTTGTCTGCCGTGCCCCGCTGTTGTGAGTTGGAATGTGTGGGGGCAAAATAGAAAACCCATTTAAAAAGTGCTTTGTCAACCTGCATGCATTTCTGTAGTGCGTTTCCTAAAGCTGGAACTGTTGCCAGCCTGGCTGGGGGCCCAGCGCTGTCTGGGGGGGATGCCGAGGCAGGAGCGAATGTGGACTGATATCCAGTGCCTCTCGGGAGGAGGGGCAAAGGGTGGCATGTGGGCGTTGTAGCACTGCTGGGTTTGTGCGAGCGGCTGGAGTCCTGCTGAGGCTGAGTGCTTCATGAAGTAGCACCAGGAGACTCAAATTTTGGAAGAACAGAGCTGGGAAAGCGTGCGCCATTGTGGAACGCAGGCCAGGAGATCGTGTGGGTGTGTTGCTCTTTGTTACATAAAAGAGCCCTCTCGCTGAGCGTGATGGGAAAAGCGGTGCTGTGAAATAAACCCCACCAGTTGCAAAAAAAAAATTGAAACAAAAGTTTTGTCGTCCCTTGATCTGTGAGGGTGGTTCTAGCCCAAGTCAGACTAGAGGAAACAAGTGGCAACTATGTGGAAGTGCATATGCATATAAGTGCATATCCTGGTGTCTTTCAAGAACTGGATGGATGAGATCCTCAGATCAATTGGTAACTACCACACAGGCTAGATGGGCCAAACTGAGTCCTCTCATTTGTAACCATTATGTTCTTATGACTATGAGCCGTGTGATCGGTATTTTCCCGTTTACAGTACGGTTCTGTTCCTTTAGTGAGATTGACTTAATTTTATTAATGGGTTGGTGAATGCCAAAAGTCATTTTGGTGTCAAGAAAAATGTTCACCCCATTCTTTTATAGTCCTGCACTGGTACTATAGTCCACTTTGTCAAATTAATTTGCTTGGATTAAAAAAAAAAAGATGTATTCCATAGTGAGGGCTTTTCTATTAAGGAAGCTTCTAATGGGGTTAGAAATTAGCATGAAATCTAACTTGGGTTTCAGCTATGAGTGTTAGTTTCAGTGACTGGCTGAACTGAACCAAAAGATCCAAACGGCACTATCAGTCTTTATTATGAGTGGTTTTGACCTGAGTGTGTACTGAGACAATTTTTAACCAGGTAGAGTTTTGCTCACTCTGTTTCTTGGAAGTGCCACGCCCGAAGGCGATAATACCACGCCCGAGCCAGAGTGCGGAAGCATCTGAGTGGTTAAAAAGCATCTGAGTGGTTCCTTTACGGGTTCTGTCATTCATTGGTTGTGGGCTCAGCTCAATTAAAAGCCAGCAGAACCAGTGGGGGACTGCAGGACCAGGACTGGGAAACATAGCTCTGAGGAAAACCAGGTCGCTGTTGTTCTGAGTGGTGTTAGTGGACCGGGAGGTGGTGCTCTTCCTTCTGTACCTGACTTTCCATACCAAGCCCCCGGCGCAGTGGCAGGGAAGTGCTGTAGGTGTTAAGCTGAGTACCTAACTGCTTGGTCATTGAAATTCCCACAATAGCACCTTTTTGAATGGTAAGGGCTCGTTTGACAAAGAAACAAAGAGTAAAAGTAGTAGTAGGGAATCCTAAGTTTGGTTGTAACCCCCTTTGTGACAGTATCAAGTCAAAAGAGTATTGGAAATGTATTCAAGCATCATAGTACTTGATCATCAAGGTCTAGAAGATGGGCCTGTATTTTTCTTTGCATTGCATTTTAAAATCTGGGTATCGGTCAATCATAGTGACTTAATGTGTGTGCCAAGGTGTGGTGTTAAAATACAGCAGAATGAGTAAAGGTAGGTGATATTTTATAACCTTATTTAATGACATTTTCACAATAGTTGTGCTTCCCAAGCCAAATAAAAAAACAGCTGAAATAATATTTAATGATTTTCATGTGCCTGTTTGGCTCCCATCCCAGTCTTATGTGCCTGAATCCATGAATCCATGAACATTACTTTGTGATGATGTGTTTTATGACCTTTTGAGTTTTTATTTTGCTTTATATCTAGTTTTTATTCACTTCTTGTATTGAGTGTATGCAACTGTTGGTCACCCTGGACAAAACAGTGTATGAAACAAACAATAAAGTCCACAGAAAAGACTCATACAGTGTTAAATTGAATTCATATGTTAATTAAAAAAATTACAGAATCATGAGGCAGTGAGTCTTTTAGGGTCTTTGTTAAAATGTGAAAAACATTCCGATTTGCTTGTGAATCAGCTCACACTGATGTTGCAAAAAATGTGATCAAGTCTCAAAACATCAACATGAAAATCACAAAAATATTAAAAAGTAACAACTTTTAAAAATAAAGCCTTTCAAATCAAATAACATCTTACATTTTAGCTAATTACAACACCAAGCAGCATCACTGTTTCTGTGGCAACAGCAGTTTCCACCAATCAGAGTGCACCTAGCAGAACACGCCAGACCTTGACCAATCGCCATCTCTTCAGCACAGGGTCGTAAGCCCTTTATATCAGTTCGACCTGAATAAGGCCTCATGGCCTGAGTGAGTCCAGGATATGCTGCCCTTTGCCCTAATGTGGCGTTGTGTTTTTTCTTCAGAAAGACCAAGGCAGCGATGTCAAGTCCAGTAGTGCCCGTTTGTCCCCACCGGCTAAACGCACTCGCAAGCACACGGACCCCGTGTCCAGCGACACTTCCCCTCCTCCGAGGGCCAAAGGTCAGAGAGTGCAGTGGAACATGCACAAGCAGCAGTCCAGGTAAGTGGGCAGCACTGCACTTCCTCTGCCTGTAGAGCTGCCCAACCTCATGCTTCCTTGAATACATCTGTAGCATCTAGAAAAACATACTGTAAGACGCTGTAAGTTTAAAATTAATTAAAAATGTCTGATTATAAGTGGCTGCACCCAAAATATTGGTTTGCATTAAAGGCTTGTAGATTGGGATTACTGTACAGGTTTTTATCTGTAGGTGATAATGTGGTAGGTGTGCCCAGATATGAGGTCTTGTATTGTTAAACGTTTTACAGCAGTCCCAAGTTTACTTAGCTAAGCAGACGTTTCCAGCTCTGGTTTATCATTTTGTCTTTGAATTGTCTGCCTTAGAATGTCTGTGTTTATCAGGCTTTTTCATTTTGAGTAAGATGACATTCATTGATTTGAATTTAGCAATGGATTTTTAGAATTAAACTTTTTTTATTTGGTGTACGGTATTGATTGTGGGGACTTGTTTGAAAAGCAAACCTTTTGAAATCTAGAGAGAATGTAAACTTTAAAGATGCTTTAAAAAATCTGCCTTTGGCATAGGCTTATTCACATTACGAAGAAGGAAGTGTCCTAATAATTATCAGTAGTTGAATAGGCTAGGTTATAAGCCTACTCGGCAACAGTGACAAGCATATTGTCGATAACACAGTTTATTTTTTCTGTGATTCAGTAGGAATGTACTTTCCTCTTAACTGGATGGTCCATATGATCTCCTGTTGTATACTTTTACTTTCTTTTTTCCTTGTCAAATCCTATGAAATGCAAGATGTTATGTTGCTGATGTTGCAAGAGTTGTTCCTGATGTATAGAAAGAAACAGAAGAGTATTTTGGGTGTGTTGTGATGATGAGGGGTAGTATTACTGTATGTGTAAGTGAATTCCACTCACTGTTTATTACTGATGTTGGGTTTACGCTCAGTAAAAGAATGTCTTTTATGTCAAAAGTGTGACATATTTGGTCAATGTAGACAGTTTGGTGGAATTTGTGTAATTGATTTCTTATTGCAGCATCAGCTTCTCTTGTGGTACTGACTGTCCTTTGTGTTGCAGGTTATCCAGTGGCTCTGGAACATCTCTGCAAAATGGACACAGCAGCTTGTGTAAGTGTCCTGTTCAGTACTGGTCATCCCTGCAGATCTGTTTAATTTCAGTGCTTTTCATTTGTGCTTCATCTCTACCAAAACGTTTTTAGATTCTTTAATATTGACTTTATTTCTTTGGAATAACCCCCCTGTGAATAAAAGTGATTTAGGAGAAATAACAGTGCAAAATTTATTTCTGTATCAGCAACTTATTCTGTATATAATCCCAACTGAAAACACGGTACAGATTATTATGTTGCTTGCTACAAAATATTAATAAATGTTGTTAATGTGAAGTTCAAACCCATGGGGAGTGAAATAATGTTCTTGGAAAGATTTATGAAAGAGGATGAAGTCAAGGGCAGGTGTTTTTTGAAACTGGCAGCGATGTTGTGCAGTGCTCATCAGTGGGGAAGACCTCAAAGCCTGAAACTGGGATTTGCTTTGTGGTCTTTACAGTATAGAGGACAATTATGGCTGAGCTCGAGATTTGAGATTTTTCATTGCATGTGCACGGTTCTGCTCTAATTGCAATGAATGAATTCATGTAATTGAATCTAATTCAATTTCACTGGTGGAGGAGCGAGCTAAAAGCAAGCCAGGCCATGGGAAGGTAAGCGAACTGACCTTGCTTCTGCTGTACAGCTGGGGCTGGTGGACCATGTAACGTGTTATGCTCCATTGCAGGCTTTTTTTAAATGAATCTTTTGATGCTTGTTTAATTACACATCCAATTGATCCTGGCAATACACTGATTACACTGATTTAATAACCTGAAGATTTGTTTGAATCTCCCCCGCCTCCTTTTATTCCCCAGACGGAAACGCGTAGCTTTTCTATTTTTCTGTGTAAGTTGCCCATTTCACCGTATGGCAACAGTGTCTTCTTGAAGTTGTATTCATTCTGATACAGGACTCTGTGATCTGAGCAGGGTCTTGCCGGTGTTTGGTGCCTCTGTGAAAGCTGTGTTGATCTGGCATAGTACCGTTTGAGGCAGAAGAGTTATGTTTGTTGGGTTCCAGCTCGTATGAACCGGGGAGAGGACAGTGGGGATGGAGACCACTCCCACATGAATGGCCATGTGGAGGTTAGGAGAAGCTGCCGGTCAAAGAACAACCGATTCGATCATCTCAATCAGAGCATGCTGTTCGACCAGCTCGTCAACAGGTACTGGCGCTGATCCCCGTGCTATGCTTAGAATTATCAAAGCACATGGTTACTGAGCACCTCTGTTTCTTCACTTTTTAATACGGCCCCTTCAAGGTTGCCATTTTTAATTATTCCTAAAAGAGCATTATAATGTGGGCTAGAAGTTAACCTAGGCAAGCTGTCTTGAAACATTATTCAAAATTACCAATTGGCATAGGGACAGTAAAGTCACAGGATAAGGAAGTGGAAGCAAAGAGTGTCATAAACTTATATAGAGATGTTTTCCACAAATCTGATAACTGAACATATGAACTGATAATTGAAAGCTGTATCTAATCAATAAGGTTTGAAAGTTCACTTCAGAAATGCAACAAAACTGAACAGTAACTTATACAGAGGGTGTGAGCTCACACAGAACTCAGCTATGTGGATTCTGAAACCTATGTATTGAGGAGAGATTTCTTTAGTGCTCTTGCACTCAGGCACTCATTCAAGAAACATTAGGAGCAGAACTCAAAGAAATGTTTTTTGGGGTCAGTTTTCACAGTATTTTGCAATCTTTCACTAACATGGGAACACCTGTTCTGTAATTCTCGTACATTCTTGTGCTTACACCACACAGTTCAGATGTGTTGAACAGCAAGGTAAAGTAGCTCCTCCTATTGGGGAAACTCTTGTCATGTCTAGGGTAAACACTGTTTGGTTGAACCCCCTCACTTGAAGTTTTTTCTCTTTTTCCATTGACCATGTCTTAGAAAGTCTGTTGGGAAAATAATTAGTTATTTAGCCTACATTTGAGGCTTAAATTTGGAGTTAGCTTCAGTTGAAATAAGAGATGTGCTATTTATGCAAGTATTTTGTAGAAGAAATTATAACTTTTTTTTTATATTGATTAAATGTATATGGTAACCTTTTGATGAAATGATCATAATGACCGATTATGACGTATTAAAATGACTGTTGCATAACCTCTGCCTTACCTCATTTGGGAGTGAAATCCTATGAGAGGACTTGGACAGAATCCCACAAGACAGCGTCGGCTAACCTGCTCCAAAGCAGATGTACAGCTTGTATTGTTTCCAATGGCAGCCTCACATGTGCACGCTACAAGCCCGTGACTTTCACAGTAAACGTCCTGTTGTTGACAAATATTAATCAGCCTGATGAATTTGTTTTTTGTCGACCGTTCAATAAAATGTCAGCACATTTTGTGGCCTTTATAAGATATCTTTGAATCTCAGTCTGGTTACTTCTTGCTTCAGGCATGACTGATTATGTTCCCTTTCACTGGAATAGGCAAAGAGGATGGGGAAGGTTTCTTTGTGGGTTTCTCCAGCGTCTTTCTGTTTTTCCAGCACGGCGGAAGCCGTCCTCCAGGAGATGGACAACATCAGTAACATCAGGCAGAGCCGAGAGGTGGAGAGGCTGCGGATGTGGACAGACACTGAGCTTGTGAGTCTCAGCTCTGTCCTCTCAGAATTCATTAACCGAAAGAATACAATGCATCCAAAATATATGCTAAAAATGGCAGTTTTTAAACCCTGGAGCTCTGGCTCAGTGAGTGATGTGGGAGTGCTCCTGTCTGCAGGAGAACATGGACATGTACTCTCGAGTGAAGAGGAGGAGGAAGTCCCTGCGGAGGAACACCTTCGGCATTCAGGCGCACCGTGAAGTCTTGAGCGAGGCTGAGGGGGAGGAGGAAGGCACGGAAGGTATTCTTTTTGTGACGGGCTGCAGTCTGAGCACTTGAATTAAAAAAAGCATTTGGTTAACGGATGTGCATCGTTATCCTTAAGATATTGTAACTTTCATTTTTTATTGATGTTTAATACTTCTTTAATGAAAGAAATATAACTGGTAACAAAAGCATTTTTGGTCCTCTTTATTCTACAGGATATCTGGTTTTATTTGCATGGTCAGTTATTCTCACAGTTCAGAGCTGTCCATCAATGCCAAGTGCAGCATTGATTCTCACTTGCAGAACAATTCCCCATTCCAGTTCCTTTCTAATATTCACAGGATTGCACTGGGCAGTTGGTCTGAAAGTGGCACTTAAATTTGAAAAACTGCTATTGATCCTGAGTTTGGCTATATGTGAGTCAATATCGTTAGGCAAAAGGAATTGTTCTGTTTGTCCTGTGTGTGAAGTTGTCTTTTGTAACTGTGTTACAGTGAAAAGGAACTGTAGTACAATAGGAGGAAAAGTCCTCTTGTAGGTCATTAGAGGGCGGCTAATAGGCATTAACATACCAGCTGATAGGTTGGATAAGCCATGTGCTTAATTCAAAACAAAAGTCAGCAATTAAATATTGGAAACCTAGTGTAATAGTGCATAATTTATTGCCCTGAATTGATTAATACTCAGAGTTTCTTTTACAAAGTTTTTTGCTGCTTCTTGGTTTCTTAAGCAGCATAAGAATCTAAACGTTTATTTTCGGATTCAAACTTTTTGTTGTGATTGATCTTGGGGATTGAAATCTGTATCCTGTTTAAGAAGGAAGAGAATGTCAATTTAATGAACGAGTCATTAAAACAACTGGTACATTTTGGGCGTGTGTGACATGCATAGCTCGTGTAGGAAAGAATTTGAATCCTGTCTCTCAAGAGACTCCCGGATTCATAAGAATATTTGCAAGCAAGAGGAAGACATGTGGTCCAGGTCACTTGGCAGTTATTAGCTAATTGATCAAGGGATCTTTTAGTTGGATCTGTTTTTTGAAGGACACCAGTGTATTGGTGTGCTTACACAGCACTAAAATCTGATTTGGCACAAAGCTGGTGTACCTTTGTGGGAGAATACAAGGTGGTTGAATTAAATTTGGGTGTAGCTGCATCTTGGGTTTTATTCTGGGCTGGAGAGCATTCTGTGTGGAGCCTGCATGTTCTTGTTTAATTCACATGGACTTTATCCTGTTGTTGCAATTTCATATGAAATACTACGATATAGGTTGATTGGTGCCTCAATATTGTGCTTGTGTAAGTGCATATGTGTGCCCTGCAATAGACTAGAGTCCCACCCGAGGTGTAGCCCTTGGTAAAGGGCATTTACCAAGTAAACCCTTAGTAAAAGGCGTTTTACTAATGAATGAATAGGGGAGGGGGTATGTATATGCATAAGCCCTTAGCAGCAACCTTACTTTTCAAAGGAATTTATTGAATTTAGTTTTTAATAAAATGCTGTATTTTAAACTTGTACAAATGTTTCCTGTTGGAGCCTTTTCTTATGTCTTTGTTTCCATGTTGTCGAAAGAACTAGTTAGTGTTACTGTAGGGTTTTTGCAGGACGTACATTCTCAGTGCCATATCTGACTGTACAGTACAAGTTGAGATCCATCAAAAGGCACATCTGAAGACAGAAGGGGTGATGGGTCTTATTTGGCACATTGGCCTTGAAACAGGAGTTTTGGAAAAAACATACCATGGACAAATACATCTTTAACAGGATGGTAGGCTACCATATATGTTAGTTGCTGCATTGCTCTGGTGGCCAATAAGTGCTTTTAGACATTTTGTTTTTCCTCTGGACACTGAAAATGAAAGTCCACATCTTTTTGCCAGAGATGTTGATGATTTTCTTGGGTGTGGGTGAACATCCGACAGTTCTGGTGCAGATTCAGGATGCTGCTGTTTCATTGGTAGAGTCTCAGGAGGAGGAGGAAGATGATGAGGATGACGAAGGAGATGAAGCGGAAGAAGCAGGAGAAGAGAATGACCGCCCCTACAATCTGAGGCAGCGCAAGACCGTACAGCGATACCAGGCGCCGCCCATAGGTATGGCACAAGCCGCAGTGGTTCTGTGGGTTTTTGGCTATATGAAATCACCCCTGGAGGTGTTCTTTAGTTATTGTCTTGTTGCTCAAAGGAAGATCCAATTGTTCACTTCAGATTGTTGTTAATGTTAAAAACAGCTTGTATTGACACAGAATAAAAGAATAAGAAGTAAACATGAAGTCCTTACTTCAAACTGCAAATTAGTTGTCAAAACACTTTTTTGTGGAGAGTAGGATTCTTCAGAAAGAGCATTAATTTTTGTATTACTAAGTATTTACTGCTCAGTTATTCACATGACATTTTTTCCACTTTTATCTAATCCACATTTTGGCTTAAAATTACTTGAGAGTGTGCTTTATAACTCTATAAAGTGTTTTAGGAAAATAAGCAAAGCTACAACTGAGAGTAGGTCATATGGCCCATCTATCTTGTTTGCCAGTGACTCATTTAGCTGAGGTTTTCTTCCAGCTGTTACCTGAAAGAAATAAGACAGTACAACTTTCAGCAACACAGCTGAGTAGCTCAGGCATTACTCCCACAACTCTTTTTTGGGGGGGGGGAACCTGCCTCCTCATCTTAGTTTTAAATGTTTTCCTGTTGTTTGCACAATTTTAATGTGAAATCCACAGCTGTTAATAAACACGATGTACTACTTTCACAAGTGGATTGAGGATTATGCTGCTTCTTCAACATTATTCTTCAACATTCTGCACAGTGTCCATATCCCAGTCAGCACCACATAGAGGCCCAGTCAACAGGGTTGCTTTTGGGTAACTCAAGGAGTATACTCTTACAGCACAATGCAGCCTTTTCAATAAATAATCTGCCATTTCAGGGGTCTTCGGGGGGGAAAAAAACCCATGGTGAACTTAGTAAAGAACAAATCGCTCACAAAACTGTGTATTTTAGATTTCAATAGTAGCCTTTGCAAAATAATTTAATGTACTTACCAAATGTATTACTGACTATTTTCCATCATGATGTCTTATTTTGTTTTCTGTCAAACTGCTTATAGAGCCAGCAAGGAAACAGAGGCAGAGCACGTTGTTTGACACTCACAGATCTCCAGCAAGACGAAGCCATATGAGGTAGAGGGTCTCTTCAGCTGCCTTGTCTTGAGCATGTCAGGAGAGAAATGGGTGGCGTGCTTGTCATGTATGTGCAGCACAGCACTCAGATGGGTAAAAGAAAATAAGAACTAGGTCTCAACATGTTCCGTGCCATCGTCACATATGTTAAATAATTGACTGGATTTATTTAATGTGCTGCAGTTGACTGTTTCTTTCCTGTATGTAGCAGGCAGAGTTATTATACATGCTGGATGTTTTTTTAAACATACTCGGGGGTGGGGGGGGGGTTATTCTGGACAAAACGAAACAGCTACCATCAATGTTTTCCTTAAAAATCACCATTAACATACTGCACTGTCAAAAGATCTGATTACAACTCTTAACTCCGGTGCAGTTTTTGAAAATGTATGTTGTTAATATAACAGGAGGGAATTAGCCAGAATGGATTTAACCATAATGCAAATATTGCCTCTTATATAATTATTTTTTTCACTTACCACATCTGTATCAGTGTGCTTCGCTTTGTTGTGTTGAATGGTTGTGAGTTTGTTTTATTTCTGGTACAGATGGGTAATGGATTTTAGTTTTTCCACGAGCCTTCACAGAAAACGCATAGCCGGAACGCTTTGTTCTGCGATCCTTTTCAAAGTATCAGCTGGGTAGATGGCTTTTCCTGGATATCACCCGTCGGATGCAGCAGCGGTAGTTTCATGTGACGTTGCGCTTCTTCCGGTGACGTGCGGCGCTCAGCGTGTCGTTTTGTTTTGGCTAGGGTGAAGAAGCATGCCATTCATAGCAGTGACACAACGTCCTCGTCTGACGAGGAGCGGTTCGAGCGACGGAAGAACAAAAGCATGACGAGAGCTCGCAACAGGTACCGCTGAAAAAACTCCGCAGTCCGGAGGCCATTCAGACAGGAAAGGAGTCTGAATGAACGAGCTCCTGAGAGATCACTGCACAGCACTTTTATGTACTTAAACTCTGTAAAAGTTTTTAAGAATTATTTGAGAGCCATAAAAAAGAAAACTCAATGCCGGGAGCGATATGAAGTGCTTCATGATATGTATCTTTCTCACATGTTCTCCTGAATTGTTTATTGTCTTGAAACTGTTTTACGAACTATACGTTTCATTTGGTTTTTAGCTCAGGCTAATTGAGAAGTGTGTTCTCCAAATGTCAGAGAAATAAAAACCTGTATTTCCTTCTGTTGTGTCTTTTGAGACGGGTGTCGGAGAGCCTTGTGGGAGTTTTGGCGCCTGTGGAGGTGGTGATTGGTGCAGGTGATTGATACTGTCACTTGTATTCAACAGGTGTTTGCCCATGAACTTGCGTCACGAAGACCTAGCCAGTGGGATTTTGCGCGATCGTGTAAAAGTTGGTGCTAGTTTAGCAGATGTGGACCCCATGAACTTGGACACCTCTGTAAGTCTGGATTCCTGGTACTGCAATCTTATTATCACGATACACAATAATTCAGTGTGCCGTCTCCATTATAATGATGTGAAGTATTCATGTGATACAGCTTAAGTCCCAGATAGCATGTCTGTGAATGGCAAGTTTCCTCCCTATGCTGTAAAACACTGACTATGACAATATGAAACTTTAATTTTTAGGTTCGGTTTGACAGTGTTGGAGGCCTCAGTCATCATATTCAGGCATTGAAGGAGATGGTGGTTTTCCCTCTGTTGTATCCTGAGGTCTTTGAAAAGTTTAAAATTCAACCCCCAAGGTGAGTTGAATGTTGAAAACCTTTATTAAACGGATGCCCATTCATCATTGCTGAGTGGAGGGGGCCTAAGACAGTTTTGTTTTTTTTTTCTAACGTGTTTTGTCTGTCTTCTCCAGAGGCTGTCTGTTCTACGGTCCTCCTGGCACAGGGAAGACCCTGGTGGCTCGAGCCCTCGCCAACGAATGCAGCCAGGGTGACCGCAAGGTGTCCTTCTTCATGAGGAAAGGGGCTGACTGTCTCAGCAAATGGGTTGGGGAGTCTGAACGGCAGCTCAGGCTTCTCTTCGATCAGGTAAGAGCGCCCACAGCTGCCTTGGTATAGTCTGCCAGCACACAGCCCCCTACAAAAATGTAATTCACAGTAAAGCTGTGAATGATTCTGCAATGCAGTGGTCAACATTGCTGCCTTGCAGCGCTGTGGACCTAAGTATAATTCCAGGGGTGCTATCTGCGTACAGTTTATGTGCTCTCCTCGTGTTCTCATCGGTTTCCTCCCACAGTCCAAAGACGTGCTGGTAGTATTAATCATCTTATGGGAGTATTGTCCCTGGTTGGGAGTGTTTGTGTTTGTGTCTGCCCTGGTATGGACTCGGCAGTGTGTTTTTTGTGTCTTGCGCCTGTTGTTTGCCAGGAACCAGCTACCCTGCGGTCCTGTATTTGTTAGAAAATGGGTGGGAAAGATACTCTTTGGGAGGGGGACCTACGGAGTGACTGGGGTGATAAATAAAGATGTTGGGGTACAGTAGGTTGATCATGGGAGCAAGCCTGGCTCATGTCACTCACCTTATGTCTTTTCACTTTATAACTTACACTCTTGATTTTTTAGTAATCAAAGAAAAGTACATTTTCTATTTTTTTTCCCCACCTACGGCTGTTATCCTGTTGATGTCAGAGGGACGAAAAGCCCTGCAGAGAGATGGGCCTCTTTTCCAAAAATTAGCGAAAACACCCGTGCCTATGGGCTGTGTGAGGACAGCCTCGGCTCCTGGCGACGCGGCGCAGCTCCGCGGGCACCAGGCCAGGCACAGGAGCTGCTGCCCCTGCTGCTCAGCAGGCCAGGAGCCCCCCAACTCGTTCTGCTTCATCCCGCTCCTACCTGATCGGCCAGGGGGATGGAGCCCCGGTAAAGGCGAGACGGTTAGAAGTTAAATGATGGGAGTCTGGAACAGGCTGCCTGGCCATGTGGTTGAAGCTGATACAGCTGGACGAGATCCTTGGATCAATAAACTACCCACTACCACATGGTCTGGATGGGCTGAACTATTATTTGTAACCGTTCTTATGGTGCTGTCCTGCTGCTGACTCAACTGCGTGCTTTCATTATGCTAACCCTGAAAAACAACAGCTGTTTTTCTTTTTCTAAGTTTAGTATTTATACCTGTTAAGTCCTGCTTGTGCCGGCAAACAAATTTTAATTGCTGGTGTTTGACCAGTGGCTGGTCCTCCTCAGGTTATCCTGCAGACTGGTCTCTAAACAGATGACATTTTTTGGTGTTTCGAATTGCAGACCACCAGTGTGTGAGGAAATGTTAGTTTTCTTTAATGCACAATAAAAAATACAAACAGCTTACGGAATTGCACAGTTGGCATTTTTGCTTCACAGCACTGGGGCCCTGGATTCTGCAGATTTCAATGAGGGATAAGATCAGAAATGAAGAAATCCGTAGACGATGTAGGGTGGTGGATGTGGTTGAGAAGATGCGAGAGGCGAGGTTACGGTGGTATGGACATATCATGAGGAGGGACGTTGAGGAAGTAACAAAGAGGGTAATGGAATTTGAGGTGGAAGGTAACAGAGGAAGAGGCAGGCCTAGAAAGAGATGGATAGATAGTGTGAGAAAAGATATGGAGGTATGTGAAGTGAGTGAGGAAGATGTGCTTGACAGAGACAAATGGAGAAGAGCAACCAAAGCAGCTGACCCCAGGACAGTCTGGGACTAAGGCTGTGAAAAAGAAGAAGAAGAAGCATTGAGGCCCTGGGGATTGATCCGTGTCTGGGGTACTATGGATCTTCTCTGAACTCCCACCATTCTCTGGGGAATTGTAAATTGGCAAACTGAAGATTACAGTGGTCAAACACAAACATTAAATTAAACAGTCAATTAAAAACAACAGTTGGAAATACAACAACAGTCCTAGAATGTTATACAGAGCAAACATACAGCAACAAACAAAACGTCTGAGTTTCATAATTTGTTCTACAAACCGTAATAGTCACCAACAATCCTCTCTAGACTATTGCTGCAGCAGTTTATGGCTTATCCGTATTTCTTGTTGTTTGGCTGTAAATCTGAATGACTTTAGCATGGACCTCAGGTTATAGAGAGAAACACGGGTTTCTTTCCATTCTGGAAAAAAATACCTTACAAACAATACAAATTTTAAGATGTGTACGTTGCTGCCATTTTTCTCACAAGGAGTAGTGTTAATTTAATTCATATTTCACACACCCTTTGTGTGTTTGTTTTTTCACCAGATTTAGAAGAAAACATTGTTTGATTCCAGTTCTATTTAATAGGGCCGTTTTCCCTGCATTAAAATAAGTACGTGGGATACTAAGAAGTATCAATTTGCAAGTGTGGTTGTATTCACTAGTGTATCTGCCTAGCAATTTGTTCCGGTCTCATGGGTTGTTTTTAGTCGTTGAACCCCCAGAAAGAATTTGGCCTGCAAAAGTTGGCCTCGTTTAAACCCCGGGCGAAATCAGGAACACTTCATCTCAAGGCTTTACCTTGAAGACAGCGATGAAAGATAAGTGACATTTAACAGTTTTACTTTCTTGTCAGGCATACTTGATGAGGCCGTCCATCATCTTCTTTGATGAAATTGATGGGTTGGCTCCTGTTCGCTCCAGCAGACAAGATCAGATTCACAGGTATGTTGCTGACTTGGCCCTGTAGAGCCGTGTTCAACTTTGCTTTGCCTTAACTGATTTATTTATCTGTGTCTTCTGGCCTCCTGTGACCTGAAGTGGTCTGGGTTTGGTTAGCGTAGATAGAGCTCTCAGTCTTTTTGCTCCTAAATGTGGGACTTCTGTGGAAAATCTTTAAGAGGGTCACTAATAGCTAGTGTCTGCTAGCTATTTATTGCCATGTTAGCACAATTTGTTTAAAAATATGTACTCCAGTCTTGTGATAATTGTACTACAATCTGCATTGTTACTTTTCAAATTGCTTTTAAATTGTACTGTAATTGTTAAATACACTGTATAAATAGCACTTTCATACAACAATTTCATGTCAGTGAAATTGTCCTGCCCTCATCAGGCTCATCAAAGCTAGATCATGTGTGTTTGAACATCATTTACAGTGTATGTTTCCCTTGAAAGACATACACTCCTTCAGTTTTCTAGAGTGCTGTGAATTAGATTCTATGACAGTTAAAATTCATGTTTAGATTGTGTATTAAAACATTTATTTACACATAAAGGCCTTGAGCTAAATTCTAAAATCTCTGAGCTGGGAGTATGCAAGTTCTAATGCTTCTGTCAGTTGCTTTTCAAATTTTTGTGAAGTCCAGAACTGAAGCAAAAAAACATACTTAACCTAGGCTATTTAGAGAATGCCAAATATTTACACAGCTCTCTTTTAGTGTCACATGGGCAGTTTTAACTCAGAAATGAATTACAATTACAGCCACAATTCAGCTAAGACGTGACTTAGAAAAAGTGCCAAAGGTCTTATAGGTCCTGATCTGATCAGAACTGTTATCCAGTGAATGTGACAGATGAAAACTTTTAATTCCTCTTTCTGATTGTTCTTTTCATTGACCATCGGAAATTGCATATCCATTTGAATTAACACTAGTATGTCCTGCAAAATGTCCAGTATAGATGAATAAAGCCTAACTTGTTTTACTTAAAGTAGGAGTTATTATGGATATTACTTGTAAGACCCTTGAGCCTCTGTATGAGGAGTGAGGACTGTGCCTGCTTTCCTTTGAAACATGTTGGCAATACTTCTTTCAGTCCAGCAGTGCCCATAGAATAGCTGGCACTGATTGGTAGACCTCAGAGGCCCGCACTAACAACATCTAGAGCTGTGTTAGTACGCACTCAGAAAATCCCAGGGGCTGCTGTTGTATAGTAAGCCAAGGGTGACCAGCTCATTCTGGCAATTCTGCAACACTGCTTGGGGCAATCCCAGTTCCTGTCAGCTAATGACAGAGCTTACTCATATGGTATGGCTAGAACCTGTGATATCTGGCTTTAGCTTAAACATGGGGCCTTTCCTGCTGTGCATATTGTCTGGACGTTTCCTGTCCATGCATAATATACAGATGTGTAAAACGATGTTTCAGCTTTCCTTTGCGTTTGACGTAGTCCATTGTATGAATAGGATTGCATGGTTATTCTAAATATACATGCTTGTGTATCTGCCCTTGAATCTCCTCATGTTGAATGTCCCCCAATATGGTCAAAACAGCAGTCTTCTGATTACACGTTGTGTAATGAAGCACTTAGTAGATATGAATTTGAAGCGGCTCTTTGGCTTCCATGTTTATTAACCCAGGAAGCAAATGTAGCCCTTTCTGAGCACAGCCTCCTTCCTGTTGCAGCTCCATCGTCTCCACGCTGCTGGCTCTGATGGATGGACTGGACAACAGGGGAGAAATAGCTGTCATTGGTGCTACAAACAGACTTGATTCTATTGACCCTGCACTCAGGAGACCTGGCCGCTTCGACAGGGAGTTTCTTTTCAACTTGCCTGATAAAAAGGTAGGCCCCTTCCTTTCATCCTCTCTGACAAAAGAGGAGGACCCGCCAGTCACAGCTCGAGTGAAAGAGCATCAGCCCCTGGTTAGGAGGCACCTGCTGTGGGATTTTCTTTTAAAATATGTTTTTCTTTTAAAATAATAGCTGAAGAGGTGATGTGTTTACTTATGGGTTGCAAATTTAATGGTTAATGACTTATATTTTTATTATTGTTATTAATAATAATAAAATGATACCTTACACTTATAGCACTTTTCTGGAGACTCCACTCGTAGCCCTTTACAGGTAATTGGGACTCCCCTCCACCACCACCAATGTGATATCCCCACCTGCATGATGCAATGGCAGCCATAGTGTGCCAGAACGCTCACAACGCATCAGCTATCAGTGTGGAGGAGAACAGAGTGACAAAGCCAGTTCATATATGGGGATTATTAGGAGGCCATGATTGGTAAAGACCAATGGGAAATTTGACCAGGGCATTGGGGTAACACCCCTACTCTTTTTGAGAAACGCCCTGGGATTTTTAATGACCACAAAGAGTCAGGACCTCAGTTTTATGTCTCAACCGAAGGACGGTGCCCGTTTACAGTACAGTGTCCCCGTCACTATGCTGGGGCATTAGGATCCACACAGACCACAGGTTGAATGCCCCCTACTGGCTCCACTTACACCTCTTCCAGCAGCAACATTAGCTTTCCCAGGAGGTCTCCTATCCAGGTACTGTCTAGACTCTCACCTGCTGAGCCTCAGTGGATTGCCAGTTGTGAGTTGCAGGCTGATATGCCTGCTGGCAAACAATTTTTTGTTTACTGTTGAGCTTATATACACTGTCATGTTATCTGATAAAAAAGTTCCCTAATATACTGGATTTGCTACAAGACGCTTATCCTGTTTTCCTATTTCCATTGGTCGCAAGGACCTGGAGTGTGGAAAGTTTGAAGAAAATCATATTATGTTGATTAAAAATGAAATTGTTTAGTAGTGCTGAAATACTCTAATCTGAGTAGAGGCATTTTTGGCTTTTTAAAAAGCCCCAGCTTCTCTGACCTGATCTACTTCTCTCCAGAAGCTGAATGAGAAGCTTTTGAAAACCTTAGGCTAAATTCACGTGTACAAGTTAGTGTCGTGAGTTCCTTTTGCTGTGCTTATCACCACGGACAGCGCTTACCTTGCGTTCAAATCTGTGACGTGAAATCCCCTCTTGAGGGAGTCTTCGGACTGCTTTGTGCAACCTTTCAACTACAGTGTGAAAAGGTGAGGTTTTGCAGAGGCACTACAGGAGGCAGATGTTTGGGGTGGGCTTGGAACATAGATGGAGCTGCTTAAGCTCTTAAAATTAAGCACTTAGCAGAAATGGAACAACCTGGAACTACAGACACTCCCTGATTTATGCAGGGGTTTCTCTCTGCAAAACTTTACATTAGCCCAGGCTCACGGTATTAAAACAGTACTGTAGTAATACACAGCAAGATTTTTCATGTCACTAGTACGTTTTTCAGCCATGACTAATAAAGTTGGATTTACACAAGTCGGGCTGTTTACAGCATACAGTCACAGAATCCACTGCTCAATTCAGCATCATTAATCTAAGCATAACATGACACCTGAACACACAATTTGAAATTCTTTTTTTTTGCTTTAACTTACGAATTCCAATTAGTTTTCTGTTTACCCATTCAAACTGGAATTTAGTTTTTGTAATATTGTCTCCCCTGACAGGCCCTGTATCTTTTGATGCACTGTAAGCACTGCAGGAGGTGGAACAGGAGGCATAGTGCCAGTTCATGGAGTAGTCTCCCTCATAGATGTTGTCTGCAGGTGCCTAGGAAGTTGGGTTACCATTTTATTTTGCTGGAAGCTGGAAGAGCCCCAACCAACTAATTATAAGAACATAAGAAATATTTCAAATGAGAGGAGGTCTTTTTGCCCATCGAGCCTGTTTGGCACTCAGTAGTATATTGTAGGGTAGTAGGATATTGACTTGTGGCTGGGTTGCTTGTTCCAAACTCCCACAATCCTTTGGGTAAAGAAGTGCCTCCTGCTCTCGGTTTTTAATATTCCACTTGTGCCCTTCCCCTGTGGGCTGTGAGCTAGTTGTGTGCTGTGGCTTGGGGTCGTGATCGGCTCTGGACACCTGACCCAGGCTTGAATTCGGGATGTTGGGATTGTAACGTGAGTGCCAGTACTGGTTGAGCCCCTCAGGAAACAACAGTTTCTGATTAGGTGCAGTGTGTCATCCCACCCCGACAGAGTCTTTCTTCCAAATAGGTTCTGGGATTCCCCAGCTCTTACCATGGATACACGCCTTTCTAATTGTTGTTGATATGACGGCAAAGAGGTTTAAAAGAAGGAAAAATAAAATGATTGTTGGGTCTCCATTCTTAACTGTATTTTCAACCCAGTGATTTCAAGTGACCTTGCATATTGGGACTTATTATTTTGAGGCAGTGGATATGTGGTTTGTGAGCTGTTGAGATCACCAACCTCTTTTGTATAATTATCTGAAGTGCTTTGCTGTAGACATTTTAAGTTCTTGCTTATTCCTGGTGTCTGACTTCAGTTTTTCTTTTTGTAAAATGTGTGCTCAGTTGGATTTAGATCTACATTTTGACCTCGCCAGACTGATTTTCTAATTTGACCAAATACATGCATGGAGTTACTTTAAAATACATATGGTTCTTATCATTCATATAAATCTCACCATCGCAGATACAAATTTGCTTGACTGCAAGTAAATCAAATTGTAGGAAGTTTTTGACTTTACTATCCATATATTGTCTGAGGACACTATTTTGTGTGCAAGAAATAATGTAACTGAGTAAAGGTGATCTCTTAACAGTTGAAATAACTTGCAATTTTTGTCCTCCCCCAGGCTCGAAAGCACATTTTAAAGATTCACACCAGAGACTGGAATCCCAAGTTAAATGACTCTTTTGTGGAAGAACTGGCTGAGAAATGTGTCGGTAAGGATTTAGAGGAACATGGTGACAGCAAACTCAGTGAACCTGAATTTAACAATGCTGCCACGAAACAACCTTTTCTCTCTTAGTTAGGGTTCTTGTTCCTTACTGTGACAGGCTGTTCTGATGTTGGCAGTTAATACACGGAAAACCAAATTATCAACCTGAATAATAAATCAAGAGGAAAATTCATACATGAGCAGAGCATTGAACACGCTGCTAAATTCAATGCTTTCTTGTACATGTATTACTTTTTGACCCTTAATACTACTAAATCTTAATTTGTCTTGTATTGTGAATATGGGATGTGTTAGTCTACTTTCTAAAATTTAGATAACATTCATGCTACAAGAACCTTTCAAGATTCTCCTCTTTCATTAGATTATCTGTAAAATGTTGTGAAGCGCTTTGCTCTAATTATGTCTTTCATGTGTTTTTTAGCATTTATTTACCCTTCTGATCAGAAAAGTATTCCGGCATCACTGCCCCCTGCTGGCTGGAACATTGCCTTTTTTTACCACTAAGTGGCCATTGTTTTGTAATGTCCTTTCCAGGCTACTGCGGTGCCGACATCAAAGCACTTTGCACTGAGACTGCCTTAGTGGCCTTGCGCCGGCGATACCCTCAGATCTACGCCAGCAGCCAGAAGTTCAAGCTGGACGTGTCGTCCATCGTTCTCAGCCCCCAGGACTTTTACTATGCCATGAGGAACATTGTGCCTGCCTCTCAGCGAAGCCTGATGTCGCCCGGCCATGCGCTGTCCGCCGTCATCAGGCCGCTGCTGGAGAACACCTTCGCTGAAGTCCTGGCTGGCCTGCACAGGGTCTTTCCCCATGCAGAGCTCTCGCAGTGCGACAAGAGAGAGGGTGAGTGCTCCTCAGCTTCGTGTGGAGAGTGGCGGACAAGCTCCCTGCGGTGGCTGTAAGCAGCCAGCCAGCACTTGTAACGTGCCCATCTGCTGTGGCCTGTGTTCGTAGGTTTCCTGCATGTGATCACTGTAACAAAAGAGATTGCTGTGTCAAACAGCAGGGCAGCTGTCTTTTAGATGTTTTTTTCCTTCCTTATGTCTAGCATGAGATATTTTATTGAGGTATGCCCATTGCGAGTTAAGTGTTGAGCAACAGTATTTCTATAGGCGTATCACTTATGTGGGTCCATGTTAGCCTATAACACATTTTCTTTCATAGATCTTGTTAGTGAACTGTTGGACGATGACTTAGACAGCGATGATGACAACGATGGTGCTCCATCTATTTTTGATAACCCCTCGCATTCAGGATCTCCAAAGAAACAGCCATCGGCAAATAAACCTTTCCTTCATTTTACAATGTGAGTATGTCTCCTGCCACAGTTGTCTGGTTCCTTGGTCTTGCTGTGCTGTTTGCTGATACAGTAGGTCTCTAGGAGTACTGTCACAAGATGAGGCCATTTCTTTTCATCTAGTACATTTGAGTCCAAAGATCTCATCGAGTTGTTTGTATCTGATGGAGCATGTCTGGGTAGTTTGTTCTGTTCTCCCACAGTCATTTGGGTAAAATAGTGTCTCCGTTTTTCAGTTTTAAATGCACTGGAACCTCTGGTTTGTCTTTCACTGAAGAATATACTGGGCAGATTTTCTTAGTGCCTTTGAGGATTTTGATATGCATACTTTTTCCAGCACAGTGAGTGAATGTTTAAACAAAGTATTCAATGTAAACATGAAAAAGTACAATTGTTTGTATGTCATTTGTTTAACAAAATTATGTATATCTACTATTTTGAAGATCAGATCCCATTTTAGGAGCAAGTGCTGCAGGAATACAGATACTTCCAAAGGGTTCACAAATTTTGTCTTACCACTGTACTTGTACATTGCACTATTTTAATTTTACATCCCTTGAATTTAGTTCTATGCTTTTACCTATCCTAACATTTTTTAACCTTTTTATTGCTTAACATTGTCTAGAGAAAGTTTATGATATAAGAACATACGACTTTCAGATTATTTATTACTGAATGTTTGAGCCCTTCTGTAGTGCTTTCTGCTGCATTTTGCACCTGGAAAGACAGAATGCACATTTTAGGTATGTGAGGTTTGAGTGTTGAGCAAATTTGAGAGCACTGAGAAGATTTTATTAAGCCTCTTTTTAAAAAAACAAAATCACGATATGGGTTGTTTGGTATGGATCTCTAAAGTATTTTTACAGACTAAGAATGTGAGTGATAAGGCATCCGAGCAGCTCAAAGGGTAAAGGGGACATCCATCAATTTTCTAATCTGCTCATCCAGTACAGAGTTACAGAGTGAGCTGGAACCTAATCTGGCAAGCAGTGGGCACAAGACGGGATATACCCCGGACAGGATGCCAGTCCATCGCAGGGCACCTACAGCCTCAAACCTGCACACACTCACACCAGGGCCGATTATTTAGGTGCCAGTTAACCTACCAGTATGTCTTTGGACCTTAGGAAAACACCGGAGAAGTGCTGAATAAAATGTGGGCCCTGTAGTCCAGAGGTGACTGGTCTGAATATTGATTATTGGTTATTAGTGACCTCGCTAGTGCAGGAGCGAGCTCGCTGACTTGGCAGGCACTTCTGGTATTTCATGTCATTCCTGGGGAATCTGGGGAAGTCCTTCCTGCGTCGGGCTATCTTCGTTCATTGCTCTGTGCTGCGTGAGAAGGGAAGAAAGGGATGGACAAGCAGGGTCCATGTTGCCCACAGGTCACCAGTGCTAGCGCAAGGGCGCTGTGGCGACCCAAGCTGATTTAAAGTTGGAGCTTCTAGGGGAAAGGTGAAAAAACTAAATGTTAAAAAAAATGTAATGTACACTACACACATTATATGGCCTGATTGCCTAAGCTATAAACTAGTTGATATTGAAAAGAGCTTCAGGGAAGAGTATTTCTAGAGGAAAGGAAGAGATGAGAAGTATTTTCTGCAATGGGAGTGTTCCAGGAAAAGCCCTCTCTTGATTTCTTTGTGTTTGTTAATGACAGCAGCACTCAAGACGTTGACAACGCAAGTGTTTTCTGTGTGGACATCAGACTAGGACAGGAAACATAACCTTAATATATTGTAAATGCTTGAATATTCTGAGCAGTAACTTGTAATTGGTCTTAACAAATTACCCTTGTACAGTAGGACACAAGTTCCTGCTGAGTAAACAAATTGCCATCACCAATCTGCTCTCATGGTACAATTACATATAGAGCAGTATATACATACTTTCAGCTGTGTGACAGATGGAACAGTTTCAGGTTTTGTCTTAAACTGCGTGAGACACATCTGTTGGGTGGACCACCTGCACTGTATTCTCGCAGAAAAACCTGGAGAGGAGTGTGAGGCCAGCAGCAGGTTTACTTTACACGTGGACGCAGCCTCTGTTATAGCCATTACTTCCCTGTTAGGTCATCATACTGCACATAGGCTCATTGTATTCCCAACTAATATTTACAGTGCCTATAGAAAGCCTACTTTACAAAGTAATGCACTTTGTGATCTAACAACCTGAAATCGAGATCACAATATATATATTTTTTATTTACATTTTGTGTTAATAAATCACAGCCTTCAAGTGAAAAAAACATGCTCAGATATGAAAAGGAACGGCAAAAAATAACTAGGAAAAGGTGTTGATGGAAATGCCTGTTGCTTGAATTACTGCCATAATTCAAGCAACGTTGGACAAAGCAAAGTAGGACATTCAGATGTGGCCATGTTTGCCCATTTCTCCCTATAGAACTTTTCATGCTTCCTGTGTCCCAGGAAAACAGGCTGTTCTCTTCAAGCCTGTATCGATCTGTGTATTCCGCAGTCTTGAGAACACGTTTGGTGCGCTCCAAGGTATCGCTGCCTCAATGCACACGCTGTGGTGGCTCCACACCATGATTAGGCATGTGCTGATCTTGGGACGGTAGGAAGAGAGAGTTTCTCAGAGAGGTTCTCTGTTTTTCTCCCTCCCCTCCTGCAGGTCTGCTTATCACCAGCCAACCTCTTACCGCCCACGGCTTCTGCTTGCCGGCGACAGGGGCTCAGGTCAGAGCACACACCTGGCTCCAGCCGCCCTGCACAGCCTGGAGAAGTTCTCCGTGCACAGACTAGACCTGCCCACACTGTATTCCGTCAGTGCCAAAACCCCCGAAGAGTCCTGCGCTCAGGTAAAAGCCGGGAGGCAGTGGGATGAGGACAGACGTGTGATGCTGAATCGAGCCAGTTCATGTACAGAGCCTGAGTGTTCAGTAGTGATGATACTCGGGCTAGGTTATGTTAAGGATAAGCGTAAACACTACGGTGCAGCAGTTTTTGTTTAGTACGCTGATCATAAGGAAATATTGAATATTTTGACTGCCACCTAATCTGAAATGATACCAACTACTTTAACAAATATTTTGAAATTGTTCATGTAGGACTTTGTATGACATTTTCCTGAATGTGCTGTAAAGCTTAGTGTGAATAGTTGCCAAAGAAGTATTTAATAAGCAATACATTTTAATAAGCTAATCAAATACCAGTTTTTTCTTAAATCTTTATTTTTGTAGCCCTGGCTTTTTTTCCCCATTAATGTGACCTCCGGACAAGGAAGTCTTTTTATTTCTGAGCTATATGATAATGCTTCTGGATTAAGAAGCAGAGTTTAAATTCTTTAATTTGTAAGTAACAGCCCAGGATCGTGATCATCTGGTTTTCTGTGATCGAACAACCCCACCTAGTGACTATAGTTGGTACAGGCTGTTGTTAATGTGAAAATATACAGATCTGTAAATGAGGAAGCAACACAGGCTTCTGGCTGTATACACAGTCTCCATAAGGTGGTGTTTCACCAGGTATACAGAAACCAATTTTGTTCTACATGTGAAGGATAGGATGTAAAAACTAGGAACCTCCACTTGACTCTTTGTACTGAAGAGAGAGAAGGAAACTTAGTAATGTGCATACAGATCATGCTGCCAAGTATTTTCTGGTATGTGGATAACTTATAATTAGTTCTTCAGATTTCAAGCAAAACGTTTTTTTTCCTTATGTAAAATTTGTTTTTGTTTTTCTTTTGTTTCAAAATTTTACTTTTTAGGTTGTTTTCGTTGTTTTTTTTCAGCCTCTTTTCAATGCATTTTTAAAATGTAGTGAGTAGTCCCTCACAGTTGGCCATCAGTAACAGACCAGTAACAACATTGAGTAGAAAAGTAAAATGTTTACCGTTAACTGGAAGTATACGAAGTGCCAAAACAGAGAACTTGTTGGTTTAGATAAAATAATTGAGAATTATCTTGAGTATGAACAGTGCCAACCTCGCACTTTATTGACTTAATGTCTTCCACCTGAGATGCAGCACCTTATTTATAAAACGTTTCTAAAAAACACTTGCACACACCCAGTTGATACAGCACTTCAGTCCATGTTAAAACGTTGAAATGTTTTAACAGCAGTTGTGTTCTGGAATATAGTAGTTGTCTTCCCCAGTTTTAATGTGGTCTGTGGTGAGCAGGATTTCATCTAAAGGAAATACGTTTTTATTGTGATATTTATGATCAAAATTAAAATGGGTTGAGTGAGCAGGGGATTTTGGAGGGAACGTTGGAAACTGGTTATTCCCACTTTTGTGTAAAAGTCACGGGTGTGAGGCAGGTGTGATGAAGTAATGAGATGCTGCCCCTATTACTCGGTGATTATACCAGAAGTAGAACGCCTCAGCATAGGGGGAGAGGGGAGTGAAACAGGTAATGACAGTGGGGTTAGTGGTGCTCACGCCCTTAGGAAGAACTCCTGAATATCCCTGCGTTTGTTCAAGGGAAGGGAGGTGGGGACAGATGTGTTTTAATTCCCTGAAGCCAAGCCTAGCCGGTTTATTGGGGTTAAAGGTAAATTCAGTGTAGTACACAATATCTGTTGTCAACCCCAGTAATAAAGCAGCAAATTTGCAGAATACTTGGCCTCTTAGACAAATTCAGCATTTTTTGTGGAGACTGCATTGTGTACATTTGCCACATTTGATGTGTTTGCTGTAACTGTGAAATGTACTCGTTTTATTCTGCTCTCCTGAAAATGTGACAACGAAAATAACTTGCACAATTTCAGAAATTAACTCTCTTTGGATATTTGAACATCTGAATTACAATTAACTCTTAATGGTAGAGAATTCCCAGTGATATCGCTCATCATGTAGTTACATGTTTTTTTAATCAGACTGCAGTTTGGAGGTGCAGAAATGTTAGAATTTATGCAATTTATTGCATTCCCTTAAGTATCGCTCCTAAGCTTTTTTTGTGATTTTTCCAGAGCTGTTATTTCATTAATTTATTTGCAAATGTAATTAATTTACGTAGGCGACATTGGTAATCTAGAGTACTGATGTTTAATTAAAAACTGTTGCTGTAGGCTTGCTGCAAATATTACTAATTTTACACTTATGTTCTCACCTTTGGAGTTTTTCATAAACATTTATTTGACTTGACTAGATTTAACACTCTTGAAAGTCTTAACATTCACTTAATTGAAAAAAATCCATTATTCCGTTTCTCCATGAGTTTTTCAGATTTCAAAGTGCCATATTGGCATAATGCTTCTCCTTAAGGCACCTTTCACTATCTTGAATAGATTGAAAGTTTAATCTTCCAGAAGTGCTGATACCATTTGAAGCAGTGTTAAAAAACATGCTTGCAAGTAGTACTCATGCTGAAAAGAGAAGAAATAAAACAATGTTTCGGCAGTGGAGCCTTCTGCGTAGCCAAAACGTTGTTTTCTTTTTTCTCTTTTCAGCATGGAATAAATCTTTACTTGTTCCTTTGCAGCCTATGCATGTTAACGCAGCTACCCACCTGCACTACTCTTTTTCTCATGACTAATGCAATTTGATACATGTTTAAAGGGCAATATTTCACCTTTACCACCCTGGAAAACAAAATCACTGAGGATTCCGAGTAATCAGACAAACCCGCATTTCAGTCATAAACCTCAAGGTGTCTGTCTAGTTTTGGAGAAACTTGCTACAATCAACATATTAACTCTTGGTGCCCTATGAAAAAATTATAGACGATTATTGACGTTCTTCAGCAGATATATGGGGAGATAATGCTTAAATTGAGACTCGCTGTTTTAGGGAAAATGCATGAGCTAACAAAAGAGAACCATTTTATTTGTCAGATCTTGTACAGCAACTCCAGCCTGCATACTGACAGCAATAATTTGTACTTCTTGTAAATTATCTCTAGACCAAAGTAACTAGAAGACTGTAACAGACAATTAGTAGTGTGAATCACAGAAAACATGAGTCATTTTGTTTTTTTCAAGGAAGAAATAACATGAGAGACAAAAGAACCATACCTGAATGCAGTAATTTTTATTTAACACTAGCATTACTGCTTATGCCCTAGAAATACTTTCTAGTCAGAATGGCTTGATTTCTTTAGAAAGCACGCCCTTAACAAGAGCCCAGATATTTCATTTTGTGATGTATGTCTTTGAAAGGCAAAAGTCTCAAAACTGATCTGACCTTTTATGGTTTTCAAAGTCCACAGTTATTATTGTGAGAAAACTGTTTATGCCATTAACTTGTATGCTATCTTTAACTTTTTTGCCCTCTCTTTGTTCAACCCCATTCCATCTGAATCTATTCAGTCAACCCTGCCAGAATAATTTCACCAGTGTGGAGCAGTGGTGAGGGTGTGGGACTCGTAACTGGAAGGTTTGGGTTTGAGCCAGTGCTGTTGTAGCCTTGATTAAGGTACTTCGCCAAAGTGTTCCAGTAAAGTTCCCAGCTGCAATGGGTGCAAATGTATGTAAAAGTGGCAACCAAATACATTAGAAAGAGCACAATATTTCTTAACAACAGTTATAAACTTATTGCATTAACATGTGCTGTATTTTCTGGAACTTCATTTATAAGACTCTCCAGATTTCTCTGGAATTCATTGAAATTCTCCTTGGTTCTAGAATAGTGGTGCTCAAGGTATGTGAAATCACCACAAAGAAGATTTTTTTTTCCTATTTAATGGTTTAGTGGCGTTTAATATCCCATGTTGCAGACACCCTACAAAGACAAGTTTTAGAAATTCTTCAGTAAAAGTGTCTTACAGTGCTGTAGAAAAAAATAAAGCACTTGTAATTTAGTGGGTTCCCACCTTTTAAGACTGAACCCCCTCTGATGTGTAATGTGTATAATGTGTACCCCCTGTCCCTCTGTCTGTACACATGTACACACACACAGAGGTAAAAAATGCCTATCGACATATTCTGTCGATAAGCATTAAAGCTCTGGGTTGTTTTTAGATTTTTGCGAGAGCCTTGTTTTGTTTCTGCTGTTAGAAAACCAGTGTAATCTTGTGTCCCACTCCCTCTTTCTGGCAATAGGTGTCTACAGTTTCATTCCCTCATATTGGCTCAGCTCTCAAAGCAGTTTCTTCTGTATAACATAATTTTAGAAAGTTGTCCACTATAAATATTTTTTTAAGTGCCTGTTTGTTGATGCAGGGCACTGTCATTTTTTTGTTGGTGATTTCAGAAGTACTGGACTTAGGACAACCACTGCGGAACCGAAAATTAAAGTGATTTTAACTACAAAAAACACTGATTTTCTAAAAGATTTAGACCTTAGCACTTAAGAGATATCGGGCTGTATGAGTGGGTTGCCTTGGCTGCTTATTTCTCTGTCCTCAACTCTTGAGATGTGATAGGGGTTAATGTGTAATTCATGAGCAGTCGACAGAAGGTGGGTTGACAAAACTTTACCAAGTCAATTTTTAATGTGCACAACTGTTATGGACTTGCTTCGGGACTGAAAAGAGCATGGTGACTGAGCGCCAGTGATCCCTGCAGGGGAGCCAAGACTAGTAGACCCCCTGTCATGTTTGGTGCTTGCCCACCAGTATGGGAAGCTTTATTGTAGATCTAAACACCTGCAGCTTTTGATAACCTGAGCATTTGGCACTTGTGTCCCCTGTAAAGCTGTTCTAAATGTTTGCACGTACTGTATTTTGAGACTAACATCATGACTTCCTTTATTGTCACAGATGGGATATTTGCTTTATAGGCAGGTAAAAGATACAGCACCTTACACAATACATTTAACACGAACATGAACCCCTTAATACATTTTTTGAAAAAAGTGTTTTATACATATTGTGATAAATCTTCATTATGTCCCCTTCTTGGATGTGCTGCATACCTCCAAGGTTATCCAGGTGACCTTATAAATGACGTCTAGAAATGACATTTATGACATGTAAATGCCTGTGTGGAGCTTTCATTTATAAAAGAGACCTATATAGGTATGGAATGACATAGGAACAGGTGGAGGTCTTTCCTCATCTATTTTGTGCAGGAGTGTCGGGGCAGTGCCTTGGGTTTTTTAAAAGAACCAGGTCTTTGTTCTGCTAGTTCTCTGAATGCCCCTTCCAGACCTTGGCTGCCGTCCATGCTGCGGTTGCTGTCCTTCCCTAACGCCTGCCCTGTGTTTGCGTGGCGTCTTCTAGGTGTTCCGTGAAGCGCGGAGGACGGTGCCCAGCGTGGTGTACATGCCCCACGTTAGCGACTGGTGGGAGGCCATCAACGACACGGTGCGGACCACCTTCCTCACCCTCCTGCAGGATGTCCCCTCCTTCTGTCCCGTCCTCGTCCTGGCTACCTCGGAAACCCCCTATGCGGCGCTCCCGGAGGAGGTAAGAGCGTCTCTTTCGCGCTCCTCGTCTTTTTGTTTTCAGCCCCTCTCGGTGCTCTTTTTCAGTCCTCCTTTTTCTTTTGATTTTTTTTTTCCCCCCTCCCGCCCAATCGCAGCACCATACCTCAATGGCTTCACTTTAAATCTCTGCGAGGAATTATTAAAGATGCGAGCAACGAAAATAAAAGAGCCTCATTTCCATATACGGCTGGCTGCCTGTGTTTCATCCCTCCGGCTTCCCCTAGAGTTCCCACCAGCCCCTCCGCCTGCTAGCACCTCCTACTGTGCGGCGCAGTGGGGGAGCTGCTGGCGGCCGGCCCACCGTCGGCGCCTGTCAGCTGCAGCTGCTTGATCATTGCAGTGCTGGAGGATGATAAGTGAGGGGTGTCTGCCTTTGTCTTTGTCTCTCCCAGGGCGCCTTCTTTAAAGGTGTGAATTTTTTAGCAGCACATGCACTTTTGGTGTATAAATTCTGCTGGGATTACCTTTCACGTGAAGGACGACCTTCTGCAGGGCTGGTCAAGAATGATTTTATGTGCGTCGACTGAAGGCCTTATATTTTAGAAACGGGCTTGCTCAGCATCAGTAGAACTTTTCTAAAAATGTTAACTTGTTGGCAAAGCTTTTAAGCATTTTGCTCCTTTGCATTTATGGTGTTGTGCCAATTTTTGCCATGGTTTCAGAGAATTGTGCAGTCCATTGTGCTCTAAAACTTTAAACAGAACAAAAAAAAACATCAGATGAGTTTAATTTTATGTTTCCTGTGAACAGACGGATTGCATTGGATTATCAGCAAAGATCTCTGGATCAGTTACCAAATAACTACTAAATGGGCTGGATGGACGGAGTGGCTTACTCTTGTTTGTAACCTTTCTTAAGCAGAAGAGTAGTCTGTCTCTATCTTAACATGATTTGATTGGCGTGTGCAAAAGATAATGTGGCTCCAAAAGCCTTGTTAATGAGTAATTTCTCACCTTTCAACACATCAATATGTGTTTGATTAATTACAGGCCAGGTGCACGTAGGAGTATTTTAATATCTGTCCTCAAATTTAACGTGATGTTTATTACCTTTATAAGGAGAAGGATTGTGCAGTGATAGGAAAATGAGGTCAACACTTCTCCCAAAAAAATACCATACACACAGTGCATGATGTTATAGGGTTTACCAGAGGTATTATGCTACAGTACAAATGGAGAGGATGCAGATCTGGAGAAGTAATATCAATGGAGATGTTTGATTTAAAATCATACAAATTGCTCAAAACTTGTCTATTAGATAGAATAGACTGCTTATCTGTCTGAACATAATAACATAAAGGCTGCAAATGAGTGGAAACCATTTAGCCCATCTAGCTTGTGGGGCTGCTGGTAATGCATTGATCCGATGATCTCATCCAAGGCTGTGTGAAAGAAGGAAGTGAGTGTACAGCTCTCAGAAGAAAGGTGGTCTTACCTTATTCAAGGCATCTTGCTCTTGTGTACCACATATAACTATTGTGTTTTAGAAACATGATTCAAAACTACCTTCATCTTCAGGGCCATTAACTACTGAAGCTCATGCAGGTGAGAGTGAAAGGCGTAACCTAGAAGAAAGGACAGCGTGTGCACAGTACTTGCCACCTTGATGCCCTTCCGTTAGAGAGAACAGGCATGTCCTCTAAATCATCATGCGATGCCTTAATTTCCCCCGTTGCCCATGCAGTTCGAGTGTGTGAAACCCACTTGTCGCGGCCTAGAGAGTGTTTCTCCCATTCGCCTCTCCAAGGCTCAAAATGTGACACAGTTGTTTTTTGTCCAATAGTCTTTCAGTATGGTTACTGTGGTATTCATTTTCTTTGGCTCGTTCTGAAAGCCTATTGTGCGGGATGTTGTATCCACATTTCTGTTTTTTAAATATAAAAATGGTAACACCACACTATGTTTTTGACATTGAAATCACATTGTGTTAAACACAGTTGATGGATGTTGGCGAGATGAAGAAAAATTAAACATTTAATGGGTAGTATGGCAGTAAAAAGGAAAGTACTCAGCCAAGACGTGTAATGATAATCTCAGAAATACTAATTCTTACAATAACTTTCAGGTGTAAAATACAAGGACAGATACTAAAGGAATTTGTGTAGATGAAAGGAGGAAAAATTTAATTTTAACCAAAGAAGCAGTGATGATAATTCGTTTAGACAACTTAGTTCCTTGTGCAGGTACCCAGGAGAGTTTGTCTAAAAATGTTGGTAAAAAAAAGTGCATGTATCAGATGGGAAAATCTTTTGACTTTTTAAGAAATTTGTAATTTAGCGCTTTTAACAACAACAACAACAACAACAACAACAACAACACTTTTTGTGTACTTCAGTTAAGAAGCCAATTTGAAAGCAAAAAATACCTTTTTCAGCTTTAACGTAAATGATAAAAATATATTATATATTATTATGACCACTATGAGATGGCTGGTTTATTACAAATTCCTGCTTTTTATGCAGTGTTTATATACTTCTGGAAACTACTCAAGGGGGGTTTTAATTCAGTTAATTAGTGCCCCCCGCCCTGAGATATATATTTTAAAAATCATTATTTTGTTTTTCACCTGTGAAGATCAGGCAGTTTTTTTCTGTACTGGAAATCCGTTAAAAGAAGTACGGTGTGGCAGAACCCTCAGTACAGCACAGGGTGGCTGATTTCTGTGAAGCAGCGAGGCCTCACTAGGGAATCCCAGTTCATAAAGACACGCTGTACTAGAGAGAACACTGACAGCACTACCGCTGTGAGATGCCTGTGGCTCTGCGTTAGGGAGGTGTGACAGCTGCCAATCAGTTCTAATTATTCTGTTGTTTATGAATATTAAAGCATTTCCAAACATTTTTTTGATTAGTGAGCGTTTTGGAGCGGGGGCATGAACCTCTATCCTTGATGTCGTTGAAGATACATGGTCTACAAAACCCGATACTGTCAAGACTGTCAAAAAATATTGTATTGTACTACCAATGCTTCCTTATGCTCTGTGGAACTAGGCCACCTTGTTAAACTGAATGACCTGTTTAATAACTTATAAGTTAAACTGCAGGGTGAATTTGGAGGTTGAATTTGCATCTTGAGTTTAATTTCTTTATTTCTCAAGAACCTTTTAACTTTGATTTTCTGCTAAGATAAAATGCAAAGTGCATTCGTGGGCTAAGACAACACTTGATAAATTGGTCCCAAGGAGCCTGGATATGTTTTTTTTTCAGCTTTTTGAGGGGTGTTTTTGTTTCTGTCTCGGAGATTTAAATGCTGTGGCTTATTGATGCAGATCCAATAATCCAGTTCTGATTCCAGTCCCTTGATCAGTTTTAACTAAACTAATTACCCGATGTCTGCTCTGGAAAAACAGATGTGTCCTTATTAACTATTAAATGCAGCAGGCAGGGAAAAAAACAAACAAACTAGCCAGGGTGATGGGATGAGAAAATGAACTCTGTTTAATGAAAAGAGGAGCTGTAGAACAAGGCTGTAAATATTAAAACTGTAATTTTGGTGTGATGTATAAAGACCTTATATGTAAGCTATGGGCAATACTAAAATGTATTGCTTAGTTCTACTTTTTAATGTATTGGTTGTGGTTGCTTAAAAAGATAGGTCCCATATCTTTATATCTCTACAGTGTCTGCTAATGTTATCTAGTAACATATAATAGTCTTTGCATATCTTACTACCTTGTTAGTTTTACCAGAATCTATAACAATATAATCTATATACCAATATCTGTAATATATCTATATCAATATAACTTATATATATTAGGATATCTGTAACAATCCTGGGTCTGGAGGACTGGTGTGTCTGCAGGTTTTCATTCCAGCTCATTTCTTAGCTACCTAAATCATATCGGTTTTCCAAATACAGATCTCCACTGATGACATAAGCATTTGAGCACTTACTCCTTGGATATTCCCTCTGTTTGTTCAGTTTGTTTGTTCTGTTTGTCCAATTCTTAGTTTACGTACAAGCATTGACTTGGATGCCTATTGCCTGCTGTTTGAGATAATAAACCTCTTGGATGAAACAGGACCCTCACTGATACGTTTTCTTATTCTTTTATAAACTGGTATATTATAACTTTTTTTTTCAGGTGAAATGCATCTTCAGGAACAGCTATGGAGAAGTTCTAAATCTGAAGAGGCCCAGTGAGGAGGACAGAAGAAAGTTCTTCCAAGACTTGATTCTCGTTCAGGCAGCGAGACCTCCTGCACACAGGAAAAAAGCAGGTAAGGTGAGACTCGGAAGCAGGGCCTTGTGACTGAAGGCTGCTCTCCTGGACATCTACCCTTCATTGCTAGCTACATTTAGCTAGCAATGAATGAGCTAATGTTGCTCCTGGGACAGAGGAAGTAAATAGCATCACAAACACTTATGAATAACAACTGTAGTAAGTGGACATTAACACAATACTAAATGACGGATTCAGATCTCCCCTGTTTGGACATTGAATATTTCTTAACTGCACCATTTTCCGTTTCTTATTCCTTTTCCCAAAACAAAATCCCACTGACTATGAAGTCAAAATGTGGACAAAAACCTGACTGACAAGTGTCTAAGGTGAAAAACTGAAGAGAGTAAAGACAAGTGTAAGCTTTAGTTTTTGTGATTTGGGCAATAGTATCTTTTCTTTGTCATGGGGGGACCACCATTGCATTCTTAGTAATGGGTATAGATTCCTCTTTTTTTTGTCCATGAAAGAGTAAGAACTGGTGAAAATGAATCAGGTTCTTGTAGTGGATGGTGGTCTTGGACAATTGAGAAACAGACCTTTATATTGCAGTCACTGTATGACATTGTGTTGAACAGAAACTACAGCCAAATAAACTTATACAGGCTATCCAAGACAATTTAAAAGTTATGATACCTAGGGTGAAAATTGTGCCTCGAGGCATAAACTTCCTAAGCCACCACAATGCCTCAGAAGTGTAAGACTGTTTGCGTTTGCTGTTTCATCTGGTGTAGCACCTTTTGGGAACTTTGTTTTATATTTGCATTTGGACACTTGCTGTTCCACTGAACTTTTTCTCCTCTGTCAGCTATTGCAACCTGCCAAGCTTTATTACTCTCCTGCTCATGTTTATTCTCTTGGAAAGTGTCAGTGACTTTAAAATCACGCTTGTCACTTGAACATATTAGCAAGCGTGCCAAGTCTCCATTTTTTGAAATGGAATTTTATGGTTGATTGGGTAATATTTAAAAGAACTTCACACTCCTCGAGAAGCCGTCACCTCACTGGCCTCGTGTTCTCTGGAAACGCAGCTCAAGTCATGTGTAGAATCTCCCAGAAAGGAACAGTGAACAGAATTAAACTAATGCTCTCGTGATTAGCCTAAAAGGCAGCGCTGAGCTCTAGCAAGGAAAGTTTTGTCTTGAATAACCCCGGGCTAGGCAGTGATGGGATTTCATTTGGCAGAGTACTGAGCCTAAGTAAGGCTTTGAAAGTTATGAAATAAAACTGGTCTAAATTTGTTCAACAAACTGCATCTGTGGAAGTTATTTAAATCAAAGGCCCTTGATGACCAACCATTCAGTTGTTCATTAAGGATATTTAGTGACAAATGTTTTAATAGAGCAATTAGGAATTAAAACACATGTTCCTGGCCTTTAGCACTTCACTGTTGTGTTTTGAAATGCCGCAGTTAGGATGGCAATAACTTTTTCATTTGCTTTCAAAATCTCTTCATTGTTGCAAAAGGCCTAGCAATCTCAATTTGCACTGGCCATTTTGTGGAACTGGGCAGGAACCAAAAGCTGTAAGCAGTCTGGCAGTAGTTGTGATCCAAGTTGAGCCAGGAGTGAGGGTAACGTGTCAATCTGTCATAAAGTCATTGAAAGAGAAAAAACACTGTGGTTTGTTTTTGGGGTTGATAAGGACATGAACATCTAAAGAAACTGTTTTAAGTGGCAGAAACAAAAGTAAAAACAGATCTTAATTAATCCTTTCGAAATGGACAGGTATCACATGACCTCCTATGTATTAAATATATTAATTGCCTGATGAGAAAGCCTTTACGTGTTCCAGTTTGAAAAGACCAATGGGTCAACGACAAACTGTGTTTTCCAACTGGGTCAGGTCAAACCGTGAATATCCTGAAAAGCACTGGGGGTAAAGTGGGACTAGAGGTCTTTGTGAGGTGAGAGGAAACAGGTGCACCTTGAGAAAACTCACATCGCGACAGAGAACATGCAGGCTTCTTACAAAAAGTGCTGTGATTCAGAACTGAATCCTGGAACCAAGAGTGATGAGGCTGTGGTGAGGCAGCAATGCTAACTGCAGTGCCACAGTGCTGCCCTGTATTTGACAGATCAGTTGCACTGATATTGTTCTTTCTTTAAATAGGCAGTCAATGATCACATTTGTCAGAAATAGTGGCAGCTGCAGTACGCAATGTTCTCTTGGCCAGATCAGATAAATTTGATAAAAATGCACAGTGTGAGGTAATCATACTCATTATCACTGAAATGTAGTGTGCAAATTGAAACTCCCTGACACCATCAGCAGCAGGTCTTATCTTGCAACGAGTATGCTTTAATAAGAGAGTTAATTTAATCTTTCAGCCTCAAACATTTTAGAAGAACTTGGGAAACTGTTTGAGATTAATATTTTAACTTTGCATTTTCTGACACTTGGTGTCTGAGCATGTCTCTCATAATACTTTCAAAAATTGAACTTAAAAAATGTTGGCATATTGCATCTTGTCACACTTACATCGGAAAGGATCACTTAATATTGCCAGTTTGATACAACTGTGGAATTCTAAGCATTTTCATTTTTGCTGAAGGTCTGTTTAACCTCTTGCCATTGAGGCCCTTCATATCTACGAATCTCATCAGGTCTTTTCTTGCTCATTCAGCATTCACAACTTTGATTGGCTGTTTGTTCCTCTTCCTTACTCACTCAGACCTCTCTGTGAGAAAACAGATTCCTGAATTCACTTTCAGTTCTTTCCTGTTTGTTCTTTTCTGGGACTCGTCTCTGCTGACTTTAGGAGCAGAGGTTAGGGCTGTGTTTTTTAAAATCCCTTTCAAGATGTTGAATGCCTCCATCAAATCTCCCCATAGGTTTCTTTGTTCCCAGCAAAAGAGAGTCTGTTCTTTTAACTTGTCTGAATATGACAGAGCTCTTAGTTCTGGGAATGCTCTGATTGGTCTTTTTTGCAGTCCTTGCTTGGAAGGCCACACAGTGTCAGTATAACACTGTGCTTCATTCCCTGACTGTGCACTTCTCTGGCCATCTGGCGACAAGTTGAAAGTTCGTATAGTTAACCAGTTACCTCTCTTTAGTTAAAAAAGGGGGCAGAGTATAATGAGTATACCTCATATGTGTAAGCATAGACCTGAAGCTTGTGAGTTCAGTCTGTTTAAGAAGAACAGAGAGGCACACGGTATCTGTTCCAGCTGTGTCACTTTTGGAAAATTGTCTTTTCTGAAATGGAGCTATAGTATTACGCATTTTATTAGTCTTACTCGCGATAACTAAAAGGATGGTTTCTGTGGAGACTTTACAGTGTTTCAGTGCTGTTTGTTGAGCAAATGACCTAGTTTGAAGAGTGCTTGTGGTTCAGATATGAGGCTTTGAAGAAATTTATATTGAAGAATTAATTTTTGTTATACCCGCCTGATTTTGGAGTCTGCAGTTGTATGTTTTCAATGTATCAACATGCCGCTTTGGACCGCATAACATCTGCATTAACACATGTTGCTCAGTCAGCGTTGTGGATGCACGCTCGCTCTTAATTGAACTTTACTGCAGAACACTTCAGTGGCTCAAAAATGATCTCTTCTTGATGCAGGGAGATGATCTGCAGGAGAGGCGATAGCAGACTTAGGTGTGATCTCGTGAGCTTGCGGAATTTGCTGTGGCTGTGCTGGCGATTTTAACGTATGAACTGCCCCCACTCAGCTCTGCAGGCGCTGGAGGAGCTGGTGCCCGCCGAGCCCCAGCCGCCTCGCCAGCTGTCCCAGGAGGAGCAGAAGAGGCTGGAGGACCAGGAGGAGAACACGCTGCGGGAGCTGCGGCTCTTTCTCAGGGACGTCACCAAGCGATTAGCCACTGACAAGCGCTTCAGCATCTTCAGCAAGCCTGTGGACATCGAGGAGGTGGTCGGCCGTTCTCGTGGCAGCTGCTAGTCGGGGCTTGAATTGAATCTGAATCTGGTTTTTGTCTTTGATCAGGGGAAGCTCATTTAAACATATAATAATAATAATAATAATTGGTTACACTTATATAGCGCTTTTCTGGACACTCCACTCAAAGCGCTTTATAGGTAATGGGGTCTCCCCTCCACCACCACCAGTGTGCAGCATTCACCTTGATGATGCGACGGCAGCCATAGTGCGCCAGAACGCTCACCACACACCAGCTATCAGTGGGGAGTAGAGCAGAGAGTAATGAAGCCAATTCATAGATGGGGATTATTAGGAGGCCATGATTGGTAAGGGCCAATGGGAAATTTTGGCCAGGACGCCGGGGTTACACCCCTACTCTTTTCGAGAAACACCTTGGGATTTTTAATGACCACAGAGAGTCAGAACCTCGGTTTTACGTCTCATCCGAAGGACCGCATTTTGAACTAGTTCAAGTAGGTAGCTGTGTCAGCACGCGTAGACTGCAAAGGAACAAGCAAAGGTTTATTCCATGCTGAAAAGAGAACACGTTGCATTTCTTTTCTTCTCTCTTCAGCATGATATTTGAACTGGTTCGGTTTGATTGTTGCAGCAAGCGAAGCGAAATTGTCCATAGTGTAACACGGTTGGTCCCTCATAAGTTTGTGTCTGGGTTGAGAAGCTGATTGTTTCACATTATTTGTAATTGGCCCACGGTTGATAGGAGATGCCAATCAATAGGCTTTGAATCTGTTTGTCTCATTTCGTTCCTCCTATAATTTAATTCAGCTTTGAATGTGTCTTTTGAGCTTTGGTTATTTTGCCATGCATTATACAAAAGATCGACTTGGAAATATTATCTCAGAATTAAATATCCTTTTATCTGGATTCTGTCAGAAGCTCAGGGCTCCAATAGTTTGTAAAATGTAGAATACGGATAGTGTTTCTCATCTTCATTATGACACAAGGGGTTTGTTGTTGTTGTTGTTGTTGGTTGTATATCACATAGCGGCCTATGTTGAAGCTTCCTGAGGAGCAGTAGTTAAGAGTTGTAGACATGTAACTGGAAGGTTGTTTATACATCTGCACAAGCCTAGTTGTTTAAATAAGTATAAATGTTTGGAGAAGGAAGATAAAACGTTTACAAGTAATAGGAGGCAATTTGGCCCATCCAGCCCATATTAACTACCAATAACATAACATCACTTTATTAGCCCTATACAATTTCTTGCATTAGGAATTTGTCTTTTCGCATACCCCAGCTTGCTCTCCATGAGACACAGACACAGACAGGGAGAGAAGCTTGTCTGTTCGTCTTTTCGCATACCCCAGCTTGCTCTCCATGAGACACAGACAGGGAGAGAAGCTTGGGGTCAGAGTGCAGGGTCAGCCATTGTATGGTGCAGGATTCCTCTGAATTCCTCTACTTTCCACAGAGCCACTGCTCCGCCCCAATAGTTAATTGATCAAAGGATCTCTTCCAGCTTCCAGCTAATAGTCTCAGTACACTTTATACTGCAATTGTTTAGTGTAGCATGTTCTTTAATTCATGTAATTTATAATTTGAAGCTCTTGACCACACAAGGGAGAAGAGGAAGCACAGGCAAACTCTTCTGACCCTCCTACCTTCAAGCCACTGCTCTTTTAGATGTCACAGGCACTGCACCGCCCCCTACTGGAGGTTCAGTGAGTCTTGAACAAGAGGTGCTTTCCTCCCTGGCAGAACTGCAAACCTGCAAGTGTAGGTCAGTGTTTGTAATGTGTCCTAGTCACAGTCTGCTAGTGACATGATTCAGGCTTGAACCTGCGGTCCTAGAACTTGGCCTGCTCTTGGGTTTTTGCCCTTACCAGTTCAGCCACAAGTTATTGGTGCAGTTTTGTAGATCTGACTTGGTGCTTTGGGGCTGACGATTTTGTTGACCCTGCACTGATGTCCAATTTATGTGCCTTTGCTTTCTGTTTTATGCTGGCTAGCAATGTATTCTATGCATGACAGCTGGGAAGGGAGCAGTGAATCTTTCTCAATATGTATTGCTTCTACTGTAGATCAGTCAAAATACTTAAACATGTTCAACTGTAAAGGTGAAGCACACTTGACCTGGTTCTTATTCCAGTGCTGTGTTTTTTTCTGCCTCTATTTACAATGTGATGTCTCTTTTCTAGGTGTCAGATTACCTTGAAGTTATCAGACAGCCAATGGACTTGTCAACGATAATGACCAAAATCGACACCTACAAATACCTTACTGTGAAGGACTTTCTGGCTGATGTTGACCTAATTTGTAGCAACGCTCTAGAATATAATCCAGACAAAGATCCTGGAGGTAAGAAAACTGGCAGGTGACATGCAGGCTAGAGGACACTTGTCAGCACAAACATTTTAAGACCTTTAACACGTCAAATCTTTATATAAATATTATATATATAGATAAATTACTGCTGTCTCTTTTGAGATGTATACATCAACATATATCACAAACCTTACAGTCTTAACATTGTTTGCAAGGGTTTTGTTTGCTGTTTCAAGGAGCTTTTTTAAGAGTATCTGTGTGTGCTGCTGTTTTAATGGCCTCATTAGGGCGGGTGCCTTAGATCGATGAACCATTCATAAGAACATAAAGTGAAAATGAGAGAAGGCCATTTGGCCCATCTGGCCTGTTTGGTTGTTAGTAGCTTATTGATCCAAGGATCTCATACAGCTGTTTTTTTGAAGGAAGCCAAAGTGTCAGCTTCAAACACATGACTGGGCAGCTTGGCTTTATATTTGCCAGGGCTGTGTTCCAGTGGGTTTAGTTTTGTTCACTTATTAGCTGGAGATTTAATGATTTAAAGATTTATAGTTAGTTATGAACATTTATATAGTTCATTAAGCATTCATGGGCGGTGAACTAAAAATTATAAGTTGAATGGCTCACAAATTTTGGTAGTGGTTAAAAGTATAAATGAAGTGTGTGCGTGCCTTGGCACAACAAGTGCAAGCAGATAGGTTTATTGTTTGCTTAAGTAATATTTGTCCTTATTATAATAAAGTACTGGGCTCTGGACAGCACTCGTATACAGGTAGTCTTCGACTTACAGTGCACGCAAGTTACGAGCACTCGCTCTTACCATGGCCGTCCCCTTAATCGTACATTTTGTTTTGTGTCCTGGTGTTTGGTGGTAACGTCTAATATTGATGACATCATCAGCCTGCGCAACACCGTGCTGCCGCATGTTATTGTTTGGGTGGTTAACAAGCAAATGCCTAGCAAGCAAAAAAGTGAGTGTTCTGGTGGTGCCCATAGGGAAAAACGAAAGCAAAAGACAATAGTTTAGAAATTAAAGTGAACATAATAGTGCAGAACGAAAATGGAAAATCGGTATCAACAGTCACACGAGACTTTGACCTTTCTCATTCGGCAATATCCACAATATTAAAGGACAAGGAAAGAATCCGTGAAGCAGTGAAAGGATCAGCGCCTATGAAAGCCACAGTCATAACGGAAAAAAAAACAAGGTCCTATTCATGAAATTGAGAAATTATTAGTGACTTGGATGGAAGATCAGATCCAAAAGTGTATGCCTTTAAGCCTTCTAGCCATACAGTCTAAAATAAAATTAGTAAAAAAAATAACAAAGCCGTATTACACAATGTAGCGTTTATGCATGTTAATTCTTTATGTATCCATATGGTTTGTATAGTATCGCAATACACACGATCGCAATTTTCGACTTACAATGAAATCAACTTACGACGGGGTTGTTGGAAGCTAACCCTGTTGTAAGTCGAGGACTACCTATGCTAAGAATTTGATATTTGAAGTTGAGTTAAAATTGCAAAAAAAGAACGTGCATCAACGTTTGTGCTAAAAAACAATTTTTTGATGCCGATACACCCACAGATACAACCAAGCCCCATGTGAGTAATGAAGATTGTCTTGTTGATAGTAGGATTGCTGGCATCTGTGAGGTGTTGTCTGGAGAATTAGATGTCCAATTTCAACAATTGGCAGACCAGAGAAACCAGGATGCTGGGTCTATGACTTACCAGTTACATCCTGCAAGGCTGAGGGTCCAGTCAGCCTAGGATTGTCAACATCAGTCTTGACTCATCTGCCTGTTTTTATGCTGCTGTTGCTATACTGTGAGAAATCCCATGAAATTGTTCTGTGTTCTTAGAGGTCAATGAGAAATAACATGTTGACAGTTGAGATTGGTTGAGTGTTTTAATTGATGATGATTTCCATGTGATGGACCTGAAAAACGATGATGCACAGGGAACATTGTGCTGACTGTTGGTGCTGTTTAATCAGGGTGGGTCTGTGGAGGTGTGAAGAAGGAATCTTTTTTTAACCCAAAGATTGATGGCAGTCTTACTGCTCAGTGATGCATTGAAATCATCAAGTCAACAATTATTCTGTTCCTGCAAGCCAGTCCAAAAGTGTCAGGTTTTAAGCAGCGCTGTGCGATGCACGAAGTGCTGGGATTGCAATGGGATGGCTTTCGGGCAAAGAGTGTTGAGGTTTTGCTATTGTCATTGTTAGTTCCGAGCTGAGTCTAATAGAGCATATGTGAAACCAACATTGTTGGCATCATCAACAGGAGTTAACGGCCACCAGCCAACTTTCACTGTAATCGTAGTGTAACCTTTAACTGCAGTTCCCAGGAAGAGTGATAGAACAGGACACAGTGATAGAGTGATAGAACAGCCCCATGTCGAACTTGAACTTTATTGCCATATGTAACCGGTCCATGTACTGGTACAATGGAATTCTTACTTACAGAAAGTCTCTCGATTGTTAAAACAAGTGTAAAAACACAAAGTGCAGACAGTGCATCAAGACAATAGACAAACAATAGACAATGTACAAGCAAACAAGTAAACAGTTTGAATGTAAACAATGCAGAGATGTAAACAATGACTGGAGACGTGCAATAAATAAGAAATCATAATGAGGGTCTTGGGTCTCATCAGGTCAATGTTACTAGGATTCTGCTAATGCTCAGGGGAGCATTCTTCAGTTTGATAGAAAAACTTTTCATTCTGAAACTTTCTCCTAGTTGTGTGATCTGTATTGCTATTCAGATTTTCTGTGATTTTGTTTGATGCTGGAGTTTAAAATATTTGATGAAAACCTTTAGAACTGGGTGTTGCATTTATTTTGTGCATTAGGATGTCTTCAGAGATCTCCTGTACCGTCTCAGAACCTAGCCATCACTTACCTCTTACTGATGGAATATCTTATTTACTTCAAATTAAAGGCATCAAAACCGAATGATCTTAATGCTTTCTGTCAGTAGAATTTAAAAGCTATCTATAAGAATATAAACTCTGTTTATTCAACCTTGTATTTGAAGTATTTTTCTATTGTCTTTCTCAAAGGAATAGGGATTTAACATTTCAGAGAGAATTTCTTCTTCTGTAATTATATCTGTAGAAGACAATGTTGCAAACAAAGAGAAAATGAATAATAATTTTAAACAAATACACCATGTGCAAAAAAATATGGGCAAACAGCTCACATTTCACAAGTTTCTCTATAACAGAAAGGAGAGAATTTATCTGAAGGAGAGGGAGCACAAAATACAAAACTGGTTTCTCCTTGCAGATAAAATAATCCGGCACAGAGCCTGTACCCTGAAGGACACAGCACATGCAATGTTTGCAGCTGAACTCGATCCAGAATTTAATCGAATGTGTGAAGAAATCAAGGAATCCAGGAGGAAGAGGGGTAAGTGATTTATAAGATAAATATATTTCCCTACACCAATATGGCCTATTACCCCAAAAATATTTTTGAAAGGTCTGGTACCATAATCAGTTGAGCCGCTGAATATAATTTTGTGACTTAAGAAGAAAAAAAGTTATTTCACTCTTTGCAGTTCTTTATTTTGCCTTTTCCCACTGAAGCAAAGTTAAACAGTTAGGGGTTTAAAACAAGAATGAAAAGATGTGGGTGTCTGTGCAAAAGAGTGGGACATTCTCCTTGTTCTCAAGGGCTGCAGTGTGTCCACACTCTTCATCTCAAGTCAGACACCAGAAAACAATGAATATTAAAGTCATATCTGAGGAGCAGCCCTGTACATGTTTTGACTGTGAAGGATTAGGGACCTTCTCAGTTTCTTTGCAATGAGGCACACATTTGGAATTGTCACATTTTGAAACCGTATATATCTGATAACTCATTCTGTTTCTATATTGACTCTCATATTTCAGGACTGCAGTTTGACCAGCTTTTTAATGGCTTCATAAAGCTTTTATTGATGGTATCTAATGCACTGTAACAGATGGGGGATGCTAATGGTATGAGACTATTTCTACAGACTCGTGTAAAATGGGTTGTGTATTTTCAAGCATGCACTGTTGGGTTTGATGTTTTGGAACAGTTTGGATGGTAGGTTTGAAGTATATTTCACACAGTGCAAATTGTGCTCATGCACATGAACACACTTGTGCCTGTGGATAAGAAGTTCATTCACGCTGGTACTTCATAGCTTGAAGAGCCTGTAACTGACCAGGCTGTTAAATGACTAGGACAATTTTTCTGTTAGTGCAGACCATATAGCTTCTGAGCACATATACCTATAATGTATGACTTAAGCCTAGTGTGGCATGTGTTCGATTTTGATGCATTAGGCATGCTTTCTGTGTATTTCTAAATAAGGATTTGGGTTCTGAATTACCTTTCTGTGCGTCTTTAGTCAAATCTATCTGGACTAAACCTCTGAAGCTAGAATTGAAGTTTTTAGAGCTGGAACTTCAAAGCTGCTTTGTAACCCGCAAGGTAACCTGCTGAGTTGTTTGTAACCCTGCTGTCTGCCCCTGGTTGAACTGGGGCACGCGAGTGTCTCTGCAGGCCGAGCCAGCCTGCCTTTCGTGCTGTTGTGGAGTGCGCACACCACAGAGCGTGTTCATGCCGTTATGGAAATGGAGTTGCTTATCTTGTGTATGCAGGCTTTCAGACGACAGCACAACAAACGAATCCTCCCAGTGCTGCAGCCAAGAGGCCTGGCATTGGCGCGGAAGAGGCAGCTCGGAGCGCACAAGGAAGCGCAGCAGAAGGCCTGTCAACCAAGTGCAATAGTGAGTACTGGAACAGTGACATGAGCCAGTGAGACTTAACAGGGCGCATTTTCATACGGGGCTGTGTTGGATTTTTATTTTCAGTATCGGGTGTCTTTTGAATCTTACTCCTCCCCCCCCCCCACACACACACACTCCTTTCTTTCCACCCCCAGAAAGGAAAAGCAGACAGAAACAAACCAAAGAAGATAAACAAGGCTAGGCTGTCTTGTGGACAGCAGCCAATTAATTATGTGGTGCTGAAATGTTTTCTTCCCTGTTTGAGATGCTATTGTGAAGTCTTGAGGAATACAATATGTTATCCCATTATGGGGGCTTCTATTTTGTGTTTTAGAAAGATAATCATGGAGAATATCACAGAGGGCTCTCATGCAACCCATACCACCCAGGCAGCTGGCTGGTACCCTAGCTGATAGGGAGACTTACAAAGTAGCGTTGAAAGAATATGTATGTGTTTGTGTTCCCAAGAGACAATAAGACGGACACTGTAGCTCAATACCAGCCTATCTATAAGTGCTGTTACCTTTAAAGGGGAACAGATATTTTAAGCACTACTCCTGTTTCCAGATCCATTGACTTTAATGTTGGTTCTGCTTTCTGTAGAAAAAGCTTTGAGTCAGGTGTTTCTTAATTATCCTTAATTTCCTAGTATAGCTTGTGCAAGTTGCATTGTGGAGTTTTGCCCTATCAGAGACCACTAAAAATCACTATCATTGCTCTGTTGGATCTGGGTTCTTTTAGTTGTACGTGGGTGAAAAATTTCAGCGCAGAAGCTAGAGGTAGATTAGATACTGGAATGCATTTGAGCATGAAGAGTTGGATTATTGTGCATCTTACCTCTATCTTTATGGTGTGTTTTCTGTCTTCAGCTGTGCTCTATTTCCTTATCTCCTGCTCCCCTGTTAGGTTGGTGCTTTGTGTGCAGTATTTGCCTCTTTGAACAGGAAGTGGTAAACTCTAGCTGTGATTTTAAATTTATAAAAAAAAGATGAAGATTAGATTCATGTGAGGGCTTTTGTTGCTTGTTTAAAACCCATGCCTTTTAAAAGAGTTGCTTCCATAGTGAAATGGCATTGAGTCATAGAAAAATGCCTGTGAGAGACCTCCGTTGAGCACCAAATCATGCTGTATTGAACAAAGCAGAAATAAAACAGTGTTTCTGAGTTTTATTCAGGAAAAACGTAATCACATCTGAATAGTCAAGGTAGGTGTTGATGTTCATGAGGTTAAATTACTGTAATTTTTTTTCTTAATTCTTAGCAGATGATCGGGTGTAAAAGTAGTTGCTCTTGGGAGAGCAAGTGTAGAGTGAAAATCGGCAAAACCTTGATCAACCACAAGGTGGCGCATGTCTCTCATGAGACTTCTTGTGTAAGCTGGCACAGCGTATCTCTCGGTTACCATTCCTGTGAAGTGTGCTCTTGATGGTATAATGCACACTTGACTTGGGAGATGAACGAGATCCTATTTGCTGTAATAAACAGCTCTGGAAGAAAGGATGCGCGACAGAATGCAAGCGCTGCTTTTATCACGCTTTCCTTTTGCAGATAAAAAAGAAGCATACTGTGCTGCCTCTTCGAATTGAAATGTAACCAAACAGGAGTGGAAAAACCCCAGGGCTCTCTATTTGCTCCTCTAAAGTGATGGAAGATAACTTACAAACGGGTCTTCTGTATGAAACTTCTGTTACTGTGCACTGATACATGAAAAGAAGAATGTTTGCAGTCTGTGACTTGAAATGGGTCTGCCTATGTTTGTATTGTTTTAGTGTCATTTTGAAGCATCTTTATAGTTCTCGTCACAGCATTAATTGATGTCAGTTTCTCTATTTCCATTCTCTTAAGCTAGAGAAGAAATGAATGCAACTGGCTGCATGTCTCAAGTAATAAGTCAGCGTTAGCTGTATTGTCTGGATCCCTTAACAGTGTGAATGCTAAATTGAGAGTTCATTGACCCTCTAAGTCTTTTATTGAAGAGTTGTGGTTGATTAAAAGAGAACTGCTTAGGTGTTTACTTGGGAAAGCCGTGTTTGGCTGAGCGGACAGTTCCATTCTAATTTGAAGCCATTCCTGGGCTCTTGGACTGCTGCCAACGCAGTACTGGGATTTCTGTTGGGTTTCTGGGAGACAGTGAGAGCCTTTCTTTCTCCATGAACCATTCCTACGAACATAACAAAAGTTCCCAACGAGCGGAGACAATTAGGCTCATCCATTTAGTAGTAGTTAATTGATCTGAAAATCTCCTGCCAGCTGTTTCTTGAAAGTAGTCAGAGTATTGGCTTCATCAACGGGGTGGGTAGCTTGTTCTATACTCCCACAAGCTTTTGCATGCCTCCATGTTTTGCATGTTTTGTCTTTGGGTAAAAGGTTCTCTCCTCTTAAACACGCCCCAGGTCCATGTTTCACTCTTTTGAATACTTGTATGAGGTATTAGTCTTGGTTCCACTGAAAATAAAAAACTGTATTGCACATTGCGACTTTTATTTTCCTTCTACATTCTCTTGAGATGTTTACACGGACAAATAGGTTTTATTTTTTGGGTAATTCCTTGTGTACTTTTAATAATATTAGACCAAAACCTTACTTTACTGTTACTGAGTATTAATCAACTTACTGTCCATGAGTATTGGGACACGGTTCACATTTCAGAGTGTAAAAGTCCGTATTTAGTTGCAAATGCCTTTGAGGTATTAACTGTATGCGGTCTGTGACCAAATCAGCTCAACAGACTCTTGGTGGTATCGTTTGGAAATATTAAATACCATTTGCTTGGGAGTAAAATTTTTCCGTAAATCTAAATGAGATGCATATCATCAAGTAGTTAAAATATACTAAATAAACAAAGCATAGTTAGATATTTAGAGTCCTTATAACGATTTCAGAGAGCATGTGACAGTGTTTCTAAAATATCCTTTTTAGCCTCCCTGATTCGTATCTTCGTGTTCAGATCCAGTTTCACAGGTCTGCAGCTGAGGTGCCAGCTGGCAGAGGGTACAGTTCTGCCCCCAGAGGTTGTAGCTCTGTGCTGCTGGCAGAGCTGTGGTTTCAAGCATGGTTCTGAGCCTCTAGATTGTAGTGCCTGTGTTAAATTTTATGTTTTAATTAGACGAGCCTTGACTTAGGAATGCAGCTTCTCTTTCCCTGGGATCCAAGTCGACTCAGGTTTATGAAACCAGACCTGGTGGTACACATTTCTAATATGGCATTTCTAAGGGTTGGGGGTTTCAGGCAAGATGTTTTGGCCTAACGTTTTACTGAGTTGCAGGCACCATGTGTCCTAATTATTTTCTCATCATGTGCTGTTTATGTAGGAAGAAAAAAGAAATGCCTGTATTAGGTTGGTCTTTGTGAAAACAACATAAATTCACAAAGTTTCTTTATGACTTTTTTTTAACAGCTCCTTTATTTTACACACACACAAGTGCCTTTCATTCCTAAATATCTCATTGTGTGATTAAAGCCATTTTTCTTTTCTCTTATGCCCTTCAAGGTAACAAAACATGACAAAAACTATTATGATCTCTCTGCTTCCTTTGTGCTTTTGTTATGTTTCAGAAGACATTTCATTATCACATCAAGAAGACTTACCACCAGCACCCTGCTTAATAAATTACAACACAGGACACTTTTAGATAGTCCAATAATGTTTAAATTAATACTGGAATTATTCAGGTTTATGGATTTCTATGTTCAGTCTTCCACAGCCACTGTACATTGTGAACTGCTAGGTGATTCATGTATTTATGCTAGGTAAGAGTGCAAAAAGATTAATATTAAGTTAATAATGACACGCAGATCATTTTAATATTTTAGGGTGTTTATTACAGTATGTATTCTGTGCTTTGGCCTATATGTAAATTATATGGCCTATATGTTAAACCTAATTTTATTGATGATTTTAGTTTAAATGCTTTTTTCCCTGTACCTTCCATATTCTGATACAAGGCATGTTTCCAATCCTAATAATAAGAAAAATGATATTCCTCAGAGACGAGACCAAAAGCCTCAATGTTACTTTTATTAATAGGCAAACGTATTTAGGTTCCATGTATTTGTCCAAATTAAAAAGTAAAATTGTGAAAATGTTAATGCTTAAGAAAACATTAAATTAATATTTCTGATTTCAAACTACCTTGTTATTAGATTTAAGTCACAAAGGGAATGGCTGGTTCTTGAGTACCATCAAAATGAAAAGAAAAAAGTACTTTCTATACTGTGCCAAAATGGATATGACTATTAATTTGTTCTTCACAGTGCTTAGGAAGTGGAACCATGAGTTCTAATTCATGCATGCTCTTTAAAATTATAATAAGTCCTTGTATTTATATAGTGCCTTTCATCATGAAGGTTCCCAGATCGAAACTGACACATGGCACAGTAGATCTATCTAACAGTAGATCAAGTGACAGCGACACCTACTGGCACTGAGTAATCATATTAGAATATCAAATGGATACAGAAAGGTTTAACAGGGTCACACTTAAAAGCTAAAATGGAATTCATTAAAGATCACAAATAGGAAGCGCTTCTAGGTATCTTCGACAAGCTTCCCTGCTAGAAGATTGGGGCCCAAACTGCTATATGAAGTTTATGGGTCTATATGCGACATTCTGTTTCATTGTGGATTTCCGTCTTGATCTGCTGCATAATTTTAAACATAAGTTTTTGTCCTAGATATGGCATTTAAAAATGTTAATACTGGAGCAATTAAGTGGATAGCCAGTTTCTCTGGAAGATATTGCTTAGGTAAAAACAGTTCTTAAATAACGTGAATACCATATTGGCATGATAATTAAAAGATTCAGTAAGGCTCAAATGCTTTCTGTGAATGGATGGTTGACTCACTATGCTTTCAAGAAAGAATCATTTGATCCTTTTGAACAGAGCTTCATTACAGATGTGAACTAGTAACGTGGATATGCAAAGTGAGTGGAAAGTGAGTGTCTAAAAATGTCCTTTGTGGAGAACCAAGGGCATGTTATTCAGTTTTTACTCTCAACT